GTTTGTGTTACTGGTCAGAGACTAGAAGAGCTTCAGCAATGACATGGTGTCCATCATCTGTCTGTACATGTATGTTTGTCTATAAACAATCTTCTCCTACAGTTTTGATCCAATATCTGTATAACTTGATATACAAGTAGACTACACTAAGAAGAAACATAATTGTTTTTTTTTTAGTTTTTGATTTGGATGAAAGTTGTTGCCATGGTTACCAAACATAGAAATTCTTGTAAAATTCTTCCAAAATGCTACTCCTTCTATAGTTTAGATCTGATCTAAATAAAAAAATTTATACAGGTATACTATACTAATCAAAATAAATGATTCCTTCTATATACATGTATTGGTTTTTGATTTTGATAAACGTTGTTGTCATGGGTACTAAATTAAGATTTTTTGTGAAATTCTTTCAAAACATTAACTTCCTATAGTTTTGGTCTGATTCCAGTATTACTTGGTACACAAGTAGACTTCACTTAGATATGTAATTTTATTTATTGGGTTTTGATTTCAGTGATTATTTTAGCCATGGTTACTTAAAAGTAGAAAAATTTTAGTAGAAAAACACTATGCTTCCTACAGTTTTAATATGAATTCAGTAAAAATTTTTACACTTGTAATGTAGACTAGACTAAAATACATAATTCTATTTATCAGTTCTTGATTTTGGTGAACAATGTTGCCATGGATACAAAAATTAAAAACATTTTGTGAAATTCTTTTAAAATACAGTGGCGCCGCGGTAATCCGGACGCCAATAATCCGGACGCTTCACCTTCCGGACGATATTTTCTGGGAACCGACTTTTTCCACGTTATTCTGTCTCATTTATCCGGAAATTCGCGTTCCGGATCCGGACGGTCAATTTCTACTACAAAACGTAAAATTTCATTGAAAAATGACTCGTTTATCCGGACGGTAATTTTTCGAGGAACGACTTTTCACACCTTTCTTGCAGTAGTGATAATTATTGTAAAAACATTGTCCGTGGAGTCAGTTTGAAGGCGGTTACCTGTGACCTCTAAACAATAGCGTCTATAATTAGCGTGTGTTTACCTCAGATAAAACACACGTCTTTTATATCATAAAGCCCGAAGAATTTAGCTTATACTGTGCATTAATTAAATATAAATCCGTTCAGAATACAATAAATTGCTAACGGTTTATAAATTTATGAGAATTTTGGAGAGTTGTAAATAAATTTTTTTTTACTGAATAATAAATCACGAGATTTCGTTGTAGTATTGAGTTGCGTAAGTTTATCAAAATACGATTTTCCAATTCTCAAAACGTACATCATTTGAAACGGTTTTTTTTTTCATAAGACTATTTATTATGATACATAATTCAAGAAAATATATTTCTATTTAATGCGCTAAGAAATACGTAACTGGCATTAGTTATAAATGCCGATCACGTTTTTTCAAGGTATATAACTTAGAGTTTTTAGAAAAAGTATTGATAATCCTGAATATGGCTTATGTTTATGTTGAAAATTTGCAATACGTACACTGATTACATTGTTTAGTTACTTATTTCCCTATGTAGCGAATATACGCGGTTAGCCATTTGAACATTCTCAATGGTGATAATGAATAGTTCTACTTAATATGAGCTTGAATAAATAAAAAAAAAAATGTGCCGAAACAAAACAGTAGCAGATCAAAATTTGGTCAGCCCATGTAACTACACGTCAAATAGAAGGCGAGTAAAGTTTCTTGTGTTAGAAAAGGAAGTTTTTTTTAAATATTGATTATTGCTTTTAAAACTATAAAAATAAAATCAATAAGTCAAGGTAAAATAAAGGTGTTTTCTTTTCCTTCACATTTGATACCACTGTTCATATGTACATGTTTTGAGAGGGTACGTCTTTTAAGAAGTGATTCACTTATCCGGACGATTCATTTATCCGGACGATTTCGTTGGGGACGGAGGCGTCCGGATTAACGAGGCGCCACTGTATTACACTCCTATATTTTTGGTCTGATTTCAATAAAACTTTTTACACAAGTAGACTACACTAAGATACATAATTTTGGTAATCTGTTTGATTTTGATGAACGGTGATGCCATGGTTACTCAGAATACAAAATTTTGTGAAATTCCATCATAAGGGTACTCCTACAGATTTAGTCAGATTGCAGTTAAACTTGCCATACAAAGAGACAAAATCAAGGTTCATTAATTTATTTGTTGCTGTTGTCATAGTTTCAGGTCCAAGTTATACCTTTCTCTTCCATTGTTATAAGTATGAAATAGTAGAGCTACAGTCTCACCACAGACTTTTTTATTTTTTTTTGAGACAGCTAGATCTTTATGACGTGAAGACTTGAAGGAAATCAGCCAATTTAAATTCTTTCTATGAATTTGTTAAAATGACATTTTGAAACAGGAAACCACCTCTTCATGTCAGTGGACAGGGTGTGTAATGTGTGTGTAATGATAAATTGCTCTGTTTTATACTGTCCTAAAATGAAACAGAAATTTGTGAATTTTATTTTTTTTTTTTGTTCAGGGTTAAAACCACTATAGGTTAACTATCAATATGATTTGAAATATATTATTGTTTTAATCTGGATATTATTATATAAATACTGCATGTAGTTGAGTGTAACATTGAAAATTTTCACCCCTTGAAAACCATTGTGCCGAGGTTGACAATAGTTTTCGAGGGGTGAAAATTTTCAATGTTATACTCAACTACATGCAATATTATATTATACTGAATGTTTTATGCAAATACATATTACAGTGAACCTTGCGCGCATGAATTCTGCGCAGTCAATATTTTTTGGAATAACACCCGTCGTCAAGCAATGTTAACTGTTGCTACGCTGGAGGGTGTGGCTTCATTATTCAGCGGGTAATAGTGTTTTTTAACAAATACATGATTGTATTTCTGGACGAATCAAATTCAACTAATTTACATGAAAGTATAATATTATGTAATAATGCCTTGTGTGTTCTATAAGATTTTCTTAAGTTCTTCATCAGTGTATGTATTAAAAATAAAATATAATGGAAGTCATATTTGATGTAACAGTTGATGCATTGTAATGCAGAGGGGATCAATTTCATACATAAAATGAAGTATCAAATTTTTTTTTTCATACTTTCTGGAAATATATAATAAGCATATTTTTGTATTCAATTAGTATTTGTGTGAACAATATAGTGGAAATCATTAAAATTCAGAAGAAATTCAAATTTCTTTTTCTAGCAATTTAAAAAAGAAAAATGTCTTCTTTTTATTTTGATTTAATCTTAGTTTTATAAAGTATGTACAAAAAAGACTATTAGAGTAAGCTAGACTTTTTAAAACAAGAAATATTTTCCTTCCCTAAAATAAGAAAAAAAAACAGTTATGGAGAAACCTACAAACTTGGTATGTCTTGATATTTGGATATTATTCTAAAATATTGGAATATTTTTTTCCCTCAAGATACTATTACTGTAAGTCTAAGTGTTTTGATATGCATGTATAACTTGCAGATATGTATAAGGTAAACTCATCTTTTGATAGTCAGGTGTGTGTAAATTGCCGTGTAATTTTGTGTTTTTGCCACAATTAAGGGTAACAACTTGATAAAGTTACCAAGATTATCTTGATAAACATTCCTTAAGTTATATAGTAATGTCATTTAATGATGATCAAGTGAATGATTAGATTAAACTAATTGTTTAAGTTCTTGAAGTGTTAGAAACTAGGAGAGGAACAATTGCTGTGTAAACCCGTAGCCACTGTTTTTTAACTGGGAGATGTCTGATCTTTCATTGTTTTTGATTGTACCTATCTTAATATGATCAATTCTGTACGGCTGATTTACAGATGTTTTCGGAACTATAGACTCAGAATAGCACACATCATGAAATAGCGTCAAGAAGTTGAATTTAGTATTAACTGCATCATGTTTTAGTTTTACGAGCACTAAAGCTGCTGACATTGGTATTTGAGTTGAGTATATTTAAGCATTCAATTCTTGTTTTTGGATGTCATTGGTCCTAAAACAGCACCTGGCCCTACCAACAAATTGAATATCGCGTGTTAGCACGGTATGATAATTTGTTGGCATTGACAAGTGCTGTTATAGGACCGACAACATCCAAAATTTATAAATTCAATGCTTATTATTTACATTCTCTAATTTTCTCTCTTATTACTTGTTAAATTTCATTAATCTTTATTATAAATTTAGCGCCTTTCAGAACTGGTGTGCTTAATAGATGTAAAAGCCGTTGTGATGTTTGAAAGTTAAATAACGCAAAGAAATATTTTGCTTGGGAAAAAAATGACAAATTAATTTTAAAAATACAATTGTTATATTTCTAAAATAATTTAATAGGGTAATTGTTTTTAATTAAATTGAGTTAAAACAATATACATTTTGGTGTTCCTAGAGTATTGAAAATGCAGTTCCTACTGTGTATTCTTCCTTGCTGTGACAAGGTTTTGCGTGTGTTATAGGGTTTGGAATGTTGTAGATTAATTTCCAATGGATTTTGTAAAGAAAATTACACTGAATGTAAATATATACACATAACGGTCTTTGCAGTTGAGGTATATACACTTGATGGATGAAATTATCATAAATCAGAAGCAAAATATCCCATCTGTAATCATATCTACTAATGACTACTATACATAAACATTAGTGATTGCATTGTAGAACTGTGAAATTTCACAATAAATAAACTAGGAGATCAGGTCTGGTTAGTCAGTGAGATGCTGAGTAACATATAAGATATACATGGATCTACTACTGATGAGACTTATGAAAACTATTCTCGACATCCTGGCATTTGTACATGAGTGTATTAATGATTTAATCTGATCATAAAAGTGATCGGATAATTGTATGTGTATTGGAGGTGTATTGGGGGTGTATTGTAAGCAATAAGTGACTCCATTAATAAGAAGAACAAGCCATATGTAAGTAATTAACCCATCTGATCAGTAACAAGGTGTTCCCTAGAGATGATACTAATCATGACTTTTTCAGGAGTTGGCTGGGCTATGTTTGTGGTATCAGTGTTCATCTGTATTTACTACAACATGATCATCGCCTATACCCTGTACTATCTCTTCGCCTCACTGGCTGCCAATCTACCATGGGCTGAGTGTGGGGAGTGGGCCACTGAAGGTGGGAAGAGTTATCTCTCCTTACAAGCACAATGTGTTACACTTTATAGCTCTGTACATAATATCCTACTTGTGTCTCAAAAATTATGCCATTTCATCATGTTCATTGGCTAAGTAAAATCATATTTAGTTTTTTTTTTTGTCCTAGCTATGAAATATGCAGAGTAAATTAATTATTCTGAAAATATTTATAAGCAGTATCAATTATGAGCTGGTGTAAAATTAAGAAAATTCAGAGAACTTCCTTTTTTTCAAATTGAAAAGATTTAATGTCATATTGTTAATCATTTTTCTTGTTCCCATGTTTTTTTTTAACCACTGAAGGTGGTAGTGTGAACAATACATAAAAAATTGTTCTTCTGATGAAGATCGACCTGAAAATATTGTAGTATTAAAGTATTGTGCATAAATTCATACATTGTTTTTTCCCCCTGACTTTTAGCGTGTAGTACAGAGATGAAGTTTAAGATGCTGAAGTGTCAGCGTACCAATGGAACCTGGTGTGATGACCAGTGTGTAAACTCCACTGCTTTAGACTTCTCCACTATGAACTGTACCTTCTACAATGGCACTACAAAACTCAAGTCACCAAGCGACGACTATTTCCAGTAATTAACTTATCAGACTATATGGTTACTTTGTACTTTTCATGATTATACCCGAAAATACAAAATAGTTGCTGGAGAAAATTTGATAACATATTTCATAAAGGTCCCTGCCAGAAGTAATACCTCCTTTTCTTGAAAGAGTACCACCTGTTTCTAATCTTTTAGAAAGCCCTGACTTTTACTGCATTGCCAAACTCACAACCTAATATCACTAATTAAACAGACTGATTTCATTTATATATATATAACCCCTTGAGGTTTTGTGAGGGGAATATTAGGAATCACTTTGTCTGTAATGGTTTGGGCTGTGGATATTGGCCTGGTTAGCTCAGTAGATAGTGCATCCAACTAGTGATGCAGGGTTCTCGGATTTACCAAAGGACAAGATATTTTGGGAGAAAAATAGTAAAATGTAATGGGACATAAATTTTAAGCCTGCTCACATATTTTCCAGTGTCTACATGGTTTTATAAACTTATTAGCCCACCTGAGATGAAAGCTCAAGTGAGCTATTCTGATCATATTGGTCTGTCTGTCCATCTGTAAACTTTTCACATTTTCAACTTCTCCTCCAGAACCACCAATTTCAACCAAACTTGCCACAATGTATCCTTGGGTGAAGGGGGTTCAAGTTTGTTCAAATGCAATCTAATTAAAATTAGATGTTCTGAATCCTCGACCCCTTCTCAGACACTTAACAACATCCCATTCAGGGTCATGTTGGGTTTTGACCCCTGGGTGTTGGGTGGGGCCACAATGGAGGATCAAAGTTTTATATATAGGACAAAGTCTAGAAATCTTCGTGTCAAGAATAGCAAAGCCATGTTTAGTCATATTGATATGGAAGCATCCTCAGGTAGTGAAGATTCATTTTTAGCTCACCTGAGCTGAAAGCTCAAGTGAGCTTTTCTGATCACATTTTGTCCGGCGTCCGTCTGTCCGTCTATCTGTCTGTCTGTCCGTCCGTCTGTCCGTCTGTCTGTCTGTAAACTTTTCACATTTTCGACTTCTTCTCAAGAACCACTGGGCCAATTTCAACCAAACTTGGCACAAAGTATCCTTGGGTAAAGGGGATACAAGTTTGTTCAAATGAAGGGCCACGCCCTCTTTCAAGGGGAGATAATAAGGAATTAGTGAAAAAATAATGGCATCATTTAAAAATCTTCTTCTCAAGAACCACAGGGCCAGGAAAGATGAAACTCAGGTGGAAGCATCCTCGGGTAGTGTACATTCAAGTTTCTTCAAATCATGACCCCCGGGGGTAGGGCGGGGCCACAATGGGCGATCAAAGTTTTACATAGAAATATATAGGAAAAATCTTTTAAAATCTTCTTCTCAAGAACAGCAAAGCCATGATGAGTCATATTTATATGGAAGCATCCTCAGGTAGTGTAGATTCAAGTTTGTTCAAACCATGACCCCCGGGGGTAGGGCGGGGCCACAATGGAGGATCAAATTTTTACATAGAAATATATAGGAAAAATCTTTTAAAATCTTCTTCTCAAGAACAGCAAAGCCATGATGAGTCATATTTATATGGAAGCATCCTCAGGTAGTGTAGATTCAAGTTTGTTCAAACCATGACCCCCGGGGGTAGGGTGGGGCCACAATGGAGTATCAAATTTTTACATAGAAATATATAGGAAAAATCTCTAAAAAATCTTCTTCTCAAGAACAGCAAAGCCATGATGAGTCATATTTATATGGAAGCATCCTCAGGTAGTGTAGATTCAAGTTTGTTCAAATCATGACCCCCGGGGAGTAGGGTGGGGCCACTTTGGAGGATCAAAGTTTTACATAGAAATATATAGGAAAAATCTTTTAAAAATCTTCTTCTCAAGAACAGCAAAGCCATGATGAGTCATATTTATATGGAAGCATCCTCAGATAGTGTAGATTCAAGTTTGTTCAAATCATGACCCTGGGGGGTAGGGTGGGGCCAAAATGGAGGATCAAAGTTTTACACAGAAATATATAGGAAAAATCTTTAAAAATCTTCCTAAGAGTCATATTTATATGGAAGCATCCTCAGGTAGTGTAGATTCAAGTTTGTTCAAACCATGACCCCCGGGGGTAGGGCGGGGCCGCAATGGACTATCAACGTTTTACATAGAAATATATAGGAAAAATCTTCTCGGGAACAGCAAAGCCCAGATTTGTCATATTTATATGGAAGCATCCTCAGGTAGTGTAGATTCAAATTTATTCAAATCTTGACCCCCGGGGTAGGGCGGGGCCACAATGGAGGATAAAAGTTTTACATAGAAATGTATAGGAAAAATTTAAAAAATCTTCTTCTCAGGAACAGCAAAGCCCTGATTGATCATATTTATTTGGAAGCATCCTCAGGTAGTGTAGATTCTATTTTGTTCAAATCATGACTCCTGTGGATAGGGTGGGGCCAAAATGGAGGATCAAAGTCTTAAATAGAAATATATAGGAAAATGTCTTCTTCTGAAGAACTGCAAACCATGATTAGTCATTTTGATTCAATTTTGTTCAAATGATGACCCCCAGGGGTAGGGTGGGGCCCAATGGGTGATTGAAAGTTTTACATAAGAACATATAGAAAAAATATTTCTTCTCAAGTTCAGAAAAGCTATGTTCAGTCATATTGATACGGAAGCATCCTCAGGTAGTGTTGATTCAAGTTTGTTCAAATGATGACCCCTGGGATAGGGAGGAGCCACAATGGGGGATCAAATTTTTACAAAGGAATATATGGGAAATTTTTTTAAAAACTTCTCAAGTACAACAAAGCCATTTGTTATATTGACATGGAAGCATCATCAGGTTGTTTAGAATTCATGCCCCCCCCCCCCCCCCCCAGTAATCTTTTCAATACTGAACTGATTTGTACTTTTGCGTAGCCAATGTGCTCAGGTGAGCGATGTGACCCATGGGCCTCTTGTTGTTCAAATTTTGACCCCCCCAGGGGATGGATTGGGCCACAGTGGGTGATCAAAGTTTTACATAGGAATATACAGTGTATAGAAAGAAATCAAAAATCTTCTCAAGAACAGCAAAGCCATGTTTAGTAATATTGATATGGAAGCATCCTCAAGTAGTGTAAATTCAAGTTTATTCAAATCTTGACCTCCGGTGTAGGATGGGGCCACAATGCACTATCTGAGTTAAACATTTTGATGTATAAGGAAAAAATTCTCTAAAATCTTTTTCTCAAGAACAGCAAAGCCAAGTGTAGTCACATTGATGTGGAAGTATCTTGAGGTAGTGTAGATTCTAGTTCGTTCAAATCATGACAGTGAGGGGTAGGGTGGAGCTACATCTATAAAAATCATGACACCTGGGGGTAGGGTGGGGTCACAACAGGGATAAAAGTTTTACATAGGAAAATATAATAGAAAAAATCTGCTGATGAAGAACAGCAGGGCCGTTTTGACTCAGGTGAGCATTGTGGCCTAGGGTCTCTTGTACCAGTATTTTAGCTCAGTAAATGTAATTTATGAAGAGTTTTCACGAAAAAAGAAATTTCTAAGTCGTTAATCTCACAAATTTATATTAACAGAAACATTTCAGTTATAAAATTGATATCTGTTTCATTATCAAATAGTATATTATGGCAAATGTGAACTAAGTTTCATTGAAGTCGGCAATTATAATTATAGTGATATTTATTTGTAGTTTGAGATAAAAAGGTTGTAGATAGATGAAGAAAAAATGGATGTTATATTTTTCTTTCAAAATGACACGTGCATATATCATGATCTGTACTTCTGTTGTCAGTAAGAGTGTCCTTGACATCACGGAAGGTATCCACACCCTGGGGGGTGTGAGGTGGGAGCTTGCTGGCTGTCTCTTACTGGCTTGGGTGTTGGTCTGTATTTGTCTGGCCAAGGGCATCAAAACTTCAGGAAAAGTAAGGACAATTCAGTGTGATTAAGAATGAAAAATATAGGACAATTGAAAATCAAATCATGAAAGAATTCATACATGTAATACAATATGAAAATAAGGAATATTTAATTTCTGGTGTCTTGTGTCAAAAGTTTCAAAAAAATCATTTAAGTAGCATTGTTTATTATTAATGTCTTAATTTAACTCCTATTAAAAGATCTTGATACCTTGTTGTTTTTCAGGCTGTTTACTTCACTGCCTTCTTCCCATATGTCGTTTTGTTGATCTTGTTAATAAGAGGCCTGACTCTGCCTGGATCTCTCAAAGGAATTGTGTACTACGTCACACCACAGTGGGACAAACTAGCCAGGGCACAGGTATGATAGAGGAGGGGTATGACAGAACCATTGGTTTTAAGAAAAAATCCTTTCCAAAAAGACTCCAGTTTTAGCAAAGAAGTTGAATTCAATTTTTTTGTTCAAAACAAACAAAGAAAAAGAATTTCTGAACTTTTTGTTCATCTTTGTGGCATGTTCATTTGTTTGTATGTTACAGTGGCAGTGTATTGGATTGGGGGGATACTGCAGTCTTGAAATTTCTTTTCATCTACCTCTGTTGAATGTTGGGGGAGACTGTAGTTTTACATTTCTTTATAAGTTTACATCTTGGGGATGTTGCATTACTGATTTTCTTCTCCCCATCTCTTTGTTACATCTTTCTGCATGTAAATCTGTATGTTGTAAGCTTACGGGGATGCCTCTTTCTATGCAAATCTCCATCTTGTAGGTTTAAGTGATGTTGCAGTACATGTACTGATTTTCTTTTCCCCGTCTCTTTGTTACATCTCTGTATGATGTAGGTTTGGAGGTTTGGATGTGTGTGTGCTGCATTACAGATTTTTTTTATCCCTGTTTCATCTCTTTCTACGTAAATCTCTATGTTGTAGATTTGTGGAGATGCTGCTTTTTAGATGTTCTTCTCCATGTCTTTCTGTTACATTTGTTTGTATGTTGTAGGTTTGGGGGGATGCTGCCGTACAGATTTTCTTCTCTCTGTCTCCCTGCTGGGGAGGGCTTATTACCCTGGCTAGTTACAACAAGTTCCATAACAATTCTAAAATGTAAGTCACCAAAATTATGTCAAGTCAAATCGTGTAAAAAGTATTCAATTGCATTTACATAATCTAACAATAATTTTCATTCCAAAAATCATATCATTGCGATTACTTATGAAATTCATAAAATGTCATTCAAAAGATTGTGAACTTATCCTTTGTATTATGTTTGTTCTTTCTGACAGGGATGCCATTATTGTGTCTGTACTTGACTCTGTTACCAGTGTCTTTGCTGGCTTGGTGATTTTCAGCATCATTGGTTACATGGCTGAGGTGTTGGAGCAGCCCATTGATAAAGTGGCTACTGAAGGTATAGTCATTTTTGTAAACAAGGGGGATAAATGTATGTCGTCATTAACCAAGAAAATGATAATTTAAAGTGAGTATAGCTTTGTCCAGAGCTCTTAGAAAACAGAATAAAGAACCCCATTTCCATCTCCTGTTTCTACAGGAATGGTGGAGAGTGTGTGTGTGAATTGTTATTTGGCATGATTGATGGGTGAGAACATGTTAATGAAGGATTTGATGTTAGATTTTTCGGTTCCCTTTTAACAGGTGCAGGATTGGCCTTTGTAGCATACCCTGATGTAGTGACAAAACTCCCCCTTTCACAATTGTGGTCTGTGCTTTTCTTTGCTATGCTAATCACTCTTGGACTTGGAACTCAGGTAAAGTATAATGTACCCAGACCAGGACATGATAGGTAAAATAACAGGTATTTATGAAGGTGTGTCTTACCCTCCCTATAGAAGCTCAGTACCCTCCATCACATGTCCTTCATCTCTGTGGTACTTTCTGTAATATACCTTAATCATGGGGATGATGGTCTACTTGATAGTGAGGGAGATTGTCCATATGAATTGTGAGAAACTGAAAATATATTTTATTTTATTTTTTTAAAACCTTTTTCCAAAGTTCTGAATTTGAAAAGAATGAAATATATGAAGTAGTGTTTTTAAATATAGTATTCATAGCTCACTGTATGAAGCTAATCATTGCATTTAATGTCAATGTTTATTGGTACACCTAAAATGTCTAGTTTGTCTACTATACAGTGTTTGAAACTCACCGAAAAATAAGCTAGAAATGCAGGGCTGGCTGTTAATTAAAGTTGCCAGCCCTGGCAAAAATCAGGTAGCCCGAGAAGATATTTGTCTTTTATAAATTCATTTTAGCAATAATGTGAATGGAGCCAGATCACCATATCTTCAATCCTGAACCAACAGGCTGACGAATTCTACCCGTTTGCTTGTTTCACTTTGCTCCCGATGCTATTAGTTGCTTTGAAAGAGATCAAATATCTAAATTTTAATTTATGGAAATTGATCATCAGCTTTGTTGTAATTACTGGTGATTTTATAATACATTCTGAAATTGAAAATCATCGAAACTAAACTACACAAACTCAGATGAAATACGACTTTCTACAGCTAGAATTTTGAACATTTTACTCTGCAGGTCAGCTTCATTAAAAAAAATAACTTTTCTCTTGCAGCTATTTGTCACAACAGAAAACTGATTTGAATAAAAACAAAATATAACTAAATCTTTTTCTCATTTTGTAGATTTCCACAGTAACCACAGTGCATACCACATTGCTGGATCAGTTTCCTAACCTTCGTAAAGGTCACAGGAAGACTATCCTATTGATCATCATTGCTATCTTTTGTTTCCTGATTGGACTCATCTTCTGTTCTCAGGTCAGTAGCCTAGTATTACAAAATTTTATTCAACTTTCTTTTACCTGCAGAAAATGTTAAATTATCTATGCTGTTTGAATGTGTTGTCCATCATAGATATTGATTGATGCTGAAAAAATGAATTAATAAATACACTGTAGAAGTTAATACAACATAACCCATAGAAAAAAAAAAGAATGCCCTAATTATTATACCCCCGCTCCGAAGCAGAGGGGGGTATACTGTTTTACCCTTGTGTGTCTAGCTATCTGCCTGTCCGTCCCTGTGTGTTTTCTGTCCATAACAAATTTTGGTCACAGTTTTCTCAGCAATTACTCATCGCTGATGCTTGAAATTTTAGCACAATCTTTGTTTAGGCATGCCATATGGTGGGATTCATTTTTGTGAGAATCCGATGTCAACTTCCTGTTATCCGTGCGTCTGTCCGTACCATACATAACAAATTTTGGTCACAGTTTTCTCAGCAATTACTCATCGCTGCTGCTTGAAAGTTTAGCACACTCTTTGTTTAGGCATGCCATATGATGGGATTCATTTTTGTGAGAATCCGATGTCAACTTCCTGTTTATCCGTGCGTCTGTCCATACCATGCATAACAAATTTTGGTCACAGTTTTCTCAGCAATTACTCATCGCAGATGCTTGAAATTTTAGCATACTCTTTGTTTAAGCATGCCATATGGTGGAATTCATTTTTGTGAGAATCTGATTTCAAGTTCCTGTTTATCTGTGGATCTGTCTGTACCATACATTACAAATTTTGGTTGCAGATTTCTCAGCAACTATTTATTGCAGATGCTTGAAAGCTTAGCACACTCATTGTTTAGGCATGTCATATGATGGGATTCATTTTTGTATGAATCTGATGTCAACTTCTTGTTTATCTGTGTGCTTCCCAAAAATCAACTTATGTATTCTCATCAGAGTGGGGGTATTATTAGTGAGCATTGGCTCACAAACTTCTTGTTTTGTGTCATTAATGATGACTGTTAGGTAACTATAATTGTACCTGTATTATGACAGGGTGGAATGTACATGCTACAGCTGTTTGATAATTATGCTGCCACCTGTTATGTAACGATAATTGTACCTATGTATTATGACAGGGTAGAATGTACATCCTACAGTTGTTTGATAATTACGCTGCCACCTATTATGTAACTATGATTGTACTTATGTACTTTGACAGGGTGGAATGTACATGCTACAGCTGTTTGATAATTATGCTGCCACCTGTTATGTAACAATAATTGTACCTATGTATTATGACAGGGTAGAATGTACATGCTACAGATGTTTGATAATTACACTGCCACCTGTTATGTAACGATAATTGTACCTATGTATTATGACAGGGTGGAATGTACATGCTACAGCTGTTTGATAATTATGCTGCCACCTACTCCCTGTTGTTTATTGGTATGGTGGAGTGTATAGGTATATCTTGGGTGTATGGTGAGTATAAAGTTAATAGAATTGATAAAATTTAACTGTATGTAAATGCTAATAAAGGACTAGATAGGCTAAGACCCCTTTTTGGCCCCTGGTTTGGGGTGCCTTTTAGAATGATGCAACAGTTATCAATAAAAACCTGTTGTCACCCCTGCCACAACATGAGTATTGGTTCTAAGTTATGGGATACACAGAGGTCACAGGAAGGTCAGAAAATATGTCAATTTCCGAATTTTCTCATTTTTATGCACATTTTCATCGATTTTAGAGCGCATTTTGTTTCTGAAAAAAATAGAGCACAAGTTTGCCTATCTACCAAATTTATATATTTCATACACTAATATCAGATGCATCTTTTGTATAAAAATCTCAGATAGGCAAGCTTGTGCTCTATGTTTCCCGAAGTGAAAAGTATCGCAAATTTGACAAAATTCCACAGAAATTAAGGAAATTTGGGAAAATGTCCTACTTTTGCACCCTCTTGTGCCCTCCGTGTAAGCTTTGAATCAAAATTAGTGCTTGTTTTAAATCAAGCATCATTTTAAGTTCTTAACTACAAACTATCACAATTTTAACTGTGTTCTGATTTTTACATCAAATAAGGGGCCAGATTCGGCCATTACCATGCCTTGTCCTTTATAAAGTTTGGAAGAGAACATTCAACAAGGGAATGGTGGGAGAGGTTTGGGTGGATTAACTTCGCACTAGAGATTTCTTATCTCTAAGTATACATCATATATGATCTTTCATCAAGATAATCGTGCCTCTGCTTGAAAATGCAAAAGCCTTATAGGAATCACATTGTTTGTCCATCTCTCTGTCAACATTTTTGTTGTGATGTGAAGTCTTAAGACAGTTCTTACAAATACACTAGTGATTCCATAGTACTTTTCTTTCAGAGATTTCTTTCTACCCATTAGGAATGGTAACAATACCCATTCCACTGGGAAAAATTGTGTCAAAAAAGAACAAATTTGGAATGAATTTCTATCATGTCAACAAATGACATTTATTCTAAAATCATTTATGATTAATCCATGTTTTCAGGAATAAACAACAAAATTTCATTGTTTACCATATTTATGTTGCTTGTTCTTACATTTTCAAATTGTCAGTAGAGTCAATTAGTCAACTCATACAATGTGTCATAACAATGTTCCTCGGCAGCTGAATTGGGAATTTTTAGTCTCAAACTTGGGAAAAATCAGCGTTTTGGGCATATAAAATGGTACCGTTTATTGGTATCAGTTATAAAAGGAAGAAAAAATATGCTGTCTTATGTGCTTTATTTTGTACTTAACATTACAGTAGCTATACTAAGTACTTTGTCACTTTCCTTTGACAGCCCTTAGTGGGGCCCTCTCTGACTGTGTCTGTTTTCTATTTTGCTATGGAAACATTATTTCTAGTACGAAAGAAATATAAAAAAGGTGAAAATTTTGTAGGTGCTGATAGATTTTTGACAGACATTGAGTTGATGTTAGGGACTCGTCCTAGCAATATATGGAAATACAGCTGGAAATTTGTGGCTCCTTTGGCTCTGTTGGTAAGAATCGGATTCATTTATGATTAGAGCATTAAGGTATGATCTGTATCTCTAGGAATATCTAAAGAACAAAGCTCAGTGGCTCTGCTAGAGTGTATACATTGGTAAGTTGTCTATCTCTCTCTAACTTTCAATTTGTCTGTAAACAGTTGTACAAAACTCTATTCCTTCTAGATTGAGGTTTTGTTTGATTCCAGTAGATCTTGGTACATACATGTATGTACACTAGAGCAACATTTGTGTTTCAATTGATGTATTCTAGGTTTATTGGTCAGAGACCAGAAGAGAGATACTGTCTTGTCAGAGACTTCTCACTCATTCTTACAGTACATAAAGTTATTCTTTATATTCTGTCTGGATGCAAGTTTTGAATTACTGTAATCTTTGTTAATGCTGAATTTTATTCTTTTGACAGGGCATCCTGCTTTTTACAGCGATTGATTTTAGCCCCACAGAATATAACAAAGAGAAGTTCCCAGGGTGGGCAGATGGTGTGGGCTGTCTCATCTCTATAGCGTCCATCATGATGATACCCATTGTGGCAATATACATGCTCTTGAGACGTAGGAGTCAATTCTCAGGGTCCTTTATTGAAGTAAGTCAACAAATACTCCTTAACTGATTAATGCAATCATGAATAAGTGCATTAGAACCTTCACAACACAAGTATTAGTTAAAATAATGTATTAGTGAGTACATAAAATAGCAGACATGAATGCACTTTATCTCTACACTTAACAATCTAGGAACAAACTTAATAAATAATTAGTGCACATAAAATTTTTGTTCTGTTATTAAATTTGTGTTGCATGTCTTCAGAGGTTGGGCTGAGTTAGTCATATCGAGAAGTTCTTGATACTTGGATGACGGTTAGGGCTCATAGGCCCCTTGTTTTTAACCCTGGGATGAGAGTGGGTCTACATTTTGGAATAAATTTTACATAATTTATTGCATCTACATGCTATTGGGGAAAAAATCTTTAAAAAATATTCTTGAAGTTCAGAGCAGCAGAGTCATGTTATTAGTCATACTGATGCAACCCCATATTGCTTCCTTGTGTACTAAGTTTGCTTGACTCCCCCCCCCCCCCCCCCCTCCCCATTATTTATTTCACTAATTTTTCTTTTTGCACTGAAAAAAGGACACTTTGATGATAATATAAACCTCTTTGTTTCATAAAAGCAATAGTGTTAACCAAATGGATTCTGTTAGATGTTCTTTTGATAGTGTAGAGTTCCTGGTTAATCTTTTGACATGGTTTTTTTCTATAGCTAATCAAGCACCTGTCAAAACCAACAGAAAAATGGGGTCCTTACAAGAAAGATCATCGAGCACAGAGACAGAGAATGGATGATACCTATAACTACGAGTCACAGATTCCCCTTAAAGATCACACCGACAGCCATAAAGTTTAATACCTACCAAAACTAGAAAAGGAAATAATTTTCTGAGCAAGAATCCAAAATAAGGACTTAGGAGATTATTTAAGGTGCAGGCAATCACAAAACAAATACTATTGTGATTTTTTTAGCTCACCTGAGCTGAAAGCTCAAGTGAGCTTTTCTGATCACATTTTGTCCGTAGTCCGTCTGTCCGTCCGTCTGTAAACTTTTCACATTTTCGACTTTTTCTCCAGAACCACTGGGCCAATTTCAACCAAACTTGCCACAAAGCATCCTTGGGTGAAGGGGGTTCAAGTTGGTTCAAATGAAGGGCCATGCCCTCTTCCAAGGGGAGATAATTAAGAATAAGTGAAAATTTGGTGTCTTCTTTTAAAAATCTTCTTCTCAAGAACCACAGGGCCAGAAAAGTTGAAACTTATGGGAAACCTTCGTTACATAGTGTAGATTCAAGTTTGTTCAAATCATGACCCCCGGGGGTAGGGTGGGGCCACAATGGGGGATCAAAGTTTTACATAGGAATACATAGGAAAATTCTTTAAAAATCTTCTTCTCAAGAACAACAAAGCCACAGTTAGTCATATTGATATGAAATCATCCTCAGGTAGTGTAGATTCAAGTTTGTCCAAATCATGACCCCTGGGGGTAGGGTGGGGCCACAATGGGGGATCAAAGTTTTACATAGGAATATATAGGAAAATTCTTTAAAAATCTTCTTCTCAAGAACAACAAAGCCACAATTAGTCATATTGATATGAAATCATCCTCAGGTAGTGTAGATTCAAGTTTGTCCAAATCATGACCCCTGGGGGTAGGGTGGGGCCACAATGGGGGATCAAAGTTTTACATAGGAATATATAGGAAAATTCTTTAAAAATCTTCTTCTCAAGAACAACAAAGCCACAATTAGTCATATTGATATGAAATCATCCTCAGAGTAGTGTAGATTAAGTTTGTTCAAATCATGACCCCCGGGGGTAGGGTGGGTCCACAATAGGAGATCAAAGTTTTACATAGGAATATATAGGAAAATTCTTTAAAAATCTTCTTCTCAAGAACAACAAAGCCACAGTTAGTCATATTGATATGAAATCATCCTCAGGTAGTGTAGATTTAAATTTGTTCAAATCATGACCCCCGGGGGTAGGGTGGGTCCACAATGGGGGATCAAAGTTTTACATAGGAATATATAGGAAAATTCTTTAAAAATCTTCTTCTCAAGAACAACAAAGCCACAATTAGTCATTTTGATATGAAATCATCCTCAGGTAATGTAGATTCAAGTTTGTTCAAATCATGACCCCCGGGGGTAGGGTGGGGCCACAATGGGGGATCAAAGTTTTACATAGGAATATATAGGAAAATTCTTTAAAAATCTTCTTCTCAAGAACAACAAAGCCACAATTAGTCATATTGATATGGAATCATCCTTAGATAGTGTAGACTCAAATTTGTCGAAATCAAGACCCCCAGGGGTAGGGTGGGGCCACAATGGGGGATCAAAGTTTTACATAGGAATAAATAGGAAAAATCTTTTCAAGAACAGGAAAGCCGTGATTAGTCATTTTGATATTGAAGCATCCCCAAGTATTGTAGATTCAAGTTTGTTCAAGGCATCCTCCAGTAGTAGGGTGGGGCCATAATCGGGGATCAAAGTTTAACAAAAGAATATATTATAAGAAATATCTTAAAAAGTCTTCTTCTCAAGAACAACAAAGCCATAATTAGTCATATTGATATGGAAGCATCCTTAGGTAGTGTAGATTCAAGTTTGTTCAAATCTTGAACCCCCCTCCCTTCCTCCCCCCCAGGGTAGGATGGCAGACATCTTTAAAATTCCGTTTCAAGAATAGCAAAACCATGATTAGTTATATGAATATAGAAGCATCCTCAGAAAGTTTAGATTCAATTTCAGTCAAAACATGGCAACTGGGGATAGGTTATGCCTAGAACAGTTGATCAAAGCTTTACGTATGAATATATAGAAGAAGAAATCTGCTGACAAAGAACAGCAGGGCCATATTGACTCAGGTGAGCGTTGTGGCCCATGGGCCTCTTGTTTAAATTTCACCTTGTACGTTCAGGATGTGAATCTCCGTTACCATTCAAGTGACAAATCAAATATAATATTCTTGATTACAGTCTTCCTAGGTCAATATGACATTTCCTTGAGAAATCATACGAAGAAGAAATTGGAAATAATTGTTGCAATACACATCAGCATTATCTAGTAGACAAAGCCAAATTTTTGATGAACGTGTGCTTTGAGTTTAAAATTCCTGGCATTTTTTTCTCTTTGTAACATAGTCACAAATGATTCAATATGCACAAATATATTAAAGTCTCTTAAATTTTTCATATTAAGTAATTTTCTACAGAATATCAATTGCTCCTTGAATTCACCACAGAAGCCTGAGTATTAGCACTTTGATGTATATATCTGTTGTACATATATTTATATGTAACTTTCTGTCTCTTGTACAAGATTGACACACTGTAATTACCTTGCAGTTCCTGTGTGTAGAATGGTATTTATCAGTGTACAACTCTACCTTTTCCAGCCTATGTATGAAATGGAGAGTTAACTAAGAAAGGTGTTTTTGATAGTATATGACGGTAGTTTGATAATGTACATGTACACCTGTACCTTATGTTGGTGTATATATTTAGAATGATTATCAAGTTTCAACAGAGAAATAATATTTTATTTAGCAAAATCATCAAAACACTGACATACAGTGTGTGATCTGAGAACTTTGTGCTTCCTTGATTAATAGGTGCTGAAAAAAAATTATGTTGGTTTTTTGTCTAACTTTTCTGGACGCCATAATAAAGCTTAAAATTGACTTGTGACACAATAACACTGAATAGAAGTCAGCAGGTCATCTGTGATAAGTGAAAACCTCAATCCTCATGTATCAAGAATTTAATAATTATTGTGCATTCCCCATCTGTACTGAAATCATTGGTTTTACTTTTGTGTGTACCTGTAGGATTGTGACCTTCTCCTCAGCTTTATATGCAGCAACTATAAAAAAAAAAAACAATGCTTCTGTGTTGAAAAAAAAAAACAGACTAAAATTTAATTTTTTTTTTTTTAATTTCACAAAACTGTACAAAAAGAAAAAGTGCATTAGTTATCCATAGTATTTATATTACACTTGTGCCTTTAACACCTGCCATTGATAATCCAGCATCATTTGAGGCCAGAAGTGCTTTTTTTTTTACACTAGTACTGTGTTATTTAAACCTTGTAATATGCATGCCATTTCACTGCTTTTAATGTCTAGATCACTTTGTTCACACAATAGTGTACACATATTGTTATTACATCATCTGGCCCTGTCCTCATACTCATAGTTCAGAATTCCACTACACATTTGAATTGTTGTATTAGTGCTTAAACTTTTGTACTTGCATTTGTAATCAAAATCAGTATCAACTGTACTTTTCATATCAGTGATATTTTAAAATAAATAAAAATGCTAATTCAGTAAGCATAATTTACAATCATGTGTAAAATATGTGTAAAATATATATAGTAGCCTTCAATACTGCAATATGCAATGAATTTTAAAACTACATGTAATTAACAAGTGTGTATAGTTACCAGGTAAATTTCTTCAGCCTAAAATACAATAATTGTATTTGTAATGCTTGTCTAGGCTTCGACAACATTTGTTAGGGATGTGTATTAATGGTATTTTATGGACTATACATGTATATACATGTAGAAATCAGAGATTTTACTTGATAAATCACTCTGTGTCTACTATATTTCAAGTAATCAGCAGTAACGGGGCAGATCATAAATCACCACCAGCCTCCTGCCGATTTATTTATTTTGTTTTACTTAATATTAGATTTGATTTCCTTTGAATCTCCCATTGAACTGTGTTTTAATGAAAATTAGTGAATCTCAGCACTATGTTTCAAACCTTTGTATATATACATACAATTATATATGTAACATTGTATTTACATTTTGATTTTGGTTAACTTTCCCACAGTAGTAGATTAATGTGTAAGCTCTATCATCTCAGGTTTCCATTTGTTATGATTTTTTTTTATTCTTTTTTAATAAATTGAATCATTAAAGTCTTTGCCAAAAATAAATTTCAGAATTTAACTTTTAAATATCTTCCTTAAAGACACATGAGAAATAAACACTACTCATGTTTACCGTACATGTTTCTGTGTTGTGATTACATAATATTGTTTCATCCTAGGACAGCATATCAGGGATTGAATAATAAAAATATCAGCATTTTCACATATATATATATATATATATACTTGTACATGTAAATACAGCCTTATGTGTGCTTAAAGTGTGTTTAATTTTATCCTTTAGAAATGAGTCAGTAGACTATGTTTTTGATACCCCATGATGAAAATTAATGTCTTAAGGAAGCTCTAAACACTGCACACGAAAGAGTTCAATTTGTAGGGTAGTTTTATTGAGTTAGAGTGATCTGCCCTTAGAAGAAAACTAGAATAAATGGGAATCTACAGTTAATGACACAATTTCTTATGAATTAAAGTATTCTAAATGTTATGTTAGACCAATATTAAGTAATTAAATACATTATTTCTATTAATTGTCCCGATGGAAGTAAACAACAGTGATTTCTGTTCACAAATAGTTCATTGTCTTTGAACATTTTTTCTGCAAAAGTAAGGCAGGTACCCTTTGTTGAAAATGAACTAGATACACTGAATATGTGCACCTTTATATGATATATTTTTTTCAAAGTCCAAAAAGCATTTTTCATTAGTGTTTAGAGCTTCCTTAAAGATAATGATTTTAAAACTGGATTGTGGGATATGCTTACCCATATACATGTAAAGAATTTTGTTTTCCTTTTTATTTCCTCTTGTCTGTTGATATGACTTGTATCTGAAATTCTTTTACTCAAAGATTGAAATTGTGCATGTATATATACTTCGTATGCTTTTGTTTTGTTGTATTCTTTTTCTAAAACAGGGAAATGACATTACTAATATATATATTTATTTTAATGAAGTGTAAGTTGTAGTGAGACATGAACTTCAGCAAGAACTTAATGGTGCTTTTAAATTTTACAGAACAATAAGATTTTTATGTCCTGACATATGCAGTACACTATGAAATCTGTTTATTTGGTATGTGTATCAAAATTATCAGCTTGTTTGGGAATTAATCGAAAGAATTTCATATTTATTATAATGCATAATATCATGTGGATTTTTTCTCTAGAATGTTATTTTTATAATTTTATTTTACATCTGTCCAAATTTTGATATTTAATTAAATTGTTACAACTCTAGTAGTTCCTACTGAATTTCAGTGGTTTTAATGGAGTGATGTCCTATTCAGGTCTCTATACATAATAATTAAGCACACTGAAATAGAACCTAGGATAGGTGCCATTTTCTAAAATATAACATGATTGTAATTTCTAGAAATATTTGCCATAGCTTTGCATCACCTAATATATACCCAACAGTTGTATAACTTTCACAATGACTGTGTCTGCAGACAGTTGAAATGGAGCAGTGTTTTATGTTCATCAAGTCTTGTTAAACTGTTTTAACTGCTGTCTATTAAAAGTCAAGATTTTATAAGGACATTTTGCCATTAAACTGCATATTTATCCAACTGTCCTGTATTATATTCCTAAAATTGTTTCCATAGAATCAAGTGCTCGAAGTAGCATAAAACTTTTTGTGTCCCCATCATCGAAGATTGAGGGGCATATAGTTTTGCACTGTCTGTCTGTCTAAAAAAACTTAAGCCTTGCCCATAACTTTTGATTGGTTGGAGCTTTGGCTATCATATTTCACTTAATTATGTATTCCTTGTGACAAGACCTTTCTTTGGGTACCAACATATTTGACCTCTTGACCTTGGAGTTTGACCCTCTTTTGAAAGATCTTGCCAAAATTTAACCTTAGCCATAGGTGCTAGGGCTTTCATACTTCACATGTGTATTCCTTGTGACAAGACCTATTCTTAGGAACAGTGGCCCCTATTTACAGAAGAACTTATGACTAAGACCAAAATATAATTTCGGAAATAACCTCCTTCTTTAAATGAATTTGAACATAATTTTATTATTTTGAAAAACAATTCAGAAAGATATATTCCTACCTGCAATTTTTAACTGAATCATTAATTTTATTTTGCAAGTTTTTTCCAGTCAACTCAATTTTTTGGTTTAGTCATAAGTGATCCTAAGAATAGGTCTTGTCACAAGGAATACCCATGTGAATCTGAACAAACATTTTTGACCTGACCTTGGAGTTTAACCTGAAAAACCTTATCCAAAATTTTGAATGGTTGGAGCTAGGGCTTTTATATTTCACATGAGTATTCCTTGTGACAAAATCTTCCCTTAGGTACCAACAATGTTGACCTTTTAACCTTGACCTTGGAGTTTTGCCTAATTTTGAAAAAAAAAAAACTTGAACCTTGGCCAAAACTTTTGAAAGGTAGGTGCTGGGCTTTTATATTTCATATGTTTAATCTGTGAAAAGAACTTCCCTTGGGTATTACCAATTTTTGATCTTGACCTTGGAGTTTGACCTACTTGAAAAACTAGAAATATGTCCATAGAACATGAATGTGCCCTGCCTAGGGTATATTAGTAATGCAACATGAAAATTTGTACATGTATTAGTGTATGAAATTTGATGAGAATATCTTGAAGTTCCTTTAAATTGAAACTAAAAAGTTGGATATAGGTGATAAATTTTCACCAATTTAGTGCATAAACTTAAACAATATATCTTAAATGGCTTCTTTTAAATTAAGCAAAATGCAGGTCACAGGTCAAGGTCACAGGAAAGTTCAAGGTCAAATGTTTTGATGCAGTTGAATACTTATCACAAATATATCAGCATATTTAAGTTTGATAAAATATTTTGAATGGTTTATTTAAAACTGAGCTAAACACTAATTTAAAAAAGTGAGGTCAAGGTCAAAGGATGGATCAAGGTAAAAATATTGATGCAGTTGAATAGCTTACATCAGTATGTATCAGCATATGAAGTTTGATACTAATTTAAGAAAAATGAGGTCAAGGTCAAAGGAATGGTCAAGGTCAGAAAATGTTGATGCAGTTGTATTTGTATCAACATATGAAGTTTGATTACACTATCTTGAATGTTATCTTTAAACTGAGCTAAACACTAATTTAAGAAAAGTGAGGTCAAGGTAAAAAAATGTTGATGCAGATTAATAGCTTACATTAGTTTGTATCAACATATGAAGTTCGATTACACTATCTTGAATGGTATCTTTAAAACTGAGCTTAATACTAATTTAAGAAAAGTGAGGTCAAAGGAAAGGTCAAGGTCAAAAAATGTTGATGCAGTTGCATACCTCTCATCAATATCTATCAGCAAATGAAGTTTGATAAAAATATCTTGGATAGTTTCTTTAAAACTGAGCTTTGAACAGAGCTAAACACAAGGCGCGACGGAAAGACAGACGGAAGGACGGAAGACGGACATGACAAATACTATATGCCCCAACCATATTCATGGCAGGGCATAACAAAAATTGGTCATAACTTTTGAATGCTTGGTGTATTCCTTGTGTGACAGAACCTTTTCTTAAGTACAATATTTTGACTTCGTGATGCTGACCTTGGAGATTGACCTCATTTTAAAACTTCAACCTTGACCATAATTTCTGAATGGTTGTTGCAAGGGTTTTCATATTTCACAGGTGTATTTCTTGTAACAAGAACTTTCTTGTGTACAAACACCTTTGATATCTTGACCTTGGAGTTTGACTTGCATTTGAGAAAATTTAACCTTGCCAAGAGCTGCCATAAGGGGGCACCAATTATTTTTCTCAATCTTTCCATCATATAAATACAAATTTTTAAAGAAACAGGCAAGATCCTCAGACTGAACAATGATAATTTAAGCCGAGTACAAGTCTGGATGCTGGAATAAAAACTTATAAATTCATCTTATGTGTAGTGGACTGGTAGACAGGAAACACATTATCAGCAATACTGGTATAATTCTACTAGTTTATACTGCTCACTTCAATGATAAAATTAAAAATAGAAGTAGATATCACATGATGGACAACAATAATTTTCTATCCTTAATATCAATGGAAAATATAATGACCTTGACCTGACCTTGCTGTGAAAGTTTCATTTTTTGAAATACAATAAATGAGAGGGATCCTTTGTTGAGGAAAAGATCTAATAGATATAGGTTCTCCCAGGGCCATAATAGAATAATGTAAGAAATGAACCATTTTCCTGACATTCAATCTAAAAAGAAGTCATCTGGATAACCATATTCAAATATATGATGTAAATTATTATTTTCTGAGAGACTAGGCAATCTGGATACATTTCATTTCTGATATGAAAAAAACCCCCTCATTTTTTAGTGCAAATTCTTTTTTAAATTGTATTTACATAAAACTTATGCCTTATTTTACCAAGCTATAGTTACTGAGCATCATTAAAGGAATTAATATCTCAAAGAGCAAGGTTCACTAAGGGCCTTGTTTGGCCCTGCGAATTTCTAAAAAATCAAAACTGCTCAGTTTAGTTGACCATTAATGCATTAAATTTCAGTTGAACCCTTGGTGACTGCATATTTATTGCAAATGATGCAATTTTTTGTAAGCTATTGCATTATGATGTAATGAAGTGTGTCATTATTCCAATATCCTACAAATTCTTGCTTCAAAAATAGCCAAAAGTTCAAGCTATTTTTTCAAATCTATATATCATATATAGCACAACCTCTGATCAAAAGTGTGAAATTATATAATGACAGTAGATCTGTCTCTGAAGATTATAAAACTGTTGTGTGTGTGTGTGTGTGTTGGGGGTGGATGGGTCATATTTTACTTCTTTGCTGAAGGTATAAACCTGTTTTTTGCACATTTGAAGAACATCACAATTTCACAAACCCTGTGTTCCAATACCTGAACTCTCAAAGGAAACTTTATTATAGGAAAAGAAAGCACCAAGTTTCCACTTCATATTGATGTTAAAAATGGGACAGAGTGATAGTCAATTAATTGGTATTAGGAGGTGTGTTCCCCGAACGGCTACTCGCCAAAAACAACAAGTAATTATCACACTCAATTAAGGGGCCCTCTAAGGGGTACAGGTAGACTTACCTGTGTTTACCTGGATTAGCAATATTTGATAAATCAGATAAATCCATTCAATTCAAAGATTTTTTTTTAAATTTTCATAATTCTACGATATAAAAGAAAAAAAAATAGATAAAATTAAGATAAATCAGATAAATTCATTCAATTTCATTTTAATTTAGAGATTTTTTTTTTATTTTCAGAACTCTAATGTGTAAAAGAAAAAAAATAAATACATAAAATTAAGATCCTTTGTATGATTGTACTTAAAATAAAAAAAATTATTGTACCTTTAATATTATTTTTTCCAAATTATTAAATAGTATTGATGGAAAATTTACATATAATTATTAATAATTATTTTTTAAAAAAATCATAAATTATTTGTTCATAAAATTAACACACACATACACAAATTATCTATATATTTCTGACTTATCTAACTCATTTATTTATCATTTTGAATGAAACCTTTTTTAAAAACTCATCATAAAATACAGAAGTTTATGCAACACTTTTTAATAATCAATAGATTTGATGTGATAAAAACAGAAACACTTTGATTTTTAATGAAGACCCAAGTTAATAAGCTAATTGATGAAGCAATGATAATTGAGATCAGTTCACTTTGAAATTTTAAATAAGAAAAACTATAAAACTTAGTGTCAAAGAAAATGATGTGCTGAACTTGCCCAATGATGCAGTCCAAGCTGCAACTACAAGAACAACACAAGCTTCAAAACAGTATATATATGACTCTGCATCTGAACTACACCTAGGATAGTGATCCCTTAGTTGTGACTTAATAAATTGTAAATATTGTAAATATGTGTGGTGTGAAAGAGTGCTTTTTTATCTATAATGAAATATGAAATGTGTTAAACAGTGCTGTTATACAATAAAACTTCAAGACAATTTGAAATAAAAAATCTGTTTAATTCTTAATTTTACTATGTTTTGTGCTTGTAAAATTATTTATTTAAAAATATGTACACAATATATATATATTTAAACTTCTGCTAAAATTTAAAAAAAAAACTTAATTACAAATCCATTTTATTTTATTTTATTTCATTTTCTGGCAGATTATTCATACAGGTAAGTCTACCTGTACCCCTTAGAGAGCCCCTTAATTGAGTGTGATAATTACTTGTTGTTTATGGCGAGTAGCCGTTCGGGGAATAAGCCTATTTTATACCTAAAGTGAACCTGCCTCTTTGAGAAGCCATTTACTAGATTTTTACCTTGAGACAGTGTTTCTGAAAAATTTGGAAATTTTTAATTTTAATCATTGGAATAACATGAAAATTAATTCATTGAAATATTAATTAAATGTTTAAATATCTACTGCAAATTGGAGGTTCAAGAGCAAATTCTGAAAAAAAAGAGAAAAGAGAAAAATAAAAATACACTGTACTTTAAACCAGAAGTCTCTAATGAGACTGTAGCTGTCCTGATTTGTACTTACAATAGTGGAAGAGAAGTTGCACATGGACTTGACACACTTTTCCAATTTTAGTTATGTATCTCTAATTTCTTTTCTTTTTTCTTTTTTTTTGAAACTTATCATTAAAAGCATCGAAACTTTAAGAGGAATAGGATTTTAAAATATTTTAACAGATTACTCTTTATTTTGTAACCATGTCAATACCATTCATCAAAACTGTAGAAGGAGTAGAGTACTAGTCCAAATCATCACTGGATTTTTATTCAAATAATGAAAAACGAATGAAGAATTGTGATCTTTGCTGTAATATACCTGTGTATTAAGTTTTACAGAAATTTATCAAAGCTAAAGGAGAAAAAGCACCTTGAAGCTACTTCCATAACTTTCTATTTAAGCTACCATGGCAACAACATTCATCAATATCAAAGCCCTTTAATTATGTATCTTGCTAGGTCGAGTTCATTTGCCTACCAAGTTCCATAGAATTCAGACCAAAACTGGGGAAAGACATTTTGAAAGAATTTTGCAGAAATTTCTATGTTTTAAATAGAAATAGAAAGCACCATTTATCAAAAAGAGGCCCATGGGCCACAACGCTCACCTGAGTAACTGGCCTGCCGTTCTTCACCAGATTTTCCCCCTTGCCATAGTTAATTACTGTGGCCTCACCCAACCCCAGGGGTCATAATTTGAACTATTTAGAATTTACACTACCGCAGAATGCTTCCACATAAGTTTCAGCTTTCTGGCCCATTGGTTCTTGAGAAGTAATTTTTTAAGGATTTTTTTTTTTTATATATATTTCAATGTAAAACTTTGATTGCCTATTGTGGCCTCACCCTACCCCTGGGGGTCATGATTTGAACAATTTAGAAATTACACTACCCCAGGATGCTTCCGAATAAGTTTCAGATTTTCTGGCCCAGTGGTTCTAGAGAAGATTTTTCTTATAAAGTTTAATTTCCTATTGTGGCCCCATCCTACCCACGAGGGTCATGATCTGAACAATTTAGAATTTACACTACCCCAGGATGCTTCCACAGAAGTTTCAGCTTTTCTGGCTGAGTAGTTTTTGAGAAGAAGATTTTTCCTATATATTTCGAAGCAAAAATTTTATTCCCTATTGTGGTCTCACCCTATCCCCAAGGGCCATGATCTGAACAATTTAAAATCTACACTACCTCAGAAAGCATCCACATAAGTTTCAGCTTTTCTGGCCCAGTGGTTCTTGAGGTTTTTTTAATGACCCCTGCTCCCAAAAAATATGTCTTTTTTGATAATATCCCCTTTGAAGGGGGCTTGGCCCTTCATTTTTACAATTTAAACTCCCCCTTCACCCATGGATGCTTTGTACCAATTTTGGTTAAAATTGGCCCAGTAGTTCTTGAGAAGAATTTGAAAATGTGAAGTTTACAGACGAACGGATGACAGACAATGGGTGATCAGAAAAGCTCACCTGAGCTTTCAGCTCAGGTGAGCTAAAATGCAATAAAAAGAATTTTTGCTGTACTCTACTTCTGTAAAAACTCAAAAGACGAAATGGGAAGAAAAGTATTTACAAAAAAAAAAAAATGTAAATTTTTTTTTTTTGGTAACCATGTCAACACCTTTCATTGAAATCAGAAACAATACATTGGAATTATGTATCTAAATAATCTTCCTAAACCCTACTTGTGTACCAATTTGTTTTGAAACCAGACTAAAACTGTACGAGAATAGCATTTTGAAAGAATCTATATCTTTATAATCATGGCAACACATTCATTCAAAAAAGAAACTTTTATAGTGTTCCATTGTTTATTCTACTTGTGTGACAAATTTCTATCAAAAATGGATCAAAACTGTAGCATTTTGAAAAATTGTTTGAGAAATACATATAGTAAATATCAATGGCAAAAACTCTTCTAATCTTTGACAACTTGAGCTTAAATGGAAAAAAGTTCAATGAGCACCAAATCATTTAATTACTTATCATCCAAAAGAAGGAAATTGTAACTTGTACAACCAACAACAAATAAACAATTGCATTAACATACATGTATATAAAACATCATACTGTAGTAGAGGTAGATAGATGTACATGTTATAGTCATATAATAACAATAAAGTATGATAAGGGACAGAACATAAAATCAATATTGTTCTATAAAGTAACACAAAAAGCTAGATGTGATGTGGAATGTCTCCACTTCATTTCTTTTTCAAATGTAACAATGTATAAATATGACACATGATTAGAATTGAAATAATTGCCTCAAGAAAACCCTTGGCACACAAGGTCTTAGTACAGTGATGATATCAACTGTTGCTTTTCTTATGTTAACACACTGAATACTGTTACAGTAGAATCCTAAATGTACGTGAAGAATTTATTAATGTATAATATGGTGAGATTCACCACTCACAAAATCAAATTACTGAATTTTATTTTTATAATGTAGAAACTCCTGTTCAACAGTCAACTTGCAAATTCATATTCTCTCGATTAGACAGCAAAATTAAGAACTCATGTAAAATAAGGAATCTAGATAAACAGTATCAAGTCATATAAGAGTATGTATCAGAGTAAAGCTTCTATAATTTAACACTCAATAGTATATATATGATGAACCTCACAGGTAAAATTTTGCACAACAATGCTTGTGAAGTAATCATTATGAAATATAACCTGTGAATGCATACATAAGAGGTAAAAGTGTGCTGACTTTAATCTTTCCTGTCCAATCATATTTGAGTATTTCACAGGAATGTATAGTGATACTGATTAATGCCTGATAAATCAAGGTTGAATTGTTATACCCATACATGTATTTCCTTGATCAACCTTAGAACCTTATTAAGGTCACAGCCTGGCCCCTGGAAGGGGGGTCATACTTTGAAGATACCAAACCTTAACTATGTACATTTATGAGTAATTATGTTATCTATCAAAATATAGCCAAAGACAGACATCATAAACATACACATGCATTTATTCAGTTACTTGCATCTAACACTGCAGATGAGCTAAAAATAAAATGTCTATCTCATAAAAATATAATTCTAAAACTGATATGTATACATAGTAAATTAAAATAATTTCAAAACAACTTGATATGTCTCAAATAATGGATTTGTCTCAAACAATGGATTTGTCTCAAACAATGGATTTGTCTCAAACAATGGATTTGTCTCAAACAATGGATTTGCAAGATTAGATGACAAAACTTTCTGAACATTCCTTGTAGAGTAAAACTATTAACAAGATATACCATAAAAAGAACTCTCCCACACTGGAGTGTAAAGAATTCTCCATTCACACAACCATGAAAAGCACCATGAGGTATCTACTCACCTCAACAAGAGGTGGGCCACAATGCTCACCTGCGTAACCTTGGTCATGTTGTTCTTAGATTTAAGATTTCCCCCCTCTTAATTTTGAACCCATATTGTGGTCCAATCCCCGCTCCAAATTGTCATGACTTAACCAAACATGAATTCACACAACATGTGGATGCTTCAATATCAATATGACTAACATGGCCCTGCTATTTTGGAGATATTTTTCCTGTACATGTACAAACAGACATTGTGTTAAATACCTGAGGGTCCATAGTTTGAAAAGAAAAGAAGAAAAATTGAGTCTGCACATTTCTGGAATGTTACCTGTTTTTTGTTTTTTTTTAAATTTCCTTCAAATGACAGGAAGACTATTGAATATTTTCCCCCATATATTCTCATGTACAACTTGATCCCCTAATGTGATCCCATGCTACCCTTGAGGGCCATGATTCTAAAATTTGAATCTGCACTACCTGTATATTAATATGTCTAAATATGGCATAGCTATTTTTAAAGATTTTTTCCTTGTATACATATCCAATATAAAACATGGCCCCACCAAAACCCCAAGGCTATGATTCAAACAAACTTGAATCTACACACCTTGAAGAAGTTTTGTCTTTTTTGCACAGTGGTTGTAGCAAAAAAGAATGATGTCACCAAATTTTTCACTATTTATGAATTATCTCCCCCTGAAAGAGGGCATGCCTCCTTATCTTAACAAATTTGATTCCCCTTAACCCATTGATGCTTTATGGAAAGATGGTTGAACTTGACCCAGTACCAAAGAAGTTGATAATGAGGTAAGTTAACAGCTAGATGACACACAATAAGACAACAGAAGAACACCAGACACACACCGATCAGAAAGCTCGCTAAGCATTAGCTCAGGTACACTAAAAATCACTGTAATTTACTAATATCATAGGTGATGATTGACCTAGGTATTTATAAAATTATGAAAAAAATTGCCAATAGTCAAAGTAAGCACCAAAGAGAATGTGTAAATTCTATGTAGCTGCTTCTTATTAACGTCCTTTCTGTCAATGATTCTGGGCATTCTGTAGATCCAACTGTTCAAATTTTTGATTCCCTGGAAAAAAGTAATCATTATTGATGTGCAAATACGAGGTGAAAAATTTATATGTATGCATGTCTGCAAACAGCCAACCAATTCCATGTATAGAACTGATCACATTTATTTTTTACAATGTATCATGTGGTACCTGATATCATTACAAGAGGTACTCGGATTATCATCAACAAGCAGCTATACTTGAACATGTGACCGAAAGACAACAGCCTAAAGGTGTAAAAAAAATTGCCTGTTCTATACAGTCATATGCTAGTTACAGGTACCATATTATGTAAGAATTAATAGAGACAGGATTTAAACAAGTTTTAATTGTGGCCTGCTGCATGATGATTACTATTAAGCAACAAATTCTTTAGATATTGTTTGAAAATCTTCTATGCCAACCTGAAAAGTAATAGTGATTATCCTTTTAACAAGGTATCTTTTATTTGAAAATTGATGAATTTCAAGCAAAGGATCTCAACCTTCTATGTAGGTATAGAAGAAATATAGGTGATCTTTGACTCAGTAGAAAACTGGGTAACCTTTGACTATTTAAATGAAATGAAGCAGTTACATGTATTATATGTACAAAGGTTAGTGATTTTTAGATACAAATGTACATGTTAAAGATTCTCAGTGCAATAATGTGATGGTACATGTAGGAAACAATTTTTTTATGTTCAGCAGAAAATCATGTGATCTTTGATATTATATCTCAAAAATCAATATGGATCATCTACATATCATTGCCATGAACATGTAAATAAGTCTACAAGAGGTGCTCAACAGGTTGGGAATATTTTAAAAAATTGTGAGAGGTAATTAATAAGTCTAAAGATTGAAATCCTGTTTTAGCAATAAATGATTGGCATGACCTTCTCAACTTATGGGTAATGGACCCCACCTTTGGCCATTATTTGATTATTGTGAGATATTAACATTTGAACTTATTTTTAGTCCCATACATATTACCTTGTAAATTTACTTTTTCTCGAGTGGCATGAATGTTGATTATGGATATGTATTTTATATGTGTAAATTTGCTTGTCTGTCTGTCTGTTTTTTCGAGACAGTTTCAGAGTAATTTGTTAAATATGACCATTGTACGAAGAAGAAGTAAACTTTTGAATGTTTATGTTTTGAAGTACTTGATTACATTTTGTCAGTTCTTTTGTATTTGCTTATTCGTGTGAACTCGACAACTGCATGTAGTCTTAGGAATGTTTTTGGTAGATATTTTTATTTGTTCCTATTACATGTTTAGATGGTTGATCAAGATTTATTTGATCAATAAAATACATTTTCAACATATATGGTGTTTATGTTGTGTGGAGGTATAGGAAGGAGGAGGCATAAAAAATATTACCAACTTGAAGTATAGAGTATTTAAAGTGAGATTTTTTTCTCCAAAAAATCAACATCAAAGGTCAATGTCAAGAATCAGGCATTTTTAGTATTTTTTTTAGATGAACTTGAAAAATAATAAACATTTGAATTATCAAAATTCAACCCATGCCGATTACACTTGAAATCCAGAGACAGAGTAATACAGAGAGACAGTCTGTTGATAGATGTAGGACATTGTGATTCCTGAGTGTTATACTGCTATGCATCTAAACAAAAATGTAAGATTTGTATAGACTGACCTTTCCTTTTTCTGCGGTATCTGATGTATACTAAAGTCCCTATCACCACCAGGGCTACCAACAGGAGTGAACCCACTACAGCTCCTGCTATTGCCTCGCCCTCTCCAGATTTCTGAGGGGAGGCGGTGTTTGTCACTTTTGAGACGGTACTGGCTTTGGTTGCTGTGGTAATGGCTTTTGTTGCTGTTATGGGTAAACCTCCTAAAACCAACAGCAGAACTTTATTTACCAATCATAACTCTTTCTATTAGATCAAATTAATCATTTCCTAAAGTCTATCAAGGATCAATGTTATACCTGAGGAGTTTGAGTCCTCCAGAAGTTCAATTTTATATGAACAATTTGAGTTCTCCAGAAGTTCAATGTTTTACCTGAACAGTTTGAGTCCAGCAGAGGTTCAATGTTATACCTGAACAGTTTGAGTCCTCCAGAAGTTCAATGTTATATGAACAGTTTGATTTCTCTAGAAGTTCAATGTTATATGAACAGTTTGAGTCCTCCAGAAGTTCAATGTTATATGAACAGTTTGAGTTCTCCAGAAGTTCAACGTGTTACCTGAACAGTTTGAGTCCTCCAGAGAATCAATGGTATACCTGAATAGTTTGAGTCCTCCTGAAGTTAAATGTTATATCTGAAGAGTTTGAGTCCTCCAGAAGTTCAATGTAATACCTGAACAGTTTGAGTTCTCCTTAAGTTCAGTGTAATACCTGAACAGTTTGAGTCCTCCAGAGGTTCAATGTAATACCTGAACAGTTTGAATCCTCCTTAAGTTCAGTGTAATACCTGAACAGTTTGAGTCCTCCAGAAGTTCAATGTTTTACCTGAACAGTTCGAGTCCACCAGAGGATCAATGTTATACCTGAATAGTTTTAGTCCTCCAGAAGTTCAATGTTATATGAACAGTTTGAGTCCAACAGAGATGTCAATGTTATACCTGAACAGTTTGAGTCCTCCAGAAGTTCAAAAAAATACCTGAACAGTTTGAGTCTTCCAGAAGTTCAATATCATACCTGAACAGTTTGAGTCCTCCAGAAGTTCAGTGTTATACCTGAACAGTTTGAGTCCTCCTGAAGTTCAATGTAATACCTGAACAGTTTGAGTCCTTCTTAAGTTCAGTGTAATACCTGAACAGTTTGAGTCCTCCAGAGGTTCAATGTAATACCTGAACAGTTTGAATCTTCAAGAGGTTCAATATTGTACCTGAACAGTTTGAGTCCTCCAGAAGTTCAATGTTATACCTGAACAGTTTGAATCCTCCAGAAGTTCAATGTAGGCTCTTGCTTTTGGACCTCCGTAATTATCTGCTTCCACAACATAGCTCCCAAACATGTACTTATAGACGTCTTGTATGCTGTATATTGTGGTGTAATACACTGGTCTGTAGTTATTGTATCGGTCCATGTGTACATATCTGTTAGTATCTGGCAGTCGGAACCACAATATATCCGGTCCTGGTACTGATATAAATCTAGCTGACATGTTGATTTGTGACCCTTCACAGACTCTATAGGTCTGATTGGCTGTTTCACCATCAGCAACACGAGGTGAACCTAATCAAAATCAGGGAACAATTACTGAAAGTGCTTATTACCATGAAATATGGATCTTCTTTACTATTACATGTAGATTACAAACAAACAGGGAAAGAGAGAACATGAATATATATAGAACAGCCTTTGTTTAATCTTTCCAATTCCCACATTTACTCCTATGTTTAAAGTATAAATGTCAAGAATAACTCACATAAGACTGTGATACTGTTAAGTGATGTTTTGATGGTAGAGTTGCCTTGTTCATTCTCAGCATACAGTGAGAATTTATTCCCCGTGTCTGCACAGTCTGGGGTCTGTAAGGTGAGCACCTCTGTTATCTCGCAGTCGTATGAACAGTTCACAGTGCGATTAGTGTTGTACCTCATGTCTGGAAAAAATATTCATAAACATTTAAATAATACATTTATGATGTAAATTACATGATAAGGGTAAATGATAATCTGGATATCTTGTTTAAAATGTGTTTACAAAGTATAGTACACCAGTTTAAGTTCAATGACTTACCTAAAGGAATAAACTGGTTTGTGAACCGATCATTTCTGATGCCCCATGTTAGGTGGTCCACTAAGGGCCAGGCCCTTATAACACTGGTCACAGAAATAGGACTACTGTCATCATATGGGTTACCTGTGAATTTGTCAAGGGAGACAGACTGAACCTCTGGTACATCTGGAAAAAATATCAAACCTTAATCAGTATGTGTAATGGTGTAATGAAAATACAAGGAATTACTGTTACATACATATAGTGATTTTCTTAAATAGCTAAAATTGAGTCCACATTAAAGTTTATAACTACTTTCAGTTCTACAACTACATAATAAAGTATAATGAAAACAAAAACAAAAAACCCTTGCCTATCTGTATCAACTCTAATTATAACCTGCCTTGATTTCATACCATGTCAGCTAAAAACAGGCAGAAGTCAATTCATAACTAGGACTTTTCATACATCATAATGTTACCTCATAACTCAATTATTTTAATTTATCATGTGTTTATATAGATCAATATTCAGAAATATTTATTTACACACACGGTATGGTTAAGTGCTTTAACATCTGATCAAACCTTTACTAATAAGAATATTTATTTGTATTAATCACTCTCATTTCTGGCTTTAAAGATACAGTTTTGAAAAAAATGTAATCATATCTGATCCATTCAAAACACTGAATTCCGTTTATAGTGACTTTGGATCTTTAGGTGTGACTTTCAATCTCAGCCACGACATATCATCTGGACATGTGCATGTATTGTGTAAAGTGTCAATTAACATTCACTTTCATATCCTCCTTAATGAATTTCCTGTCTCGACAGGTACAATGACCTTGACCTTGGACATGTAACCTTGTTCTTTCTCATGCAAAATTTCCTATCAATAAATGCACATAGTGCTTCAAAATTTTATATTTACTAAAAAAATCAATGGTTTTCCAGGTACATGTATATTTTCAAAGACCCTCTCATCTTTCCTCATTTATATCAAACTCTTTTTTTCTTTTATATCAAACTCACATTTCACTCTTAATTCAAATGTCACAGTTTCTGCATACTGCTGTGATCGTACATAGTTATAGGCCTTGCAGGTGTGGATCCCAACCTCTGCTACAGTGGCATTACCAAGATCCAGGGTGTTACCAGATCTAAATCGTTTTGTATTTCTGTACACCTGAGTCCAGGTAAAGTCACAATCAGGTACACAGTCTGCTATACAGGTTATACGAGGAACAGGTGCCCCCTGCTCAATTTCTAGGACAGTAACATTCGGGGAAAGGCCAACAGAAGCTCCTGGTCCATCTAAAAAATACATTCCACAAGAAAAACTAGAAAAAAAAGACTTACTCTTCCAGAGAGCAGTCATTCATAAAATTGGCCTTGACTTTAAGCAATTGGCCTTGAAATAAATGGATATTTCTCTCTGACAATTTTTAAAAAAATGATCTTTTGACCCACACTTTTTATTCAACAACCACTTTTATGTCCTCAGGGCGATACATACGCTATTTATTTAGAATAAAATTATGACAGCAAGTTCTCTTTGCTTCATTCATTCAACTAAACCTGACATGTGTAGTTTTTTCCTCTATTTTTTTTTCATAAGATATTATTACAACAAAATTCTTGAAAAAATTGGCTCCTTTGACCCAAATTTTCTTAATATTGGATCTTCCTTGAATTGCATTCCTTAATAAATATACTTACACATGACCTCTAATATTGTTGAAGCATTTCTAATGACTTCTTCTGTAGCATTATTTTCCCTTTGTTTTACACTGGTGGCCTCCAACACATATACCCCCGCTTGGTCCCTCATAACATTCTCCAGAAATAGATTCTGGTCAGTGGACAAAATCGTGCCGTTTCCTGCCTTTCTCCAAGTCAGCCTGGCAGAGGGGTTGGCTGACACAGAGCCATAGATTGTGGCATTTGTTCCCTCTTTGTATGATATTTTAGGGTTAACATAAAGTTCTGGTCCATCTGTAAATTGGAATGAGGATTAAACATTTAAATCTTAAATCCTGTAAGGCATACAGTATATAATAGTACTGCACTGAGTACTTTTGAAAAATACATAAATTGTGCAGAAAATTTACCGGTACTTCACTAAATTCTTTCATTTTCTCTAAATATTTTTTCTTTTGGCAAATTTTGACATTTAGTAAATGGATGAATCAATAAGACTTGAGTTCTTTGGATTAACAACATAACAATGCAACTTTTTTTCTGACAATGTTGAAAATTTATTTTAAAATTTACAGAAATTTCTGAGTACATGTACTTGTATTCACTCTAGCAAACAAAAACAAAAACAAAAAAAACTGACACTGAACCGTGATTATGACTCCGAGGTAGGACCTGCCAGCAGAATTCTCAGCACTACAACTGAAACTATTTCCATTCTGATTTCTCTTGATATCAGATATCACCAAGTATTTACCCACTGAAAGAAACAAGAGGCCCATGGGCTACATAGAAATCAATTCAGTATTGAAAAGTTACGGGGGGGGGGGGGGGGGGGGGGATTGAATTTTAAAATACATGAGGATGCTTCCATATCAATATAACAAATGGCTTTGTTGTTCTTGAGCAGAAGATTTTTTTCCTATATATTCCTTTGTAAAAATTTGATACCCCATTGTGGCCCCTCCCTACCCCCAGGGGTAATCATCTGAACAAACTTTAATCTACACTACCCGAGGATGCTTCCATATCAATATAACTAAACATGACTTTAATGTTCTTGAGACAAAGATTTTTCCCTTTATATTCTTATGTACAACTTTGATCCCCCATTGTGATCCCACCTTACCCCCGGGTGACAAACTTGAAGGGGTCTTTTCCTTCACAGCTAAAAGTCGCAAAAGTAACTCCTCTATTTAAAAAGGGTGATACATCAGACCCAGGAAACTATCGCCCAATTTCAATTTACCAACTATATTGAAAGTTTTAGAAAAGCATGTAGCAGAAAATATACGCATCTTTACTTCTCACTTCGATTTATTAATGAAAGCACAGTCAGGATTTAGAGAATTTCACTCATGCCAGACAGCTCTCACAAAACTAACTGATAATTGGCTGCATGCAATAGATCAAGGAAATTTCGTTGGCATTACTTACTTGGATTTTAGCAAAGCATTCGATCTTGTTAATCATGATATACTAATTAGAAAACTTAAATGCTATCACTTTGATCCAATATCAATTAAATGGTTTCAATCATATTTATATCATCGAACTCAAAGTGTAAAAATAGGTGCATACACATCTGAATCACTGCCAGTCACAGCAGGTGTGCCACAGGGGTCTATATTAGGCCCTTTATTATTTCTATTATACATTAATGATTTACCATTGTCTGTTGAACATTGTAATATTGATATGTTTGCTGATGACACTACAATGCATTTTCATGGTAACAATATTTCACGTATTGAAACAACTCTTAACCATGACCTCTATCAAATACAAAACTGGTGTCAACAAAATCAGATGCTTTTGAATACTGATAAAACAAAGTGTATGTTAATGGGCACACAACAAAAGAAATCAAAATTAGAAAACACTAGTCTTCATTTACAACTTTCCGGTCATCCCCTTGAAAACGTGGAAATGCAGAAATTATTAGGTGTTCACATTGATCATACTCTTCAATATACTTGTCATGTAGATGCAGTTTGCAAAACTCTTACATATAAATTACATACTTTACGAAAAATTAAAAAGTTTCTTCCACTGCATACTAGAAAACTATTTTATAACGCTTTTATTTTACCATCAATTTTATATTGTCTATCTATTTGGGGTAACTCTCCTCAAACGCACATCGACAGAATCTACAGACTTCAAAAACGTGCAGCAAGGATTATCTTAAATGAAAAATATGATGCACCTTCAATGCCTTTATTTAACATTTTAGGCTGGTTAACGGTTCATAAACTTCTATATTTACAGAAAAGCATTCTAATGTTCAAAACATTTCATGGTATGTCTCCCGATTATATGCATAATTTTTTTGAATTTCAAAGTTCTGGATCATACACGTTGCGCTCAGAAACAAATTCCGAACTTCGTTTACCAAAATATAAAACAAATTTATTTAAAAATTCTTTACAATATTCAGGGGTTATTATCTGGAATGAGTTACCTATTAGTATCAGGAAATCCCAATCCCTTGCAATATTTAAAAGTAGTGTTGAAAATTTTTTACTTACGAAACGTACTAGTTCTACGTAAAAATATGTGACTGCCCCCCCCCCCCCACCCATCCTTTCACATTTTGAACTAAGCTTTGATGTTTTTATTTATTCTGTTGTAACATAGTGTTTATATTTTATTATCTCATAATTGTGATTTGTGTTTATTGTATATGTACATTGTATATGTGTTACAAAGAAGGCCCTGAGGAAGACTAGTGCTTGCACTAATCAGGTCACCTTCTATAAATAAAGTATTATTATTATTATTATTATTATTATTATTAATCTACAATACCTGAGGATGCTTCCATATCAATATGACTAAACATGGCTTTGCTGTTCCTGAGATGAAGATTTTGAAAGTTTTTTTCCTATAAATTCCTTTGTAAAACTTTGATCCCCCCTTGTTTCCCCATCCTACCCCCAGGGGTCATGATTTGTACAAATTTGAATCTATAATACCTGAGGATGCTTACATATCAATATGACTAAACAAGGGTTTGCTGTTCTTGAGAAGAAGATTTTTAAAGTTTTTACCTATATATTTCTATGTAAAACTTTGATCCCCCCTTATGACTCCACCCTAACCCCAGGGGTCTTGATTTGAACAAACTGAATCTACACTATCTGAGGATGCTTACATATCAATATGACTAAACAAGGCTTTGCTGTTCTTGAGATGAAGATTTTTAAAGTTTTTTCCTGTAAATTCCTATGTAAAACTTTGATCCCCCGTTGTGGCCCCACCCTAACCCCAGGGGTCATGATTTGAACAAACTTGAATCCACTTTATAACAAAGGTATCCTATAAGTTTCAACTTTTTTGGGCCAGTGGTTCTTGAGAAGAAGATTTTTAATATATGCCACCAAATTTTAACTATTTCTGAATTATCTCCCCTTGAATGAGGACATGGCCCTTCATTTGAACAAACTTGAATCCCCTTCACCCAAGGATGCTTTGTGGCAGGTTTGGTTGAAATTGGCCCAGTGGTTCTGGAGAAGAAGTCGAAAATGTGAATGGACAGAGAGACAGACAGACTACAGACAAAATGTGATCAGAAAAGCTCACTTGAGCTTTCAGCTCAGGTGAGCTAAAAACTAGGTACAGGTATACAGAATGTTAGTACCCTAGTAGAACTTAAAAAGTTTGTTTACAAAGACATAATATGTACATATTATGAGATGAAAGATTATGGACATATTGTTGGCTAGTCAGTAAGTAATATGAAGCAAATATTTCTGAAAAGAACTAGAAAACAAGAGGCCCATGGGCCACATCGCTCACCTGAGCACATTGGCTAGGCAAAAGCACAAATCAGTTCAGTATTGAAAAGATTAACGGGGGGGGGGGGGGGGGGGGGGGGGGGCTTGGATTTTAAACTACCTGATGATGCTTCCATGTCAAAATAACAAATGGCTTTGTTGTTCTTGAGAAGATTTTAAAAAAAATTTCCCATATATTCCTTTGTAAAATTTGATCCCCCATTGTGGCTCCTCCCTATCCCAGGGGTCTTCATTTGAACAAACCTGAATCTACACTACCTGAGGATGCTTCCATATGACTAAACATAGCTTTTCTGTTCTTGAGAAGAAATATTTTTTCTATATGTTCTTATGTAAAACTTTCAATCCCCTATTGGGCCCCACCCTACCCCCGGGGATCATCATTTGAACAAAATTGAATTTACACTACCTGAGGATGCTTCCATATCAAAATGACTAATCATGGCTTTGTAGTTCTTCATCAGAGGAAATCTTCCTATATATTTCTATTTCAGATTTGATCCTCCATTGTGGTCCCACCCTGTCCCAGGGGGTCAACATTTGAACAAACTTGAATCTACACTACCTGAGGATACTTCCACATAAATATGATCAATCAGGGCTTTGCTGTTCCTGAGAAGAAGATTTGTAAAGAATTTTCCTATATATTTCTATGTAAAACTTTGATCCTCCATTGTGGCCCCGCCCTACCCCCAGGGGGTCATGATTTGAATAAATTTGAATCTACACTACCTGAGGATGCTTCCATATAAATATGACCAATTAGGGCTTTGCTGTTATTGAGAAGAAGATTTTTAAAGATTTTTCCTATATATTTCTATGTAAAACTTTGATCCTCCTTTGTGGCTCCGCCCTACCCCCGGGGGTCATGATTTGAACAAACTTAAATCTACACTACCTGAGGATGCTTCCATATAAATATGACTCATCACGGCTTTGCTGGTCTTGAGAATAAGATTTTTAAAGGTTTTTCCCCTATATTTCTATGTAAAACTTTGATCCTCCAAGGTGGCCCCGCCCTACCCCCTGGGGTCATGATTTGGACAAACTTGAATCTACACTACCTGAGGATGCTTCCATATAAATATGACTCATCATGTCTTTGCTGTTCCTGAGAAGAGGATTTTTAAAGGTTTTTCCAATATATTTCTATGTAAAAATTTGATCCTCCATTGTGGCCTCGCCCTACCCCCGGGGGTCATGATTTGTACAAATTTGAATCTACACTACCTGAGGATGCTTCCACATGAGTTTCATCTTCCCTGGCTTTGTGGTTCTTGAGAAGAAGATTTTTAAAAGATGCAATTAATTTTCACTAATTCTTTATTATCTCCCCTTGAAAGAGGGCGTGGCCCTTCATTTGAACAAACTTGAATCCCCTTCACCCAAGGATACTTTGTGGCAAGTTTGGTTGAAATTGGACCAGTGGTTCTTGAGAAGAAGTCGAAAATGTGAAAAGTTTACAGACAGACAGACGGACGGACAGACGGACTACAGACAAAATGTGATCAGAAAAGCTCACTTGAGCCTTTGGCTCAGGAGAGCTAATAATAATAAAAAAAATCACATATTCAAGATTTATTCTTTTAATTTGCTCTGTCATTGTATCATTACTCTGGTTTTTCTTGATAAAAAATTAATTTTTTAATTAAAGATTGGTGGGACATGCATACATTACCTCCCCCACTCCAGGATCCACTAGTCATTGGATTGGCTGCTACCACCTCACAGGTCAAATTTAACGTGTCTCCCTCATCCACTATTGAACTCCCTCTTACTACTAAATCTGGATCATCTGTCAGTAAGAATGCTCCAATTAAAATTTCCTTGAGACAACACTAATACACTGATAAATTTCCATTCAGTTTATTTTTTAAAATTTTCCTCTCAGAGAGAGAGAGAGAGAGAGAGAGAGAGAGCACACACCTATTAATTATGTTTTTATATTTTCATGTTTCCACTTACAGAGAATGTCTCCAAACTGCTTTGTTTTGGTTACTGTCCTGTTTCCGGAGCCTCTGACGACACAACTGATATTATTCCTCGTGTAATCTCGTTGATACTTGAAGTTCCATTCTTGTCGTGAATAGTAGTAATTACTCTAAATATCAGTGACAATAACATGAGCATGCTTGTTTTCTGAACATAAATAAACTTTGTAATAGGCATACATCTTTCACACTATATTCTATATCCGATTCTAATATGTGGCTTTTGATCAATGTACTGGTACATGTAAACTGTTGATGGTGGAATTCCACTTATTTCTGTGCTATTAATTATATTTAACATGTGAATTTCATTGGATTTGTCAAATATTCATTGCAAACCACAGTATTCAAATGACAGTATACTTTATGGCCCATGGATTTATGCTTCTAGCCTTACATATTTTTCTACAATAGGTGATGTATCAGGGCTGAACTCCATGGAGCCATTGTACCATGTAAAGGTCAGCTGTGGGTTGGTGAATCCTCCATAGCAAATCCAGGTCATGCTATTTCCTTCCACTCCTGTCTCTCGGCCATATAATGACACCTCACCTTCATAGGGCCCATCTGCAAAGTCAGTATTTTACTTAACACCAAAGAAAGATAACACAAACCCTCTACTGATTTGAAAATTAAGTAAATGATCAGTGTTCTGTTTGTCTCTGTGGTTAGTCTGATTAGAAATCTTGGACATTTTATGCAGTTTGTTCACATATTAGCTAAACAAAAGAGGAACAGGACAATAGACAGCCATGACCAACACTATATAAACATAAATAGGATGAGCTACAAAAATCAGATAAGACAGACACATAAGGCTTATGGATGCTATTAAACTTTTTTACAGTTTCAATATAAAGTGGATATGCTTAAATGAAATTTCACTGGCATTTGACTGTCACCAAAATCCTACATTCTGTAATATTGAAATCATTAATCTATGGCTGGACTAAAACCCTGACAAGTTATTTTGCCATCTTTATAATTTTGATATTGCTTTTAAGAAGTGACAGTGTATTTACCTTATTCATACACTTTTTTTCAAAGTAATTATTTACTCTTTAGAAGGAATACTACATGTATTTAGATCTGATGTACTAACTCAATATCACAAGTAAAACTTACAGAAAACAGTAAATCTCTTTACTTGGTAAAACATGGACGAATTCACTGAACCATAACAAAATACTGATTGACCATTCATTGATCTATCAACTGTGATGTGCGGGGCTGATAGGGTGGTGGTATAGGTCTCCGTCACACTATCGTACACAGCTGTCGTTGTGTACAGGGATGCATTGTTGATCTCCGTGTTGCTGGGATTATAAGAGAGAATTACGATATTTGTGGGTTGATAATGTGTACGTGACACGGTACATGAGATATTGACGACGTCGTTCTCTTCCACTGTTCCTACTCCTTCTAATGCTACGTCAATTGCATCAGCTGAAAAAACATGATTGCAAAAAATTCAAAATTAATTCTGTAATTTGGGATACCTTGCAAGCATTTTGATTACAAAATTTCAAGACTACATAGAAATACTGTATTTCTGCATAAAATCACCCTAATACATGTATATAGGCCTATCCTTCAAAAATTCTTGCCATCATTTTCAGTAAAGCATTACAAACATCCTAAAAGTTTACATCAAAATGAACTTCTTCATTTCACATGCAATCATAATTATATTTACTGATTTCCTTTGTTTTGACTGGATGAGAACAAATTTAAGAAAAAGTTTACTCATCAATCAGAACTACTTTCTTGACATTATTTTTATTGTAAAACATAGGTTATCAGAGATTACAGAGCTCATCTCAATGAATATTGTCTTTAAGTAAGGCAAAGTCCCACACTAAACTAATAATCTAGCAGTGTGCATCCCTAGATGCAACCTTTATGCAATTTTGGTCTGATAGGGCTTGCAGTTACTTAGGAATGGACTTCTCTAAAAACTTAAAAATAGTCACTCATCCAGAAAATACATGTATAAGTCAAATCCAGCATCTGAAGGAAGTTTGAGAGTGGTCATTGCTTGATGCATTATCCATGCAAGTCTGGTTCAAATATGTCTTATAGTTTCTTGGAAATCAGATCTACTTCAAAACTTTAACCTGGTCACTCATCCAGAAAATGTACGTCATATCCAGCAACTGAAGAATGTTCAGTTGTGTGCATGCATTACATAGACATATCATCCATGCAAGTTCGGTCAGTATAGGGCTTAGGCCAAATAAAAAAATATGTGTGGTTCTGGTTACCCGACCTTCCCTATTTTATACCCCGACCCTAAACTTTTTTTTTGGCAATTTTCATATTTTTTCCGGATTTTTCCCCTATTTTCATCAATGGCTCCAGTTTAAGTTTTAGTTTCAGCAATGATGGCCTCCTTGCAAAACACAGTGCTAGTGTTTAATAGTGTTAAATCCAAAGCAAGCTAGCATGTAGGTGTCCCCTACCAATATTGACTAGTTTATTATCACACCACATCTAAATGCCATTTGCAAAGCAGTGATTAGGCATAATTTAGAAAAATTAAGAAAATCATTTTGATTAAAAAAAAAAAAAAAAAAAAAAAAATTCCCTACCTACCTACCCTAATTTTTTTGGAAGTGTAACCGGTACCACACATATTTTTTTGTTTGGCCTTATATTTACTTAGAAATGAGACCAGCTCCAAAAACTTTAAACTGGCCACTTATCCGGAAAATGTAGGTCAGATCCAGCAACTGAAGAATGTTCAGTAGTGTGCATACATAAACCACATATCACCCATGCAAGTTCGGTCAGTATAGGGCTTATATTTACTTAGAAATGAGACCAGCTCCAAAAACTTTAACCTGGCCACTTATCCGGAAAATGTAGGTCAGATTCAGCATCTGAAGCAAGCCTGGCAGTGTGCATCCGTAGATGTATCATCCATGCAAGTTTGGTCAATATAGTGCTTAAAGTTACTTGGAAATGAGACCTGCTACAAAAAGTTTAACCTGCTCCAAAATATTTAACCTGCTCCAAAAACATTAACTTGGTCATTCTTTAGGTGAAATTGCAGCATCTGAAACCTTGACTGGTACAATGAAACACACTAGAAGCATCTTCCATGCATCTCTGATTAATTTAGGGCAAAGAAATACCTGAAAAGAAATCTGCTCCAAAAACTTTAACCTGGGTCAGAAATGCTGATGCCAGGGGTATTACATAAGCTCCCCCAACTTCGTTGAGGTGAGCTAAAAATTGAAACAAATCACTTAAATAAAAACAAAACTGAGGACCTACAGGACTGATAGACAGGAATATTATGTTTATGTCATTGTCAAATCACGAGTGTGAAATATTTCCGATGTAATTTTATCGTCATTCCTACTGCTAAACAAATCAGTTGTTGACTTAAACAATATTCGAGGAATATTTATAAGTTTATTTTATTGAATGTTTTGACAATTAAAGTTGAACTTTATCAATATATGTTCATTTCGATTGTGTTTCATTTCCACATCACAGCATTAAGTATTACTATGCTGTACATAGCTAGTGGATTGTATGGAGGCTTGAAAGAGAAATAATTTCAAAATTAATTGGAATTACAAGAATCAAAAGTTCTTTTTTCAGAATTTATTATTGTGTAAACCCATGCCTTTGTACTCACAAACTTAATATTAAAGTGCTTTACACTTTTATTCAGTTTTTGAGTACAAAAGCATGAGTTTACACATTGATAAATTCTGAAAAAAGAATGTTTAATCCTATAGTGGTTGATATGCTTAGTTTGGTGCCATTATGGTGTTTTAATCTATTTTTGAATTTAAACAACAAAGTTAATAGTTAAGATCTTACTGGCCAGATGGACAACTGCCATTATTTCCAAGTCCTGTCCCGTTGTATTTGTAGCTTTGCATTTCAGTATTTGGTCATCATCACTCTTCGTGGCATTTTTAATCAATGTTATAGTATAGGTACCATTGTCATTTTCTGTGTTATTGTAGACAACTGATGCATATTCCAAAGTCAAGGATGAAAGGTCACTTTTACAGATCAAGGTCAAATTTTCTCCTTCTTTTCCATTTATCTGCAAACTACCACCACTAGTTATTTGAACTGCTCCAACAATTTCCAAGGATGACTGGGCTTTTAAAAAAAGCTAAGCTTATTAATAATTAAAATCTTGATGTTTTACATTTAACATATTCAACAGTGACAAACAAGAAACAGTAGCTACTCCCTGGAATAACAGTAATGCTTCAATTTTGGGTGTGATCATTCAAAACACCGTACTCAGGTCTTTTTTTTTCATCAATAAAAAGTTCCAGATGTAGAGCATATTCAAATTTGGATCACACAAGACTTGTAATTACTGAGTACCTGAATAATAACACTACAGGGTGCCAGAAGATCTTGATGGAAACTGATGTATACAAATAGTAATGACAAATATCTAACCTGAGGTCTGGTACAGCAGTAATGCACACACAGTCAAAACAAGAATCATTATCCTGCTGAATTGATCAATAACTCATTTCCTGAAATAAAGCCAGAAAAATAAATTATGTCAAAGAAAATAATTATTTAATAAAGTACATGTTATTAGTTTAATTCTTACACAACCACTGCTGGCTTTTTGTGTACTTATTAATAATTTTACACATGTCTGGAATGCAATGAGATACGTATACAGTACAAGCAAACCTAGTCAGAACTGATACTGAACAGACTGCAAATGTATTCAACTCTAGACAGGTAGAAATGTTTCATTTAATACCTGAACACCCACTTTACTAATTGAACATTAAATTTTCCCCAGTCAGTGCCCTGGCACAGGTTGTCATGTATTTTAAGAGTCAAAAATGGGCATGATCTGCTAGAACATTTTTAGATACATTTTCAGTTATGCATCAATTCATATTTAAGAATATCAGATATAAACAAACCAGCTACTCATCATTTCGAAAGAAAAAGTCAGAAAGCTGATTATGACTCTAATTCAATAAAATGATTGATGAAAATAATTAACTTAAGGCAATTCTGACACCCATTTGAACAATATGTGAATGATATGAGGGCCATATTAACACAAGTGTCCCTAGGGCTAAACATTTACTAGTATACAGGTTTAAGAACATGCTCAGTTGCTGGACAAATCACTTACAGCTTACCAGAATCAAGTCCAACACAGAAGGTTCAGAGTGCCCCGGGGTGAGAACATCAACGGCCACTTGTTACGGACAACACCTCAGATGTGATCTTATCAATAAAGCGTCTCATTTTAATGCATGACAACACAGAGTCCAGTCAACTCTCTAAACTGAACCTGACCTTTAATTGACATCATTTAGCTGACTCTATAGCCATACCTGAAACATACAATTTCTTTCTATAATTTCAAACATTTTTTAAACTCAAAAATGCATTCATATGAAATATCATGTACCCGTAAATGTATTATCGGTAATATCATGGTGGATTTGTATTCATAATAAAAAATTAAATGCTGCATTATAATTTTTATAGAATTCTAGCTGATATCCAGAAGCTTGTAAAAATATTTTGAAAAAAAAAGTGCATTGCTCACCCAGTAAGATATCTGCCTATGAAAATGGGATGTCATTGTGTTAATTGTATGTGAAATGGAATAAGGCTAGAGGTCTATTACTTGAGAGGTGCAGAATTCATTCTTTTTTTTAAAATTGCACTCATCTAACAGTTTCACTATCTGGCATATTAAATTATAACAAGCATTCTGAGAATATTGCATAAGCAATACAAGTACCCTACCGGCATATGTAATATGGTTCTCCTTAAAAATTAAAAAGGCTATAATTCTGCCAAAATTCATTGAAGCGAAACAAAATGCAAACTTAAACTTTAACTTATCAACGTACACTCAAATATCAAAAATCAGCTCAATTTCTGCAAGCGTTTAGAAAAAAAAAACTGTAGAAAACTATGCGGGGCAGACAGACAGACAGATAAAGAGGAAACCTATAGTCCCCTAACGTTACACCAGTAATGCAATGAATTTCCTTTCTTAGCAGTCAGAAACACTCTCAGTTGCTTAGTACCATGATAATCAAAAACAATTGTCTTGTTACACGTTATAAATACATGAAATATGTTGAGATATGTGATCAATAGCAAGCATTTCTTAAAATTAAACTATAAAATCGAAGTTTCTGATTAGACTGTAGCTCTACTGGTTTTCTTAATTATAAACAAAGGTAGAGAAAGGTAGAATTGGACTTAAAACTATGACAACAGCAATAAATAAAATAATGATCGTTAGTTTAGTCTCTTTCTGAGTCAATTTTAATTCCAATCAGACCTAAACCATGTAAACTGTGGGAGGAGTAGCATTTTAAAAAAAATTCACAGAAATTTTTATTTTCAGTAACCAAGGCAACACTGTTCATCAAAATCAAAAACTGATACATGTATACGAATGGATGATGGGCACCTTACTATCCCATAAGCTCTTCTGATTTCTGACCATGATTGTACAAATAAAAGTTAATTAAATTGTTCAAAATTTTAAGACATTTTGGATACTTTGATTAAATACTGACAATTATTTTTAAAAAGGATTTTGTCACAAGTGCACTTTTTGAATAAATGAAGCTCTATTCACTGGCGATAGGCTAGAAATAAAACGAAATCTGCACATCCGTCTTTCTCCTAATTTTACTACCCCAAGTGACATTTAATAACTGGAATAATTATAAACATGCCATCATGAATTCCAAAGCTGCTGTGTTAGGAATCTTTTTTATAACACATACTAGTCTAATTTGATTAGTCTAACTTGGGAACTGCTGTTTTTGCTAAGATCAGAAGGAACTTTAAAACAAAGAACAATTTGCACACCGTTTTAAACAGTTCCTGAATAACCATATACCATATTTTCTCAAAAGAGTTGTTTACAAAACATTGATACATACAGAAAACAGAAATATGTACTATTGTAAAATCACATATTTTCGTGGGGTCAAATTTTCGTGCTGTGAAGAAAAACTATTGGTTTGTGGGGATTTGATTTCGTGGACGAAGAATTGTTGAGTAGTTAGTTACATATTGGACATTTTACATTTCATTGTGGACATGAAATCATGGGTCTCTTTATACATCAAAAACAACGAAAATTAAACCCCCAAGAAAATTAGTCATTTTAGACTTTATCGACATAGTAAAATATTTATGAAAGTACAGTTGAACTTCTGTATCTTGAAAACCGATATCTTGAATACCATGGATATGTCAAAGTGATTGGGAGGTCCTAACCACATATTTATTAAGTATTTTATCCTTGATATCTCAAACCCTCGGATATCTCAAATTTTTTCTCGGTCCAGTCGAGGTCGAGATAACAAGGTTTGACTGTATATTTATTTCAGAAAGACTTAGCTGCAGAACTGTAAGTAATGTTATGGTTTTATAATTTAGTCCTTGACCATGACGCTACAGATCCCGTAATGCAAAAAAATGGTTTTTATTTTTCTTTTGATAACAAGTATTTCATCATTTGGCTTTATTTAGTAACCTTTAAATTGTGAACTCTTCACTCTGACCTAAATATAGGTAGACTAATCTTACTGTGTCTGGATATAATCATTTTAATGATAGAACATTCTATCACAGGGACATCTTATCCATTATATGTGATAATCATCATGATCATGTGTAATGGAGAACAGAGCAGATAAGATGTCCCAGTGGTTCTATCTAACCTAAATGCATTCCTGAGGAGGAGTTATTTTAGAAAGAAGAATTAAGAATATATGTAAATGGATGAATAAATATTTCTTTTATATACACACACACACATATATATATATATATATATATATATATATATATATATATATATATATATAAAGGAAAAGATTTTAGAAGGAAAAGTTTTTGTTAAAGTTTTGATCATTTCTTTTGATGCTTTGGAATATCACCATTAATAAAATGTGAACTTTATGCTGTGTGTTTGTGTGTGTCTGTTTGATGGACAATTGGGATATTTTACCATGTTTACATGCTCGGAAATTGATAAACTATGCTCAGGGTTATCCCCAAGAACGGGGGGGGGGGGGGAGGGCAGGGAATTTCCGAGTCTATAATGATGTTATCCTCCTGTTATTTTGGTATTCCTCTTAAACTCCCCATTAGGGAAGGAACCCCAGATCCCCAGCGACTTTTTAAATATCCCCTTCTATTTCAATTCTTAGGGAAAACCTGTACGCTACACGTCCAGTCTATACCTTCCTAATGTCTCGTGCGGTTTGAAGAAGCAGGCCTAATTTCAAACTAAATAGGTATCAGTAATCTTAATTTATACACGGGTATACGGGTGCTACGACGTATACAGATACACAATTAACACTAACAGACTAGTGCTTGTCCCAACGTTCGCACCGTCAACAAAAACTTTGAAATTAATAATGTCTCTGTTTAAAGTTACTACTGTGCAGCAGAGTTCGTGACAGTAATATATATATCTAAGCCTGCAATAGTTACCCTGTTCTCATGAATGAATGTTTCCCATGATAAGGTCAAACTGCAATTTGGACTTCTTGTTTCCCGTGAAGAAAATTGATGGAGATCGGGATACCAAATATTAAAAAAAATCCATTTTGATAGATCGCACAATTACTGATTCGGTAGACACCCGACTGACCTAACATTTCCGAATATATTTTTTGAATTACCATATTTATATTGGATTCCGAAACTTCATAAAAATCTTTACAAATAAAGATACATAGCGGGTTCCAGTAAATGTTCTCCCTTCTTTCTTTACTCCTCACTAAAACATTAACAGCAGTGAAGGAGACTGTGCAACAATATATTTGAGAAGTGGTGTAAATCAGATGTGGATACTCAAAAATTCCAAGGAACTTTTGGAAAATTTGAAATCACAATTTTTTACCAAAATCAATAACATAAAAAACTCACAACTTTTCAACTCTGTATACCATTGACAGTTGCTTTTTCAATAAAAATGGAACTCGTAAATTTATTTACCTTGTCATTGGTCATTTGCAAAATTATTTTGTCAAAAAAAATTCTGATTGTACACATAAGTACTCTGAAGTTGATATTAAAAAGATTCTTGAGTTTATAATTGAAAATATCTATGTGGTTTTTGGAGACCATGTCTTCCAACAATCTGCTGGAATTCCCATGGGTACCAATTGCGCCCCGTTGTTAGCAGACCTATTTTTGTATTCATATGAAGCAGAATTTATTCAAAATCTTATACATGAGAAAAAGAAATCTCTTGCTGTGGCCTTCAATTCGACATTTAGATATATCGACGACGTATTATCAATTAACAATAGTTATGTAAATTCCATTCATATGTCGACACGATATATCCCAGTGAGCTTGAAATAAAAGATACCACAGATTCTGACACATCTGTTTCATATTTGGATATTTTACTAGAAAAAGACGTAATTGGGAATCTAACAACAAAGCTTTATGACTCTAACTTTTTCGATCGTCAATTTCCCTTACTTATATGCAGTAATATATACCCTTATCACCTGCATATGGGGTTATATCTCTCAGTTGATTCGATACGTAAGAGCATGCTCTACGTATGATTTTTTTTTAAACAATTTCTAAAACGAGGTAAGTTATTGACAAGCAAGTTGATGAAACAAGAATATCAACAGTTTCGTTTAAAGTCATCATTTCGTAAGTTCTATGGTCGGTAACGAAACTGTTGATATTCTTGTTTCACCAGATAGAGGTCTTTGAAAAACACAAGGAGCGGACAGCTTTTACAGTCGGTCCCCTTGGTTTTTTTGAGTTCAACCGGATGCCATTTGGTCTCTGCAATGCTCCGGCATATGTGGTAGTGTCAGATATGTGGTAGTGTCAGACACATCGCTTCCTAAAATCCTTTAAAATCATGACTATTACACAATCCTGGGGATCGGACTTCCTTAATAAAATAAAACCAAACAATGACCTTGTCAGCAAATACAATCTATCATTAAGCCATATGCTTACTGACGTTTTTCATACTAATTGTTAGGCCATTATTTATACACTGAATTGTAGACGGATTTTTCCATTATTTCCCGATCATGACAAGGAGCACAAGGCGGGTGTGACCCAGGTCGGCAGGGAATGCTCACTCCTCCATGGCACCTGATCTCACCTCTAATGTTTTTGGATGTCCGTGCACGTGTTTGCTCTGCTCCCGATTTGTATTGTTTTAATGGACTTTGAGCTTGAATACTATTCGTTATCTCCATATATCAATTTAATAATAATTTATTAAAGTCCAAATTTTCAGACAACCATATCCGTCAGTTGTTTATGAATTCTATCTGTTTTTTTTCTGAAAATAATACAACCGTCATATATCCAACAGCTAAGACGACGACCATTTGATTCTGAAGGTTGGAGAGGGTGGGGGTTGGAAGATTTTAGACTGAAATAATTAATCTGTCATCGAAAAAGCTGAAGATGAATAATCTGTTTTTAACTGGTAAGAAAATAAATATTCTGGCCCTGCCTGGTGAGCTACTAATACTACCAACCCGCATCCATCCCAAACTCAGCATGTATAAAACTTAAGCATACCTTCATAACATCTTTATGTAGAAGCCGAAAGAGGATATCAAGTGAGTGTCACCTTTTCAGAATTGTGTTTTTTTTTTCCATTCGTAAAATGGCAAGACAGATTTTTAATTTTTTAAGATATATACAGCGGCACCGACTATTTAGAAAATTGTCCCCAAAATAATTAATGCCATGCAAAACCACAATTTTTTTTAAAAGTAAGATCATTGCCCAGCTGCCAAATACATCTGGGTACACAGTTTTCTAAAATATTAAGAATTTGTGGATTTCCTGTAAGTTTAAAATTATCACTTTTTTCTGCTCTTTTTATTTTATACATTTTATCATTTAACCTTTAAAATTAAAATTATTGAGAAATATCTATCATGCGCGGATCAAGAGAGGGGTGGGGGTGGGGGTGGGGGTGGGGGGTCCGGAGCCCCCTGGAATTTGCAGGTATTAAATGTATATAGTAAAGAAACTGAAAGTGACCTTGGACCCCCTAGAAAACCCGGACCCCTGCTAAGTTGGTAGGTAAAGTTCATACATGTGAAGCTTAAGAAGTGAAGTGGAGCGGTGGAACCCCCCCCCCCCCCGGAAAAAATTCCTGGATTCGCGCCTGTTTATGGTGTTATAAACCTGTTCATTTTACTCACGTATATTCATTATTCATTTTCATGATTTTTTTTAAAGTTGTTTGTTGCAAGTTGCCTTACATGTATGTTAGCTTTAAGAGCCGGTTCTTGAACAGCAGCCTATTGCTAACAAAACAAAACAACAATGACTATAGTACAGAGCTACTTAATTTGACCTTTAAGATTGACCTTCGTGTCAAGGCGCACTATCTATAAATGCAAATTCCACAGGCTAGTTACAAGTATACCTGTGTAAATTGTACAAGTTTCTTTTTTTTTTTTTAATTTTATTTTCCCACAATCTAAGATCAACATTTGTTTGTATACTTACTACTTAAATTTATTTACAATAATTTACTTTTGTGTGTTTTAATTCTGTACTTCAATTAATCCGCTTATTATACACTCCCTAAACGATTTTAAAGCGAATTTAAAATGACCATTCCAAAGAGGCCTTCTAATTAAAAAGGGTCAAGTAAGATTGGTAATTACATTCGTGTAAATATAGTGTGAAAAAAATATTTTAATATTTATGGTTTAAGGTAAGATTCACAAATTGACTTCAAATCTTCATAAGAATTCATGATTAAGTTTTTCATTAGATTTTCGAATATATTTTCCCGTCTTTCAGGGTTCTAAAAATATCTCGAGGAACAACCATGATCGGTGTTTCATAAAGGAACATTGGACTGCAATTGTTTATCATTTCGGAGATATAAAATGAAAACAGAATCAACTTGTTTTAACTATGATCAGTCGTCGGAAAAGTGTGGCTTTTCAGCTCCCTTCTGATCCGCCCAGGGGACAAAAAGTAAAAGATAAGGAGGAAAAGGGGGTCAGTATTTGGACGATAATTTCTACTGGTAACGCGGAGGGTCTGCGACAGTATATAAAGACCAATGGGGCGGCAAGTCTCAATAAACGATCCGGAAATTTCCGTTCCCCTCTTGGACTCGCAGTGTATCTGGAAAATCCAGAACTGGTCCAAATTATGTTGGAGTGTGATCCGAGACCGGATGTGAATATAATTGACAAAAACGGGAATACACCCCTCCATGAGGCAGTGGAAAGGGGGTATCTACAAATAACCAAACAACTTCTTAATACAGGTATATACCGCAAAAATGTTCTTTTAAAAATTATATACTAGAAGTGTGATTTAATTATTTTCCCTGTCCTTAATATGTATTAACCCATCAGTCTATAAAATGCAATACAGCTACAAAGTGAGATTGTGTTGACAGCCCCAAGAATATTTTAGTCAATTGATGATAAAAAAAATAAACAAATATGTAATTGGCTCTACCCTTAAATTCCCGCAAAATACACTTGATCCTCCCACATAATTCTTGATTTACAAAGGACAACTGCACTCATATTTTAAAATCGTCTAGATCCCGAGCATCCGTATCAATAAATTCAGATTGTTTTGCACACAGAACAAAGGACATTTATGCCCCCTTCATAATTGGTAAACTGAATTGAATTGTTTCATCCAAATACCATTCATTTGTTCGAATTCTGTATATACATTTAATTTTGAAGGGATGTGCAATTTGGAATTGAAAACCCCCCATAATTACACACCTTTGATGAGATCCGTGTACAATGACTATGAAGAAATCGCGGAAGCACTGATTACCGCAGGTAGGACTGAAAAAAATTATCAAAATGTTGAGTTTTACTTTTGTTGAATGATTTTTTTTTGTTGAAAAGCCCTAGCTGCTGTATATATATACATGTATTTCTACTTGCCTCAATAATGTTTTCATTATAATACCTTCAATATGCATAGACATTCTTTGTGAAACTTGTAGCATTACCCAAATTTCTCTCTCTCTCTTATTTACAATAAAAATTCTTTGGTTTAAATAATATCACAAGAGTGAATTAATCAGGTGCCAATATTGAGGCGACTGGAGCCAAGGGGCGGACCAGTCTGTTTATAGCCGTGATAGAGAGTAGCCTGAATTGTATGGAACTTTTACTGAAGAATGGCTGTAATATGGCCGTCCGAGACAGCCACGGATTCACAATGCTAAAAACAATCTTCAAAACCAACTCTATCATCAAAGCTGAGGCGATTAAACTACTTCAAAAATTTGGTGAGTGCACAACCTATTTTACTATAAAAATACACATTACTTTGTGAATTCGGAACATTTTTTGTGAGCATTTTCAATAATTTAATTATAACTGCTGAGTTTCAGAACCTGGGGATCGGACTTCCTTAATAAAATAAAACCAAACAAACCAAAATTAATAATGATAATAATAAAAATAAACAAACCACAAGAAAATAAAGAAATGGGCAAACAAGAACAAAAATTATTCTAACCCACCGCCCTTCTTACGAGAGAGAGAGAGAGAGAGAGTGAGAGATTTGTCAGTATATATTTGGTAAAATTACAATTTAGAAATGATAATGTTTATATGGTAATACGTAAGGAGACGATATTTTATATTATACTTTCGTGAAAATTAGGTAAATCTGATTCGCCGAGAGAAACATTATTTTGTTTAAAAAAAAGTTGTGGTACTGTGAGCACTGAACTCACAAAATGATACCCCCGTCTCCCATATGTTTATAATGGCAAAGTCCATGTGGGAGACCCGAAACAAGTGTCCGATCAAAACGTAAAATAGGAGATGCACAATGGCACTGTGTAATAAAAATTCTGTGAAAGTCTCATTAAATTTTATTCAGTGGTAAAGGAGAAATTGCAAATAAGAGATGGGTACTCCTCAATATTATAGAAAGAATAGCAGTGTCTATGTTTTGCTATTGGAAACCCGAAATACGTGTCCGATCAAAAAGTAAAATAGGCGCACGGTTTAATTTCATTAAATTTTATTCAGTGGTACAAGACATGATAAGAGGAGTTGCGGAATTCATGCGCGTACAGTTCATCGTAATATGTATTTATATAGTATAAATTATAATAAATATTGCATGCAGTTGAAAGTCACAGTGAAAACTTTCACCCAAGAAAACCATTGTCAACCTCGGCTGTCGAGGTTGACAATGGTTTTCTTGGGGCGAAAATTTTCTTTCACTGTGACCCTCAACTGCATGCTTTATTTATCTAATAGCTCTCTCTGATGTAATTGTAGAGTATAATATCGATCACGACAGAGATTATTTAGAGGACATGGTGAAGAAAAGCAAGGACCCCAATGACAAGGTTTACGCAGAGATGCTACTGCAGAATAAGTCCATTAAGGAAGCCTGTGAAAATCCTTTCGCTTCCGGGGGCTGGCACCGGCGCAACTCCCTAGCAACAAGACGCATCTCCGTTATCAGCGAGATCTCGCTGTCATTTATATATGGAAAGCAGTTATCATTAACTGAAGTGGATTAAAGTTTTGTTAATTACCAATACTGTGTAATTGCTGAACATCCATTTGTGTCGACAAAGTGCATGGATCAGTATACATGTATTTTAAAATATTTTCCTGATACTTGTCTGTACAACTAGGGGACAGAACTGATAATGAATGCTGTGAAAATACAGGTTCTTACTGTACACTTTTGATATTAATAAAAAAAAATCTTCACTGTAGTTTTAGCCTTTCTTTAAAACCTTAATTTCATTAAAATCCATTCACAACTTTCTTAAAAAGTATATATATCTGATAGACAGACAACCAGCGCAGATCCAGGAATTTAAGTTAGGATGGGCGCAAAAAGTAAGCAGGGGGTCTGGGGGCCGCCTTGAGGCCCCCAGTGGGTCCAGGGCGAAGCTCTGGTGGGGGCCCACCAGGCGAAGGCCCCCAGAAGCTTCTGGATTCTAGAGATTTTGTATGGTAAAAATGAAGTCTACCGAGTAGACATTTCTTATATTTTTTCGACGAAACTATGATTTACGCTAACTTTGACAATTAATTGGAGGGGGTGCGCCGGGCGCACTGGACAAACAGGAGTGAAAGTAACTACTTTCATATGTCATTGGCGTAGTAATCTATAGCTACGCATATATAGTTAAAAATACAGAACAGAATATTTATTTCTAATTACATGTGTAAGAGCCCAAAACAGACAAATATGATATACATCTACATATAAATCAATGTGTTAATAAGTTAATTAAAAGGAAAAATTTTCAAGATGTTCATTCCCAATGACAAGTAGTACTTAACAAAACAATTTTAAGGTACGTTTCAAGGGGATGTACACAATTGTATGTATTGCGATATAAAATATTGTGGAACTTCTGTTCTACATGTTTTAAAAAGAATTTCTTTATATATGCATTTATTCCTATAAATGTACATTTGTATACGGAAAGATCAAAACCACTGTAAAAGCCCAATCCTATAGCCCAGGGCTACTTGTTTCATGTTACACCCCCTCCTTATGCGGCCCTAGGCTAAATGTAAAGGTTATTTCCACAGACTTGAATCTTTACTACACATATATGTAGGAATGTTGTGTATAGTGACTAATTATAGCCATTTGTTCTTATTAAGAAAATCGTTATAATTTTTTTCCTTTGCAAAATTTTAACCCGACTGTGGTCCATTCCTATATCCCCGGAAACATTTTCAATTTAACAAATACTGAAAATTAATCGCTCACATAATGGGCACTAATTGTGCCCCTTTATTAGCCGACCTGATTTTATATGCCTATGAAGCAGAATTAATTCAAAAACTCCTACAGGAAAAGAAGAAAACACTTGCTGTGGCCTTCAACTCGACATTATATAACATTCAGATATATTGACAACGTTTTATCAATTCATATGTCGACTCGATACATCCCAGTGACTGAAATAAAAGACACCACAGAATCTGCCACATCTATTTCATATTTGGATGTTTTACTGACTATAGACGATAAAAAACCTAACAATTAAATTGTATGGCAAACGAACGAGATTACTTCAGCTTTTCCATCGTCAACTTTTCTTATATTTTAGTATAATATTCCGCTATCACTTACATATGGTGTATATGTCTCCAAGCTTATATATTCGATACTCAAAAGCATATGGTCTGAGCACGATCAATTTTCAAACCGAGGCAGGTTACTAGCAGGTAAGTTGATGTTAAAGGGATGTCAATGACCTTGTTTACTGTCAGCATTTCGTAAGTTCTATGTTCGCCAAAATGGCCCTGTTAACAAATATAATCTTTCACTGGTTCTTATTTGAGCTGACGTGGTTCATATCAATTGTTAGGCCTTTATTTTTGTACTATATTTGACGACGATATTTCCGTCCATCTGATCAATACATAGGGCTCAAGGCGGAAGTGACCGATCAACAGGGGGTGCTCACACCTCCTAGGCATCTGATCCCACCTCAGAAATTTCTTGGGGGGGGGGGGGGGGGTTCCGTGTTTTATGCCTTTTTCACGGATTTGTAATTGTTTGTGGATTTTTTAAAGGTGTAATATCCCTCTGATAAGAAAGATAACTTTCCAAGGAATTTATCCAAAACAATCCCATGAATTGTCTTACCTGAGATTAATAATGAGGACCATTTTATAGTTAACTCATTCAAAGCTGAACTATGTTACAAATATTGATTTTTATTTTCTATTGCCAATACTTATAATAGTTTACCTAGAGTAAATTATTTATACTCAGTTCCTTTAAACTGTTAAAATTTCTATCTCTTGATATACAATTATTTTAATTGTTACAGAAATTTTAGATTAAGAATTTTTATAATCAATTAATTAATATTTTTTTTAATAAAAAAAATTTGAACAACGATAATCCTGTAGATGGAAAGATAACTCTTGTAGATAGATGCATTTTTTTTGCAAGCACAGAAAACAATGTGATATTCTGGTTTAAAAAGCAAAGCTTCAGTATGTTTTCTAATGTGAATTAGATAGGTATGATAGTAAATATTATTTTCATACATACATCATATATTTATTTTGATGGTGAGATAAAAAATTATTGATCTTTCTATTCACCATATCAAATTTTCTTCATATCATGATTAGACATAATATATATTTCTGAAAAAGTAATCATTTTCTTTTTGAATCTAATGCTGTTGTTGTTGATGAAATTCAATGTTGGGAATTTAAAAAAAAAATGATTAAATTTGGAGCAGAGTGATATTTCACCTTAAGATCATCTTCACCTTGGTCACATGCTGTACCTGCATTTGATCAGCTTGCTGTAATATTGTAAATTCATATAAGAAATTTTTGCTTGCCCTAAGGACAAACGCAATGTAGTTTGAACTTTATTTGCATTTTTCCCTGCAGTTGAAGAGTTCCAATACTTTAAGGAACTGAGTGCTACATTTTAATGTTTAAATATGCTGTTGTACACTTCTTCTAAAACAAGTTTTGATAAACAAAACATCTAGAATATATGTTTAGTAATTTTTGTATTTTTTCTTTGAATTATACAAGAATTGTCATCAATTGATATCTTTTCAAACCCCCTGGTAATGCATGATGATTTTTTGCCTACGAACAATTGATGGCAATATAATCTTATATTAAAAATATCTTGAAAAATTATCAGTAGATAAGGTACGTTGCGTATGTCCTTAAAAACAGTACGAATCAGTTTGTGTACGACTTACTTCAAAACGGTTTGGTTCAATCTTCATCAAATATGTGTTTCATTGGATGTGATTACAAAGTGGTAACATATTCAAAGCGTGTTGATGAGAGTGGAAAGGTTTGGAAACGTGAAAAGCGGGAATTGTTTTACAGAATGACACGGTAAAATTCTTATTATTTTGAAATTGTAACCCCATTTTGTAAATTATGACTTGGAAACTTTAAATCACATCCAGGTTACAGCTATTTGCACCTACTTTTTTTAAAGGCTGATTTTAAAAGTGTTTAAGAAGGCATGACATTAAGGAGGAAATTCGAATGTTTGTACTGTTATCAGTATCTCAATAATATAAAAAATAATATTTTTAAAGAATCAGTTAAACGCATTAAATATACATGAATCAACAAGATTTTGTTTCTCAACTGTAGTATTTTTATAGATTGGTAGAGGCGCGATCTCTAATACGTAACAAAATGGAAAATGATTTCAACCTAGTTGTAGTCAAGTACACAGGTCCAGTCCAAAGACTATTTCTACCTACGTAGCTATTAATAGCTACCTAGGTATTTAAACCTACCCAAAGTAGCTATTTTTACCTACTTTTTGTATTACTTGCTGCAGTTGCATTTTGTGTCCAAACGGCCGAACATAGTTAGAATAATCTAACTGTATCTCGGGACAGGCCCTCACCACAGTTAGAATGCCTCCCATATACCCGTAATGTAGCAGAAAATTGCAGAATCACTCCGAAACGATTTTGGAGAAAATTAATGAAGTTGCATTGAAAATAACAGTCAAATTAATCATAACAAGCCTTTTTGAGACTGTAAATACCTTTCATCTAAACATTTAGTCCATATAATGGAAGAATTCAACACTTTTTCACCGACGTTTTTACTCGTTTGAAATTTACACACCATGTTGACATTTGGAACTCTTGGGATTTTTCATAGTAAATGCACAGAGTTAGAGTTATCTCCCGTATTTTCTTTGCTACATAGGCAATACACGGAACGCATTCTATCGTTAAACTGGGTCCGTAAGACATTTATCATTAACGATAGAACATTCTATCTAGGCCGAACAGTGCAACATGGTGAGTACCAGATTTCTTGATACAGTCACACTAATGATGAATGCGACAAAATTTCGGCCAAAAAATGATTACTTCGTAAATTAACAATTTTACATAGTAATTAATTCAAAATTGTCAATTTTCGAAGTGATCATTTTTTGAAGGGGCTATTAGGGGATCAAAGTTGTACATTGAAGAATATAGGCAAAAATCTTTAAAAATCTAATATCAGTAAAATTTAGAAGAAAGCACCCTCAGGTAGTGTAGGTGTAGTTTGTTCAAATTATGGGGGTAGGTTGAGGCCCCAGTAGAAGATCAAAATTATACATGGGAATATGTAGGAAAATGTGCTTAAAATCTTCTTTCCAAGTACAGCAGGACTAGCTATTATTAGTGATTTTAAAATGCAAGCATCCCCAGATATTGCAGATTGCAGATTTAATGCAGCTCATTGAGGTAAACTCTACCTGTACCCCTTAGTGGGCCCCTTAATTGAGTGTGATAATTTGATGATGTTTTTTTGGTGGGTAGAAGTTTTCCCGTTTTGCACACATTTGATAATTACGTAAAGAACAATAGGTATGAATTGTGTCTTCATAACTATTAAAGTCTGCTTACTAATACTAATGTATTAAAGAATTGAAAGACAACACACCAGCAGATTCAAGTTTGTTCATGGCCAGAGGGATAGGATGGGGCCCCAATTGTGGTGCAGTTTTACATGGTATATGTATATGTGGAAATATGTTTTAAAAATTTTCTTCTGAAGTACAGCAGGATCATGATAAGTGATATAAATATGCAAGTATCCTCAGGTATTGCAGATTCTAGTTTTGTTAAAACATAGCTCCCAGAATCGTTGTAAACCCACGGTCGGTCTTGTTTCTCTTATGAGAAGCGAGACAGACTGTGGGTTTCTGACAATGAGCCCCCAGATGATGGGGTGAGGCCACAAATGACAATAGCCATTAGGGTATCAAAGCTTTACAAGGAATATATTGCGAAAAATCTTATGAATTCCCCTCATGGACAACAAACATTATCAGGTCTTATAGATTCAAGTTTTTGACCCTTGGGAGTATGGTTGGGCTGCAGTAGAGAATCAAATAAAAATAAATCTTTAAAGAAATCTCCTTGTATAGAACAACATGGTCATGATTAGTTATATTGATATGCAAGCATCATCATGAAGTTTAGGTTCAAGTTTGTTGTCATAGCTGTTCAAATAATGACCGCGTTTGGTAGGGCCAATGTCTTAAAGAAAAGCAGGGCCAAGGCGACTCAGGCAAGCATTGTACCCAATGGGTCTCTTGTTTCTTTTACCATTAGCTTGAGGCAAAACATGCATAAAAAAGGAAATATCCCAGTTCACTGTAAGCTGCCTGAAAAGGATGACAAACTTCTTATGATTTTTTCCACCATAAATTGATATTTTATTTTAATGCAAAATTTGTAGCTCTCTGTCATCCTATATGCCAAATTATTCAGTCCAGAGAGCTTTAGATATGCATTCAGCAGACAATAAGTTTTGTTAATCCATTAAGTTAACTAAATAGATCTTTTATTCGTCTTTGATTTCAGAGGAAACACTGAATTAGGGGACATAACTCCTCACAACATTAAGCAACTAAAACTCCTTAACCAAGTTGTCTTTCCTGTCACATACAATGACAAATTCTATAAAGATGTTCTAGAGGTGGGAGAATTAGCAAAATTAGGTAAGTGTTTTGTTCTTACACATCTATCTTATTTAAATAGGAATAATAAAATATAAAGTATTTCAGGGATATTTTTCTGGAATGCAGACTGTATTTTATTTGTCAATACAGCGTACTTCAATGACATTGTGGTTGGAGCAGTGTGTTGTCGAGTGGACACTTCCGACCAGCAGAGACGACTGTACATTATGACTTTAGGCTGCTTAGCTCCATACAGAAGATTAGGCATCGGTAAACATTTATATTGACTCTGAAACCTTTATTTTATTTGTAAAGATGATATTTAAAGCTATTTCCAAAATAAAGGCATAAACACAGGAAAAAGCCATTCACAGAAGTTCTCCTGCAGTACAAGCTTCTTGATCCCTATACAATTGTTTGATGGCTTTAACAATATTCTAATGTTTTAGGTACAACAATGGTTGATGGCTTTAATGATTAACAATATTCTAATGTTTTAGGTACAACAATGGTGGAGCATGTCCTGAAGATCTGTGAAGAAGATAATAATTTTGATAATGTATTTCTGTAAGTGATGCTCAGATTTTCCTGTATAAATATTAACCAACAATACTCTAAAGACCATTTTGTTCTGATACAAATTCTAGATGTAAAGGTGATATATACCAAATTATTTTAGCTTTGAATTGTCATTCATGAATCCCAGCAAAGGGCATCAATTTCAATTTTTATACAATGTATTTATGAATATTTATTTAACCCCTAAATACTTTTCATTGTGTGAATGATTTTGACTTTCAAGTCTTAAACAGACCCCCCTTTCTAACATATAAACAGAAAGGGTTGTTTAACATTTTTATGATAATAAAGAAAGATATTTTCTTGCAGACATGTCCAAGTGAACAATGAGAGTGCAATAAAATTCTATGAGAAGTTTGGTTTCGAGATTGTGGAAGAAAAAAAGAATTATTATAAACGTATAGAGCCAGCGGATGCGTATGTGTTACAAAAGTCATTCCGTAAAAAAGACAAAAGTGAAAGTAAAGACAATAAAGAACAAGATGGAGAAAATTGAAGCCGAGGAACGCCCAGTATTTACATAAACAGCTCTTGCTTTGTTTTCAAGGAATTATTTTGTTTTTGTTTTTATGTACAAATAATAATTTTTAGAACTAAGAACACAATGGAGGAAAACTAGTTTTTGAGAATTCAATTTCAATTTGTAAACATACTTTACTTCTCTTGCACAAATGTTTCTTTTTGTTTTATTTTTCAACTTTAATATATTTTCTACACATATTTACATGCATAACTTTTCAAAATCAAAATATATAAATGAAGCAAACAATTGTGTTTACTCATAGTTCTAACAAACTGAATCAACAAAGATTCAATATTGGAAATGAAAAGCATGTTCTCCATTATATATGTAGATACATGTACATACATGTATAAATGTTCATTGTTACATTTATTTTGGTAAAAACATTCATATACATGTATATATCTACAATGTATTAACTTTTTTCTGCTCATATAAAATTGAATGATCAGTTAATTGCCTCTGGTTATTTTGAATATAGTACATGAGGTTTACTTTTGAGGGATTCATAGCATTGTATGCCTTAATGGCAGTACAGAAGTTTGTGAGATTCCCTTCCCTTCCCTTACTTTCGGTAAATACAAATGGAAACATATTTGGGGAAAGGGGAATTGTAATTGAAATATTTGCTAATTATTATAAAATAAGCATTCTGAGAATATTGATTAAGCAATGCATATAATATGGATGAACAATTTCTAAAACAGGGTAAGTTGTTGGCAGGCGGGTTGATGAGGCGGTCTCGTTTGGGGTCATCATTTCGTAGGTTCTATGGTTGATGCAATGAACTTGTCAGCAAATACAGTTTGTCATTAAATCAAATGCTGACTGACGTTTTTCATACTAATTGTTGGGCCTTTGTTTGCACCCTGAGTTGTCAACGGATTTTTCCGTTATTACATGTACTCGATCATGAAAAGGAGCACACAGTGGGTGTGACGGGTCGGCAAGGGATGCTCACTCCTCCATGGCACCTGATTGTTTTAGAGGTCCATGTTTGCTCTGCTCCAAAATTTGTATTGTTTAGTGGACTTTTGAGCTTGAATACTGTTCATTATCTCCATACATTTCATTGTATCAGTGTAGTGTAATATTTTGATACTGTGGCATATTGAACCAGGTTATGTTACTTACATTATGTAACCTGAACATCCAATCTAATTCACTTCGCCAAATGTTACGAGTAAATGCTCACATTTATGCCTTGTTAAATAGTAAAGATTTGGCAAATGTAGTACTTGAATAAACTGATATTATTTGATATGTACATGTATGTTAAGTACATGTACATTAAAGATACATACTATAAACAAATTTTCTTATCTCTAGCTAAGAAGAGTTACATTGCTGTTTCTTCCAATATATCTTTCAATTGAAATCTAAATAGAACATTTTGATTGTGTTTAATGTAAAAATAGACTATCAGTAATGTTTCCAGAAACTGTACAGTAACAAAACTTCATATATTTTTTATAAACTTCTCAAAAATTATATTGAATTGTAAAGTTTCATTTTCCCACTTTTCACTAAATTATGTGGTGGCACCTATTTACCGGGTACAAGCAAAGATATTAGAATTTTGAGAAAAAAAGAAAATTCTTTGTGTTCTTTATCCTTAAAATACAAAAGTGAGCACAGAGCTATTAGTTTGAACAAGTACATGACTGTTAAAGCGACACTTGTACCTGTAACAGGAAGGGAGAAAATGTGATGGACTAAAAAAAGAATTCTCATGCGTTTTTCTGCTATGAACAGAAATGTACCTACACTCGGTCCAGTTTCTGTAAGGTTTTAATCCAAGAATGAAGCCGAGCCAGGTATGGAATTTACTAACCAGGTATCATCCCGTACCCTGTAACTAAAAAACTATGTAACGAATTTACCCCACCGATAAAATATTTATGCATTGTCTGTGGTTTGTAAAATTGTTTTTCTCACTATATATATGTTTCATCACTCATACAATGCCTATTATGACGTCACGTTGTGTGACGTAATGTTGTTTTTGCGAGTGTTTCGTGCTGTAATAACGTACTGACAGTTTTGAAGACTTTCAGTAAAGGGAGAAAAAGGTTCCATCTTCGTTACTTACATTAGTTAACTGTAACATTGTCAACAGACACTCGGTAAATCGCGTGAACTCGAGTTGTTCGAACGTTACAAAAGAACGATAACTCCGTATCGACCATGTATTGATTTTCAAGCGACTAGGTATAAGTAATACACCCCCTTCACGTGACAGACTTCAACCAATCGTAAGCCAGGATTTCATCGAAAAATCAACAGAGGTGGGGTAAATATATATCTTTGGATTTTCTTTTTTTAGGCCCCGCATGAACAAGACTGATGAAAGAAGATTTGTTAACTGGCTATATTGTAACACTTTTGAAAAGCTACAAATTTTTAACTTGTGGGTCACGGTAATTATAGTGCAACATAACATGCTGTTTTGAAGTTGATGGCAGTAAGAGCTTTGCCCACACCTGATTTGAATATTATACCAAGTTTATTTCGAGGCTTTCACGCAATAATGGTGCATGCGATTTGACAAGAACTTAACTCATAGTTATGTCCCGCCCGCGTGGTACAGTGGTTAGAACGTCTGCTCTAGAGTGGCGAATTAAGGAGTTGATCCTTACGTCGCGGGTTCGAATCCCACTGTGAGAAGTGGAGACCGGTCCTTCGGATGAGAGTCATGAGACCGTATAAACTGAGGTCCCGTGTCGCAGTAGGTGCTGGCACGATAAAGATCCCTCACTGCTCAATGGCCGTAAGTGCCGAGCATAGGACAAAATTTGCAGCTCTCCACCGGCAAGTGGTGGCGTCTCCATATGAGTGAAAAAATCTCGAGAGGGACGTTAAAAAACATACAAACAAACATAGTTATGTCCCGACATCTAACGTCTGGTTTTCCTGTCACACATTTGATAAACACCTCCCTATGTACTGATGTATATGAAGGTGAAGTACATGTACACACCAACTACAAATCTCATTCGTTATTATTCAATTTTTATACAGAATTCTGAAAGGAAATGTTTCTTGGTTTGACTTCTGGGACTTAGACAACTTAATGGCTTCCAAATCTACACGAATCCTCACTTTGTTTTGCATGTATTTGTCTGGAGAAATGGGTTTTTAAACAATGTTAAAAAGATGTCCACAGAAGTATACCATCGGAAATTGAAAAAAACCCACAATTTTTTTGTATAAAAATAGTTTTATTGTATTGTAAAATAATGCATTTATAAAACAAAGGTACAATATAAAAACATTTTATAAAAATAGCGCCAGTTGTGTAGATACCCTTTAACGTAATGTATACATTGTTAATGTGTAACAGTTATACCATACAGTTATAGGGAAAGCTTGGTATACAAAATACATGTTAGTTGATATACAAATATACAAGCATTGAAGCAATACTTCTGTATACTGTATACATATAAATAATTCAGAGTTGTTAGATTTAGCTGATACTTAGAGAAATGAAAGCTAAACAAGTATCTGCATTTTTTTTAAATCACAAAATTTAAAGAATGTTAAAGGAATTGTGGATAAAATGTACACTTCAGCACCTTGTATGGTAATTTGGGAAATTAAAGTTTCTACATATATAACTGTTGACAATTTGTTGAGTCGCCCACCCCTTAAAAGCCTGACCTAGCCTATAATATTGAACACATTATGGACCGCTGTAGACAAAAGACTAGCCAAACAATGATTAGCTGTTTCTGGTAACTTGATCGTTAAGTCAGATTGGATGTAAATCTCGGTGGCAAGGATTTCCATCTTCATAACATGGGACTGAAAGAAAACACATATATACACATAAGGAATGGATCTTTATCTATTCTACTTATATGTATTACGTTAAAAAGATGTGTTAATTTGATAGGTTTTAGATTATTGGTATGAGGTCTCTAATCTATCAAACTGAATGTGAAGCTTCAATATGGTTGTTATAAAAAGTTATTAAAGATTATGAGAGCAGTAAATATATATGACATGCAAGTACAGGTGAGACCAGGCATTTATTATACAGGTAGCTCTCAGAATATAGCCAATTTAAAAGAATCATTAATCATCATTATTACAAAAACACAAAGGTTTTTTGTGTCCATTTTTAAAAAAAAATTCTTTGTTTTAACAGATGAGTTTATGAAGTCACGTATTGAAGCTAGAGATAAATCTGCAATTGTAGGCTTGTTAAGATTAAAGAAAGCCATTCGAAGCTTCAGTAAAGTAGTTAGTGAAATAATACTCGTGAAGGGTATAGTACACTAACACTATAACAGCGTAACGAGTATAAAATATTTATACTTCATAAAATGATACAAATTCAAAATATACTTAACTCGTTGCATAATAATATAACTTGCTAATTTGTACAAAGACAATGGAATAACATTTGGCAGTATGTATGCAATTTAGTTGTAGATTTCTCGAAATAAGGAGTATTAACAATATTGACCGATGCCCTTACATCTTCGTGTCATCATTTGGTTTTCCATTCAGAGGGAGATCACCAGAACCTGGGAAACCCTCCTCGGCGACATTCCATTGGTTCTGGTCGTCAAACAGCTGTTCTGCTTTAGGACTGTCTAAGAAGGGGATGCGAAGGATGAAACCTGGAAAATAATTTTGACAATATAAATATTGCATGTAGTTGGCTGGGTCTCAGTTGATGATAATTTTCAGTACTATCCAGTGGTCACATTTACTTAAAATATAAACGAAACTCCAATTTCTCCGAGTTCGTTTATATTTTAAGTAAATGTGACGATGGTTCGCTTTTACATCTATACATGTACATATATAAGAAATGCATAGCCCCTGGATAGTACTGATCGGCACGGATGACTCTAAATTGGCACGAAAAAAAACTAATATTCGATATCAATGGTGGATGAATACATGTTACTTCATATTAGGCAAGTACAATGTAATATCGGGGATGGGGAACTTCTTCCAAGAGTATAATGATTTGATAAGGACAGATGATAAAAACAACATTTTCCCCCAAATCATGAAAATAACAAATAATTCTACGTTTATATTAGTAAAATGAATAAGTTTTAATGATTTTACTGGTCGCTGCGGCGTGTAGTATGCAAATCTTACGATGTACGTTTTGTTTACGTTTTATTTATTTCAACGTGCATCACTCTGTAATGCATTGACCTGTGAAATTGATATCGAATATCTTTAATACCCCCCCCCCCCCCCCCCGACATGGCAGAGCATACAGAAGTCTTTTTTTTCGCACCCAAGTATATCACAATGACAATGAAGGAGACCTCCATTCAGGTAAAATCTGATAAGCGAAATACACTGACCCGTGAATAAAGCTGAGGCTTACCTAGTTGCTGGAGGATTACAGTCTAGAGGAGAAAAATATGGCTGACATAGATAACTCTTTTCCTTTTATGATTACCTGTAATGACCCCGCCCACTATAGCTATAATCAAGGTCACGCAGAGTGCAGCCATTTGATATCCCCCCTGCTCTATAGCTGACCGTCCTCCCGTCATGACCATTGTGGTGTTGGTACCAATGGTTGTGTTCTTCATTGTTGGTTCCATTGCAGTAAATATAGAATACAGACTGTAAAAAAATAATTTGCAAGAAAAATTTAATTTGATTACCTCCTGTCATTTAACTTAACATTCCTTTTCCCTATACTAGCTTTTCCGTGACCTCTCACCTGTCGCCCCAGGTATCTTTGCTGGACAGAGCGGCGGCTACAGCTCCTCCTATAGCCGCCAATATTCCCGGCATTCCGTGCAGATTGTTCACTCCACAAGTGTCATGAATTTTGAGTTTCGATGAAAGGGCAGGCTAGATATGAAGAAAGAAATTTTTTATTTTGTTATTTTTTTCTTATCTTTGGGAAGAGAGAGAGAGAGAGGACTCACTGTTAAGTACTTGTATCCTAGCGTAGAGATGACCCCAGCAACTGTGCCTAGCAGCATGGCACCCCAGGGCTGGATAGGCATATGAGCAGAGGTTCCCACCGCTACACCCCCCGCCAGAGTAGCGTTCTGAATGTGAACCTATATAATAATGTATCAAACATCTTAAATATCTCAATATTCATCCTCTCACAATCTATGTTTTTTTAAAGTTGGTACAAGACAAAACTCTCGTCCAATTTTCGACATATACTATTGGAGTTCAATGCATTAAAAAAAACCTAGCTCTCTAACGCTAACCTTACCCTAGCATTCCAACCCTATCACTCGATCAGCCCTAGCCCTCATTGTACCTTATTTTGTGTTTCGAGATTTTCTCCAACTTTTAGAATTTTGATCTTATTTGTAATAGTAGTGATTCAGCTACTAAATATCCCGTTATGTTCTCCAATAAGCCATCGATAAATCCAATAAATATCAAGTATGTAGTATTCGAAAAATTCTTTAATGGCATTTGTATTAAAACTGTTTAAACTATTACATGTATATCTATTAACTTATTTCTAGAAATCTTTGTTGAATGTCTTTGTGGTGGCTTTTATTTTACAACTTAAACATATTTCTAGACAGATAGGGTTATAATTATACGATATCCTCGTAGAAACCAGAATCGTATGGAATTTCAGACAAAAATCCATAAAATCGAGTGTCAGTTTCTTTGCATTTAAATGAACGTCCGAAAGTACCATTTCGTATCAATCTTAAAAAAGATTTTTTTTTTCTTTAAAAAAAAATGGTGAGAAAAAACATCCTCTGCTGTGAAACCCTATCTCGTCCTTACCACTAATTCATTCTGAAGGAGAATTAAAACGTCATGGAGAACCACAGGGACATTGAAATCACACCTTGTAGGTTGACATCTACTTTTGTGTGGATTGTGATGGATGTGGCCTGTGAAAATCACACTGCCAATGTTTTGCTTTATCATGTCTAAACTACATTCTTCTCCTTTACTGTTTCTTATAAAGATTTGCAGTTTATAGCATTATTTGGTAACTTAATAGAATTGACTATGGGATTGCCAGGACTTGCATATTATATAATTAACCAAGTTTTGAAGTTCTTATTACTTTTCTGATTATCAGCTTTTTTACAAAGAAAATTCTATTATACTTTAGCCTTACTCTTATTATATACAAAATTAAATTAAATTGTATCTAAAACAGCTTTAATTTATTTCAATGCCAAGTTTATCATGCAGTGTATGGATGAGAAATAGTGGTGAAAGGATATTATCTACGTTACTTATATTTTAAGCAATGACTTAAAAAAAAACGTATATCTTTTTAAAGTTGGTTAAGCATATTAAGCATGTCAATTTCTGCTCAAGAAAAGAAGAAGAGTTATCGATCTTTTTTCTCACCATTTCAAATTTCCCGCGCTTGTCCACGAGAGAGGAGATGATGAAGGTGGTGACGGTACAGGCGAGGAGAGAGAGGTAGGTGTTGATGACTGCACGGTGCTGCTGATCCCCTTCTACAGCCCCTCCATTAAAACTCGGCCAATACAGCCACAGAAATACAGTACCTAGAATATTGTTGACAGTTCCATTATTTGAAATCTTTATTATCGATCATATCTGTTTCATACTTGGTAAAGTGCTATTCCCGAACTTCGCAAAGTGAAATAGTATCTTTTTCGAAACTGCTTTGCCGTCAACGGGATACAAAATGAAGAGGGGGATGGGGAGCACACGTGTTACGAATGACTGAGGATTGGATCTTAATGTCTTGAGGGCGGTAAAAAGTTGAATTCTATAATGCTTTTACTTTTCTTAAACACTGCTATTAATTTTAATCGTGAAATACAGTAATCATACTCAAAAGTCGAATTAAAGGAAAATAATTGAGAGCAGAGCTAACACAGATCCTTTAAAATGAAGTGCCATTAGGTGGAGGAGTAAGCATTCCCTGTCGACGGGTCCAGCCTGTCGTGAGCCCTTTGTCTTGATCGAGTATAAATGGAAAAATCTGTAAACAATTCAGTATAAAAGTAATGACCTAATAATTTGTATTAAGAACGTCAGTCAACATTCAACCTAATGACAGGTTGTATGTATTTTGCAAACAATGTTATTGTATTGACTATAGAATTAGCTAAATGTTGACTTTATCAAAACGAAATTGTCAATACCCTTGTATCATCAATTTCTTTGTCAGTAGCCTACCTCAAATTAGAAATTTTTACATTCACAGTTCATGATCTTGCGTATCGAACCAATTGGCAGACATAAACACCGTATTAAGGTGATGCTTATTACATTGCTGCATATTTAACTTAGGGGAAGTTGACGAAGAAAAGTTGAAATCATCAGGGTGTCTGTTAGCCATCAAAGTTTTTCTAGAGTAAAATATTTAAAAGTGAAACAAATGCATGTACCTGTGCATGTATCCATCTTTTATTTTGAGTCCAGGGGGACATTGAATCAAAGTATGAATGAAAATGAATATTGTTAATTCATAAACGTCGTAGATACGAAGGTTGTTCGGAAAGTTCGCGGACCATTTCAACCTTCGTTATACTGTCTTCAAGAAATTTTAAAATGAGCACATTATCAAATGTAAAATATTTATTTTGTTGGTGTGTAAAGTCTCTCTATCATTCAAATACCACCTGTGTCATGTACACGCAGATGTATGGCTCGCTTTTTACATACTTTCTGCTTCCTCCAGCATTTTCGGAGTTTTGGAGTACAACACAAAATTATATCGTTAACTGCTTCTCCGTGACGTTCTCTGACGTCATCTTTGTTTGCCTTTTTCAATGAGGACTGCCTATCTTCTGAAATTGATTTCTTGCCAACGAAGCAAAATTTCAAGTCATAATTTGGAATATGAAACGATGTAACAATTCTTAATTTGAACGTCTAGGGTTTTTTCCCCTGTTTTTGCGCTATTTTTCAGGGGATATGACTACAGACATTATTAAGTGTATTGATTGTAAATAACGAAATTTTTACCTGCTCCATGATCCGATTTTTGCTTGTTTAAACTCTAAAAAATTTTGAAATATATCAAGGTATTTTTAATATTTTTAATTCACATCATTTGGATTTATTGTTGAAACATTTCTACCAAATTTGGATATAATATGACGTTAAGCAATTTAAAAGTTATGACGGTAGTCCGCGAAGTTTCTGAACAACCTTCGTATATGTAAATGTGCAAGCATCTTTCTCCGTTATCGTCTTCATACCTATCATAGAGAAAAGATCTGAATGATACGTAGCGCCCTCTTTGGTTGATTTTTCCACATCTTCATTATACAGAACACGTGCCACTGCTAGACCAAAATAGGCGCCAAAAGCATGAATGAACATGGACTCCCCGACATCTGCCGTCTGTGCATAAATTTTTAAATTTGCAATAATGTGTCAAAATTCACAGAAGTAAAATACACATGATATCGAGATACATTACGTTATCGTTTCTTACATGCAGTATATGGTAACCAATGTGTTCATTGACTTGAGCCAGAACTACTTCTATAGTAGCCATTATAAGAAGTTGAAGAGGTCCAGTTTTACCCAACACAGCACCAAATGATATGAGAATTGTAGCAGCAGCGAAATCCGCCGTGAGCATCCTGAAAAGAATGTAAAGGGTCAAGGTAAATTTCCAAGTTGATTCGAAAAATACCATAAAATATATATAATACCATAAAATACCATAAAAGTGACACAAAGCGTTAATTTCGAAGACTTACTCCATAACTCCGACCTGCCAGTTGCCTGAGATGGCGGATCTGATGATGATTGCCCATTGAGCTGAGAAAGCCGCCAACAGAAGATTGAAGCTAACCGACGAGTACCCGTATCGCTTTAGAAACGTCATCAAAAACCCAAAGCCAATATAGATCATCACGTGTACATCTTGAAACACTGCAATGTATGAAAATCAAATTGTTATAATATGCTTTTGATTATTTTTTTTTCTCATAGTATATGTTGAAATGGTCGTAAAAGAGAGAAATGATGTGATATTGGTATATGTTATCTATTTTCCATAAAATAAGAAATAAACTACACTTCTTTCCCAAGCGTGAAAAAAAAACCTATGGGTGGGTCCACGTTTTTTAGGGAGTTCCAAAGTCTTTTTTATGCCCCCGTATCGAAGATTCGGGGGTATATAGTTTTTGCTCTGTCCGTCCGTCTGTCTGTCTGTTTGTCCGCAAAAACTTTAACAGTACCAATGACTTTTGATTGGCTGAAGCTAAAGCTTTCATATTTCACATATGTATTCCTTGTGACAAGACATTACTTTGGATACTTTCAAATTTGACCGTTTGACCTTGACCTTGGAATTTGACCCAGTTTTGCAAAATTTTACTGAACGTTAACCTTGGCCATTACTTTTGAACGGTTGGTGCTAGAGCTTTCATACTTCATATGTGTAACCCTTGTGACAAGACCTTTCTTTAGATACCAACAACTTTGACCCTTTGATCTTGAGCTTGGAGTTTTGACCTACTTTTGAAAAAAAATTAATCTTGGGTATAACTTTTGAACAATTGGTGCTAGGGCTTTCATAATTCACAAATGTTATCCTGGTGACAAGTCCTTCCTTTGGATACCAACAACTTTGACCCATTGACCTTGACCTTGGAGTTTGACCTACTTTTGGAAGACTTCAACCTTGGCTATAACTTTTGAACGGTTGGAGCTAGGGCTTTCATACTTCACATATGTAATCCTTGTGACAAGGCCTTCCTTTGGATACCATCAACTTTGACCCTTTGACCTTGGAGTCTGACCTACTTTTGGAAAATTTTAACCTTGGACATAACTTTTGAACAGTTGGTGCTAGGACTTTCATATTTAACATGTCTATTCCTTGTGACAAGACCTTCCTTTGGATATCAACAATTGTAATCCATTGACCTTGACCTTGGAGTTTGATCTACTTTTGAAGAACTTTTACCTTGGCCATAACTTTTGAACGATTGGTGCTACAGCTTTCATATTTCACATGTGTATTTCTTGTAAGAAGACAATTCCGTTGGCATCATTAATTTTGACCATTTGACCTTGACCTAGATATTTGACTTACTTTTAAAAACTTTAACCTTTGCCATATCTATTCAATGGTTGCTGCTAGGGCTTTCATAGTTCACAGGTATATGCTTCGAGACGAGACCTTAAATTACTTTGGGTACCAACATATTATAACAAACTTTAACATTGGCCATAACAGTGGAAAAATAGTGCTCATGCTTTTATATATTATATGTGTATTCCTTGTGACAAGACCTTCCCTTTGGTACCTACTTTTGTGACCTTTTGACCATGGAGTTTGAAAAACTTTAAACTTAACCATATCTTTTGAATGGTTGGTGTTAGGGCTTTCATATTTATATATTATATTTCTTGTGACAAAACCTTCCCTTAGGTAACACTTTCATGACCTTGACCCTAGAGTTTGACCTACTTTTGAAAATCTTTAATCTTGGCCATATCTTTTGAATAATCGTTATTTCCATCTTTTTGTTTAGTGCTAGGGTTTTCATATTTCAGATATTTCTTGTGTTAAGACCTTTCCATGGGTACCATTTTTTTTACCTCTTGACTTGACCTTGAGTTTGACGTGCATCTGAGAATTTTTAACCTTGGCCATTGCTGACATACAGGGGCATCAGCGTTTCACAAACACGTCTTATTCTTCACGTTTTAAAACTACACCGTATACTAGTATACAATACAGAAAAAGCTATAGTGGCATAAGAGAACTATTTCTTCAAATAGATGTAAGAAACAGGCCAAAAGGAAGCAAATTCGGGGGGGGGGGCAACCTTAAAGAAAAATTTAGACAACCAAAAATCAAAAATGCATCAGTATTCATTAATTATTATTGAGAGGACACAACATAATTCAGCTTTGTTTTCCAATGTATAGTTACAGGCACTTGCTTCTGTAATAAAGTTTTACTCCATAGAATAATAATAATAGACACCTGTTTTATACTATATTATACTATCGGGTAAAAAAAATTATTACAGAAACAAGTGTCTATGTGTATAATATATACTGGCAAAACATTAAGGGGGCTCAATTGTGAATTAGCTTTATTTTCCAAAGTAAATTAATACCAGTCTGGCAAGATTATTATTACTACGGGCCATCGAGATAAAAATGACTGGTCTGTGACCATCTAATAATATTTTTGTGCAGAATGACGTCTGGATACAAAATACGTCCTACCACAGTCATTCTCATATAACCTAAACACGATACCACTTTCTTCTTATATCGATACCATGAAAAAATCATGTAGATTTCTGAAAAGAAAGTAATTTATTTGCGCTGTTTGAGATAATTCTTAATATCAGTGCTATTTTTCATGTAAATTCGCATATCAATTGCCTGTTTTGAGAACCATTCATCCTCATCTGAAACAGCAAAGATAACAAAAATGCTACTTCCAGTTTCATTGGATCCCGTTTAATACTTGTATACAAACACAATGCAAAATATTTGATATTCATAAAGTTTCAAATAATTCAAAAACTGCAGGGAGTATAAATGGACGTAAAGAGATGAGGCCTAATTAAGGTTGTTCTCAATGAAATGTTTCTTGTGTCTCCGTAAGTGTATGTGAAGGTGGATCCGGAAGACTGGTGTCATTTTACAGTTAATACTTGTATTTAGTGTGCGACTGCCTCAATCATGGTCATCTTTCATAGTGTGTGTAGAAAATACATAGGGTCAGATAAGGATAATGGACAATTCATTCAGTTCTCACGAAAACAAAATTAATGTACTTGAGAATTTATTCTTAGTGCGGAATAAGACACTGATTATAATGCATGCGCGGATCTAGAGGGGGGTGGGGGTGGGTGGGTGGGGTTCCGGACCCCCCCCCCCCCCCGGAATTTGCAGAGGTATTAAAAGTATATATTGAAGCAAATAAAAAATGACTTTGGACCCCCCCACCCCCCTAGTAAACGTGGACCCCACCATCACCATCACGAAAGAGGTGTTTTTTTTTACGTTCAGGAACTGAATTTTACGTTTTGTCTTTTTTGTTTTTGTTTCTGATATTGTTTTTTTCTTTCTTTTTTTTTTTTTGCATGTCAAGTAATTTTCTGGATTTTTTTTTTTAGCTTGTCAAGAATTTTGGGGGTTGGAAATCTGTTTTCGACTGGGGTGGACTCCCTCCCCCCCCCCCCCCCCCTCCCCCGGAAAAAATTCGTGGATCCGCACCTGTAATGTCTCAGGTATATGGAATGGACACCATTAAGTTTGAAAAGATTGTCTGTCTGTCTGCCACAAAAGCTTTTAGTATTATCTGCTTATGTCTAAGAAATATGTGTTCAATCTTGTCTCAACATCATATATTAATATTAAAAGGGCATTATCACTGACTAATAAAATGTTGAAATAATGTCCAGGCTACAACTTTTCAAAACCGTTGATTGGAATATATTGAAACGTGAGTATGTTGTTGCTGGACCGACCCATAGGATCATATACTGTATTAAGTGTCAAGGTCATGATCGATACATCTCTAGGTGATCCGTGTTACATTATCAAGCGGTACACTGTCATTTGTCCCTTTACAGTACTAATATTTTAAAATCAACTGCACGAAAATGGAAGATGAAAATTAGCGCAATGAAAACAAGATTATAAATGAGGATAAAAAAGCATCTGTAAAATGTAGTCATGTAGTCGTGGAATTCATGGCGAACAACTGAATTACAGTGTAAAATTATCTGTCATAACTTACAAGAGAATGCAGCGTTTAACAAATTTGGAACTGAATTGTTATGAGTGTTATATAATACGTCCCGTTTGCACATTCAAAGGATACCTGACGCATTATAGAGTCTGAAAGTTGAACCTGGGCAATTATAACTAGAATACATGTATTTATAAACATGCCTATAAAAGAGTGCTGTCTCATTCTGTAAATACTTAGTTTATACATGTAAGATTGTTGACAGATAGAATGATAACACATACAGTTACGATAGTTATGTATATGTACTTAAAGATCTTATTTTTATTACATAATATACCGTGTCCTTCTGAATTATAATTGTGTAATGCTAACCGAGAGCCATATCTATTTCAAAGTAAGGAATCGTTCTTGTTGTGATACTGAAGGAAATTTCTAGATTTCTATAAAATTCTGTTTTCGTTCAAGCCATCGGGGATACTGTAGTGGAAAAGGCAAAATTAGACTTCAAATGAGGAATTATAAAAAAACATACAATGCTTTCTTAATTTGTTTTACGAGCATAATCGGTTGCAAAGTGCAGAAAAAAATACATAAGTGGGTTCTGTATATCTTCTGCAATGATAGCAACCTCTGATCCAACAAAAAACTTCATCTTATTGATTATATTTTTATTTGTCTTGAAAATATTTGTAAAATGCTGGTGTAAGGAATTTAAATATTGTACTATCAATCAATACGTTACATTGTACATATACTAGTGTACATTAATACATAATTTTCTTGTGGTGAAATTCCAATCTTCCGACCATGGAAAAAGGCGTATAGACCTAGTAAAAGTTCCCCAGCCAAAAAAAATATCTTCTCTAGTCTTATACTGGGTAAATGTCCACATCTGAATGTTGAGATGTAAAGATAACTTTATATTAAATTAGGTCACAATCTTCATGTAATATTACACTGTTCATAAATATCGTATTTCAACACATAAATCATTAGCATTTGATATTAGACCTGAAATCAGACTATACACTGATAATTAAGTTTGCTTTTTCAATTGATATGTTTAAAAATATGTTAATTTTATGCGACCGACAAATCAGTTTGCAATCGTGTAAAGAAATCATGAGTTCTTCGGGACTTTGGTTACACAACAAACCAGTACAGACAGACCAAGATTGTCAGCAATGCCAAATCAAGCCGTGTAGTTGACGCAGACAAAGCTAAAGAAAATCGAGGCTCCTTGTTCCTCGAAATCTGTTCGCTAAATGCATGATGCAGGGAAAACAATATAAGAATTTCCATGAATTACCGCCGAAAACGAGTCTTTCTTTTATTTTCCTTTCGCTTACTTCTCTATTCTTCGATATTATTGCAATTCAATGTCACTTATTTTTATATCCATGCTTATTATACCCTTCTCAAAGGAAGTTTGGGGGCATATAGGAATCACTTTGTCCGTCTGTCTGTGCAATCTTATCCGGGCTATAACATCGTAATGGAAAATCATTGGAATCTCATTCTTAGTACACAGATTGTTTATAACCTGAGAGTGTGTCTAAACCTTGACTCAGGATCATTTCGGTTAGTTCGAAGTCATAGGCAGAAAAAAATCATTAAATTATTTGTTCGGGGCATATCTTTGTAATGGAAAATTATTGGAAGCTCATACTCGATACAAAGATTGTTTATAACCTGAAAATGTTTCAGGACCATAACTAAGGCCATTTCATTAAGTTTAAGGTCACTGGCAGAAAAAGTGTAAAATTCTTGTACGGGGTATAACTTAGTAGTGGAGAATCATAGGAAACTCATACTTGATACAAAAATTGTTTGTGACCCGAAAATATGTGACGACCTTATCTCAAAGTCATTCCGGCAAGTTAAAGTCAGGGTCAGTGACAGAAAAAGTATAAAATTCTTGTTTGGTCTGCAACTTCTTTATGAAAGAAATTGAAAGTTCATACTTCATTCAAAGATATGTGTAGCCTATGATCTGAAGATTTGTCATGAGCTTAAGCCAAGGTCATTTGATTAAGTTCTAGGTCACTTAAAGAATATTTTTATGCCTGTCCAGACCATATTTTATATAATGGAGAACATTAGAGGTCATACTTATCACAAATATTACATATGATCTGAGGGTATGTATTGACCATGATCCAAGGTCAGACAAGCAAGATCAAAGTCACTGGCAAAAAAGGTGTTTTTATTCGTGTCCTGTCTGTAACTCTCAAATGGAGGCTATTGGGAGTTGATACTTGGCACAAAGATTACTTATGAGTAGTTATGACTTAAGGGTGTGTCATAATCTAATCCAAAGTCATTTTAGCAAGTTCAGGGACATATTTACAAATTTGCAAATTGGCACTTTAAAACAATTGCAGCGGAATATTTTTTTTTGTGAGCTCGCTCACAGGTCTATAATAATTTTCGAATGGAGAAACTTGGCTATCCATATTTCACTTAAACATTACTAAGGATCAGAAGATGTGTCAGTTTTTAAACAAAGGTCATTTTGGCAAGTTCATGGTCACATTTACAAAATTTCAAATTGGCACTTAAAAAAAATGCTGTGGGGGTATTATTTTTTAGCTTTCTAACAGTACCTCTAATCACATTTTACTTTGAAAACTTCTTGGTCTTCATGATGTTTGTACTTCTATAAAGCCTTATGTCATTTCTTCGTATCAATGTAAATTCAGATTAGATTTTTTACTTGCATTTTGATACCGATTCTTCATTGCCTTATTTTTAATTAAAGTTTTCTCCATTATACAAAATGTCAATTCAATTACTAGTATGCAAATCATGAAGCACTTTCAACCACACAATGGTTTAACCTACTGCAAACATGAAAATATACGCTTGAGGGTAGTTTACACTAAGAGTATAAGTATCTTTAGTGGCTCTTGTTTCTGCTACTGATTCGCGTGAAATTAACAAAACGCGAAAACGTTCACATTTATAGTACTTTATAAGATGTATTACATCTTTGCTTTGTTTGTATGTGATTGGATGTACAAAAATGTCCTGCAAAGAAATGTTGAACCTCTCAATGTAACCCTTCCATTTATAGGCTTAGGATGCCAGAATAAATCATATACTGAAAGTGTTATCTAATAAGGACAATTTATCAGCCATACTAAATCCCCCTTTGTAACACTGTTTTACGGTTTTTGATTGTCATTCATGGAGAGCAGACCGATCAAGTCTCAGAACATTGATTCAAAAGCAGATTTTAAAAAGATAATGAGATTGAAAAACAGATTTCAAGTCTTTTCAAAGTAAATTTATGGGAAAGTATTGCATGGTAAATGTATTAAATATTTTTTATAAGCCTCCCTCTGATTAAGATGAACAAGAGCAAAATAGGAATCCCCACGAAAATACTGCAAACTAAACCCTAGTTTTTGATAAGTGTATTGAACTTGTGCACAGCTGTTGCAAGGTTTGCGATAAAGATTTATTTTATGGTAGGGAATACAAACACTAGGTAAACTGAAATCTGGTTTAGTTTTGCAGTAAATCAGTAAGAATGAAACCCTGTAGATAACCTGTGCGCATTTTTCTTCATGCTGTCGTTTTATGTTAATCAAAAACGACTGAATGAATTGAATGGTAAAATGTCATTGTTTACTGTACATGAAGCAGTTAAAAGTTACACTTGGGTTCAAGATTGAAAAAGGGAAGTAATGCATGTTAAATAGTCTATGAAAGAGATCACTACTCGTTTGAAAGCACAATAAGAATAAAATCACAATATGAGATTTAACTAATTGCTTGAAACTTTAGAATTTAAGGATATTCTTTATAAGCAAAATTGTAAAACCAATAAGGGAACCCATATCTTTATTTGTTCGAAAATACCATGGTACTTCAAAAAAGCTTTAATTAAGTCTCTAAGCTTCAGATATCTGGTCGACCTATTTATTCCTTCAATTAGTGGGGTACTATTGCCTTGTTAGAATTTCTAGGTGACCAGAAAACCAGCAAGATGCTTTTGTGACTGAGGGATTCACATTAAGCTGTATAGATAATAATGAGTAAGGCGGACCTGGGTCCAACGAAGCATCAGACGTCACAAAAAAAAAATTAAAAAAACCCATCCCGAATGTTTTTGATAAGTTTCCCCCTAGCTTTTAGCTGCATGAAATCCAGTCACAGAGAAAAGGGACAACATAATGTTTTATTTTCCTCAAAGAAGGACTCTTGCTTGCGGTTTTGTTGAATTTGTCGTATAAAAAAGAACTACAATACATTGTCATGTATATCCGTCCATCAAGAAATATGAATGCTGACCTGAATTGACATCAAACAAAGCCTTGTATATTTGCCTTGTAATTTATGATATGAATTTAACCAAGCATGCCAAATTAAAACATTCACAGGTGTACATCGTTATTTTCATTTGCAATGGGGGCACTTATATATATTGTCTAATTTTTAAACAAAGAAGAAAAAGTGAATCGTCACGAAACCGTAAATATTCATTTTTAATTTAAAAAAAAGAAGAAGATTTTTAATAGTCTTACTTGGATAGACGTTCCCCACTGGGGAGGGGGAGACTGTATCTAAAGGCTTAGCCGTCTCATGATATTCGATCTTAACTCCAAAAATCACCAAAAACACAATCTGTACGACCGCCAGAGAAATAATTAGACGTAAGCTTTGTTTTTCTACCATTGTGAGTTTTCAGTAAGTCCTGAACAAAAACTTTCGACGGATAACACGTAAAGCCTTGACCGAATGCGAAGTAACAGATGTTAATCATGAGCAAACCAATGTGTGTGGTTCCCTCCACCAATCAGAATTGGGCCCAACGTAAACACCCAGTTTTGGTATGTTTATTTCTTTTAATATGGAGCAAAGACGTATATAAAGTCTTCAGCGGAAGAGTTTCTTTAAGCTTTGAAAATACATTTGTATATTTATGAAACGTGCCTAAATACATTCACATGGCATGCAGTGAAAAACTTGTATTACTTTTTTCCCCAAATGCATGTTCATGCAACTCTTTCTCTCTTGTGTGTACGTATATTACATGTATATGACTATATATAAGTATTTACATTGTACTTTCTTTTTGCCCCATATGAGGACCCTTAATTGGTCAAATTGTTATCACACTGAAAGGACACGTGACCAAGTTCCTCCAAATTCGCAGAAATAAAATTTCTCATGCGCATAGGTAACATGCCTTTTGGACTTCAGTGACGTTTAATTTTGAACATTTAACCAGCTGATATCTTATCAATAATTAAATCTCTAAAAGTATAAAGTTAATATTTGTGAAACTGGATTATGACATCGTGCAAAAAGAGCGATTTTAGCATGGTCAACTAATACAGTCAACTGATCATATACGTACTGTCACTCGGATCTCAAATATTAATAGTATTTTCCCATCACTGGAGGATAAAGAGAGCGTGTCAGTGACTGGATGATAAAAAGTGCATGGAGTTGTAGAAAAAGTCATTTTATAAGAATTTAAACATGATAAACTATACTTCTGTAAAATGCACAGAAATTTCACTATAATGTTGAACGATGTCTTTATGATGACACGTATGTAGCAATGGCAGATCTGACTTGTCCGGTTATACTGAATGCGGAGTGTAATTTCATCTAATACAAATGAAATTAAGAATGAAATGAAAACACAGACGACAAATGTTTCGTCACTGACGAGCAGTGAAATTGCGGATTAAGGTCCAAACCTGAATAAGGAATGTTTGCATTTTTTCAAATATATGCCCGAATAACCCCCACAGTTGGTTGGTTGAGTGCAAATGAGATCAAGTGACGATCCTCAAGTGACACGGTTTTTGGTATTTTCTCGGACACTTGGAAATAGTAAGACACTTCATTAAGAAGGTCTCAGCTTTGTGAGACGCGATTATAGAGAGATAAAGAAAACTCATTACGATATCTTAGCCGTGAAGATTTATTTAAATTACCATATCTTTATGATCTTATCCTTATGTGGAATTTGAGTGAAATACTAGAATCTTAAATTCCTTCAAGAAAATTGATTTTTTTTAACACCGTTTGTCATTATTGAGAGTATATCAACAGATCAAGACCCTATTCAGTGACAGGGCGAATGACTAAAACATCATAACTAAATAATATATTTAGAAAGTCTCACACACCATTCCCTCATAAAACTTAGTTCTGCTCATATTGCTTAGGACTGGTGTAATAAACCCATATACATGTTGTCATGAACAATAAAACTTGTGATCCAGATAAATATCAAAGAATGGTCGCAAATATGATTGAATAGAAAGTAAGGCAGGGTTCTCGGCAGAATCATTTGTGGTATATTTCTCATTTCATTCTATAAATGGAGCTGTTAAAGACAGAAAATATAGACTGCAAAACAAAAGTAGAATAGAATTAAAGTTGATAAATTGAAATTCAATTAAATTAATGTAATCAGCTACTATAAACTAAGAATTCGCAGAGAAACATTTACCTGGTCATCTTTATCTTTTACCCAAAGTAAAAGGTGAAGGACAAACTCAAAAGATATACAAAATACGGCATCTTAATTTATCTACAAAGTTTCAATATGGAAGTTATGGTATTGATACATCACATACAGCGGACAATGATTTATTTCATTTACCAATTTCAGTTTCTCTAATTCATATTCATATATCTCTTTTTAAAGACCCTACGAGGGATCTTTTTTCGGGGTGGAAGGGGAGGGGTGGGGTGTCTTAAGTGATATTCAGAAAACTATGATATATAAATTTTATAACTTTTCTTTTTTAAGAATCTAAGGAGGTGTCAACTTCTCTTTGGGTTAAGAGGCTCAAGTCGAATTCAGACTACTTAACTGTGATAGAGAAAAAACACTGAAAATCCTAGAGTTAGAACCTTTACTACTGTATCCGACCTTGCAAGAAAACCGTAAATATAGGACAAAATATACAAGAAACAAATCAAAGACAAGATTATAGCACTCATCTTCTTCCATCACCACCAGTCACGGTAACTTAATGGTAGGGCGTTCCCTTCGAGGCCCGGGTTCGATTCTCGTTCGCCGCGCCACGTCAAATCATGTACATAGGTATAGTGACTGTTCCTTCGATAAAGAACCCTCTCTGCTCAATGGCTGAGTGCCGAGTATAATTCTAAATTTGAAGCCCTTCACCGGCATGCGGTGACGTCTCTATATGAGTGAAAAATTAATTCTCGAATGGGATGTTAAACAACATACAATCAATCAATCTTCCTTTATCAAAATGTTCTCGTCCAATACGTGAGATTAGAAAATAATAATAATTCTATTTGAACAGTAGTAACATATATAATCTGTACATCGCACATCGTACATCGTATATATAAATATATATATATATATATATATATATATATATATATATATATATATATATATATATATATATATATATATATATATATATATATATATATATATATATATATATATATATATATATATATAGGTCCATTACTTGATTGTGGAACTGTCAATATTTTTGAATTTCTAATAATCAATTCAAAGTGCGCACGTAATATATAAGCTTTGAACTGTACACTGATAATCTTTATATTAGACTCTTGTTGATTTTACTGAATATTTATTACCTATAGCTATAAATGTCTTATCTAAATTAAATAAATTTCATCTGATGATTTATTGAATTCTGATAATTCCTTTTCACAAATCCATAATGTATTCTCGACTTTTATTCAGAAAAAAGATTTTTTTATCGACATCACATTTTCATAAAATGTTAAACATCTTTTTTTTTTTTTTAATAAACGAGCTTTGTGCCCTATCTTTTCTGTACGTGATATTGCCAACAAGAATATGAGGGCAGGGACACTTGTCGCTTGATAATGGAAATGTTCCTAGTCAAGGCTTGAGAGTCAATGAGGTCAAATTATTGTACAAATTACATAGAATTGCTCTTAATAGATCAGGAAAAAACGCTATGCAATCCATCCAGTGGCAGTCTTATGGGGGGGGGGGCACAAAAAAAGTAGAAAAACTAGTTCCATTAAACCCAAATTAACTTTCAAAAAAGCCCCTCTCCCAAATTGAAATCCTGGATATGCCCCCTGACATCTCACAGACTATTGTAGAGTAATCACGCGTGAAATTCCCTATCCAGAGCTAGTCAGGCTATATTTTTTTTTACAGTGTGAGTACGAGTATTTTTTGTTGCCCGCGTGACGCAGTGGTTTGTGCGTCTGCTCTAGAGTCGCGGAGTTGATTCTTACGTCGCTGGTTCGAATCCCACTGCGGAACGTGGCGACCGGTCTTTCGGATGAGACCGTATAAACCGAGGTCCAGTGTCGCAGTAGGTATTGGTACGAAAAAGATCCCTCAATGCTCAATAGCCCTGAGTGCTGAGTATACTGGTAGGTGTAAAGTTGCAGGCCTCCACCGGCAAGTGGTGACGTCTCCATAGGAGTGAAAAATTCTCGAGAGAGACGTTAAACAAACAAACGAATATTTTTTTGAAATTCTGTTAACATTTATAATGAGAGTACGTGTATCTCGAATTAAAATTATGTCCATGAACGGCTCACAAAGGCAGCTAAGCTATGATGAGTGATTAGAACAAAATGGAACTACACATGTACATGTATACACTACACTACACATGTAATATACATGTAACGCTAGACCGTAAAACGAGAAGTATAAGCAAATGTTAATTATCAAACAATAGATTGAACATGTATAATATATGTATTATGAAATTCCTCTCTTCAACTACGACACATTTTCCATTATGACTGTTGGTATGCACCTAACTTAAACAAGTCTATATACACGTGGTAAATGTCAGTACAAATGAAAAAAAAATTCTTCAGATGGAAGAATCCGGGCAAAGGTTTCAAAAGTGGAGGGGGAGATGGTCAACTTCCCAAAATAATCTGACAAGCAAAATACAAAGCAAAACAAAAAAAAAAATTACCAATCCAAGTGACAATTTCCTGGAATTTGCCCGTGCTCGACAAAAAGTGTGTTGTGTGTTTGGGGGGCAGCAAGCATCTAAAGGATAAAATTATTATTTTCGGAAAAAAGCGCCCCTCCCCACCCGCGTTGAACGGTCCTGGGGTCATTACCCATTTCTGACATTACAACACAAAAAGGGGAACGTATTGAAGAACTTAAGGTTGTAGTTGAAGAACATACACTGTAGATATGTACATGTATTATTTTTTCACCACAGTCTCATTAAAATTCACACATGGTGAACCAGGAAGATGATCGCTCCAGCATGGACTGTTGCATAAAGCTTGTCGAGTTGTTTGTCTTTGCTTTGCTCTTTCAAAGTTAAATACCTGTAATGAGGTTATCATAATGACCTACATAGGAACTGAAGTGCAGACTTTGCACCAGTTTATTTTTTAGGACTTTTACAGATAAAGGAAGGTAAGATTATCCTTTTTATGTATACTAAAAGATACTTAAACAGTACCGATCAGTAGCTATGTTGAGTGCAGGGTATTTGGTCATAAAATACGGAGATATAGTCATAATAGTTATGTCTAAGTCATGGGCGGATACAGGATTTGTGATGGGGGGGGGGCGTGGATAACTTCGTTCAGGCAGGGGGTCTGGGGGCCGCCTTAAGGCCCCCAGTGGGTCCAGGGCGAAGCCCTGGTGGGGTTCCAGGGGGCGAAGCCCCCGGAAGCTCCTGCGTTTTCGTGAATTTTAAGAGTAAAACCAGACACAAAAATAGTGGTATTGATTTGCTATGTACACTAAGATATTTCACTTTTCAAAAGAAAAAACACATACACACACACACAAACAAACCAAAAAACAACGAACAAACAAGATCAGATTTTAAAAATAGCATTTTACAAATGTACCTAGATATACAAGAAGTCACAAAAATCAGAATTTTTTTTCAAAGTACCGTGGTGTATTTTCGACCGATTATTTTTTTTATATATTTACATTTGTTCAAGTATGTCACTGCCTATTACATGTATTATTCTCAACTTTTACTGGATCCATTTTCCTTCGAAATACCTTTTATTGTTCAGATTACACTGTATTATATGTATTATTCGTCATGATATAAAATAAATGTGTTCGATTTACAGGATATGCGTGTTGGGTAACTTCGACCGCACACGGGGTATTTTCGATCGATGTGCAAATATAAACGAAATTATTCGCGTCACCTCTAATTTAAGAATATATATATATTAATTTAAATTATTCTGTTGTAAAACATAAAAGATTGTGAAAAAATGCTGACAAAAAAAGAAGAAGTAATTTTCAAAATGTACCTAATTTGAAGACATGATGTGCACCAGGTGCCTAGAGACTGATTTACCGATTTGTAAAGGCATGCTACAAATGACATGTACATATATGCGCAGGCATCTAAACCGCATGTAAACAGAACAGATGATTTTTTTCACTGTTATAGAACTAATTTCTACGGAGTATTCTTGTGCATAATACTTATCCTGATAATTTCTTTATACGGACGGTGGTCATGATTTTTTTCTGGTACAAAAAGCATTGCGTCTTTTTCATTGGTCGAACTGAGATACCCGCTGACGCCGTATTCATGCATGGGTAACTTCGGCAGATTTCTATTCAGCTGATTTGCATTTTATTTGTAAAAACTAAATACTATAAATTAAAAAGGTATGAATTTAAGTTGCAAAATTAAACATAGTTGATAAATTTCACGCCAAGAATATCCACTGTGTCTTTCTATATATACAAGATATTTTCAGAGGTGATAAACTGATAATTCCCCGCAAGGGTTTAAAAATACTCGTCCGTAATTTTTCGGGCGCTAAAGTTTCTTCTTGGATGTAATTTTCCAGTGAAGAAATAAATTTCGCCTATTATTATCGACATTGATTTGTATATGAAAAATGCATTTTCTTTCTGCATAAAGTACATGTAGATGTATGTACACTATAATGGGTTATAAACAAATTATTTTAAAAGGTATTTATGAACGGTCGAAAATAACCAGGTGGTCGAAGTTACACCATCCTAACCTATATCCTGACGTTAAATTCCATTTATATGGAAAGAATATGAGATGTGTGTAATGAAAAAAGTCTTGAATCTATTTAAATAAATTACTGCATAGTTACACCATTTGATAAATAAATACATCAATCAGTGGACGGGTTTGTAACGTAGACCGTCTGATTTTAAATTCATTTATTTACCTTTTACCAGCCTTTAAATATTGCAGTATTTTTCCTTGCATCATGATAGGAAATTTACAAGTGCAGTCTACCCTTCAAACGAAATCGGGAGAGGTTTTCCGGTTTGAATAATTATGAGATAATATTCATAGCGGAATGCAGGCTTTTCAGACTTGATTTTTAAGAAAACCGATACTTGGTCATTAACTAAATTTACCATTTTTTTTTATTGACCATTAATTATAAAACCAAAGTATGGCATAATTAATATTATTAATATTAGTCATGTCATACTTTGAAAATTTTAGGGGGGGGGGGCGTGCGCCCCCCACGCCCCCCCCCCCCTTAAATCCGCCAGTGTAAGTTCTGATTATGGTATGAAAAGCAGTCAATCTATGTAGACTAAAAGTACTGATAGTACTGAGAAGCGCTAAGCTAAGAGTTGATTTTTTGGATATAAATTTGTAAACCGGTATTCTTCATAAGTATGCCCTCTTTCAGATTTGGTTACAGTTCTACCATATTAACTTTTTTGGAATCGGATATCTGTTAAAAATCACTCAAAGGGTTACATGTGTATGAGCGCAATTTCATTACTGATGGAACACAAGAGAGAACTTTTTCACCGCTGAGTATTTGTTTTTATGATCAGACTTTGGTAAAGGTTCTTGGAGTATTTACATACCTAAGTGATTTTTAAATAATGCGCTAAACCATATTTCTATCTACGTGGTCTGTCATATATCGAATGCAGTTGAAGTGATGATTAAAAATATACTATTTTGTATATTTATTTAGTACATTCAGGCATATATTCATGTATACCCATAATGTGGACAGAGAGGGTTTTTCTCCTCAGGAATTATATAATTTGTACAAAGGGTCTTTTCTTGATTACATTCATAAAAAACCCCAGTATTTTGATTTTCTTTTAAGTCATTTCCAAGTTACTTTTTTAAAAATATATAAATAACAATTTGAATAAATATCGAAATATAGAATAAACCTGCGTAAATATGTCTTTAATTACTGAATTTAGACTTCCTACTGAACCCCCCCCCCCAATAATCTATAATCTCATGTGTCCTTGGAGAGTTGCTTAAATCAGAGATCAGAGACATAACATTGCTTTTCAGAGTGAGTTGGTTGGGGTAAATGTACGCCTCTTTACTATTTTTGGCAAATTAATAGAATAAAGTGGCTTTTTTTATTATTATTATACAGTTATATAATGTGACACAATAAAGAAATAGGGAAATTACTTTTATAAAGCTTTTTAAAAGAGAGTTTTTTATAGATTGCAAATCAACTAAAACTTGTCATTTTATGAGCCTAACACATATACATATATCACCGAAACACGTTTACATATATCACTGAATCGAGTATTAAATTAAGGAACTACATGTCCAGTGTATAAATAGAGTACATGAAGGATTAATTGAGAATTTATAACATGTACCGGTATAAACATGACTTGTCTTACGACTTGTTGACTGGGTGTTTACAAGCATATTTAACTTTCGGTAAGTGTTGTATACATACATTACTTATAAATTATGAATGTGATACATGTATATTTAATACTTTTCTCAGAGACATTCTGTCGTATTTCAGACAAACTTCAAACGGTATAAAATGACCGAAATGAATGCAAAAGAGAAGGAAGAGCATAATAAGAAATTGAGCTGGGTCTGCAAGGAATTTGCAGTTGCCATAGGCGTTTGTGCCGTGGTATATTTTACGGTCAGGAACATTCCTCTGGACACGGAAACACTTAAAACTCCCCAGGACCGTCTGACATTCACACTCAGGTGGTTGTTCGTTTCCTCACTTCCAATCTTATTTGCACTTTTTGGGGTGTTAGATGTCCGAGGTAACACGAAAGCCATCGATCCACTTCACGGAGGCGCAGAACACCTCGTGGAACTTCCTAACAGGATTCTGCGAAATACTATTGAACAGTTTTCCATGCACGCAGTTGGATTATTAGCCTTGACAACATATCTGGATGAAAATTGTATGTCCGATATTCCAGTCTTAGTTGTCTTGTTTTTTCTTGGTCGAATCGTCTTCGCGATTGGCTACAAATCTTCGCCCATGAACAGAGGATTCGGATTCGGCATCACTTTCATGCCAACAATGGCTACCTATGGATATTGTTTATATAAATTCATCACCACATACTTTCTTAAATTTTAGTTATGTCTCACAAAATCTAATACTACTACATATTGCATGTGTACAAATATCCCCCACCCTTCATGTTAGATGTCTATCATACCTGATACAGTATACACAGGTAATTTTAACAAACTCACACATTTAATCAATTTACATGTAAAATTGTGTAATAATAAAAGGTCTCAAAATATTCTAATCTCAAGTTATATTAACAATATCGATTACTGTAACCAGCTTTCTTCTTACGATCTTTTGGTTTTATAATTATTTACATGAAGTCATTGTCTTAAGCAGTTTGCTAATGACTCAAGCCAACTGACTAAGAACTGCTAAGACTTCATGAACCATTACCAACTTTTAGTTCTTTTCAAAGTCATAGATCAAGAACACACCATGTAATTTACATAATTGTCCAAATGTTATGTAACCCCTGATATCATTGTGTGAAAACAACAGTTACTACATTGCGTTCCTTTCTCTATAACCAATGGAGGATTTCATGACTAATCTTGTCCATTCATTTCAAAGTAGTGCATGTAGACTCAGATCATAAAGGCATAAAAATGATAAAATGAATACTATCTCCTTTCTGAAATTCGCTTAATTTCCTTCATTCCAAACCTTAACAATGTACATATAAATCTATTATATGATTATAACGTCTTCTAAATATAAACGTATGTTTTTTTTTTTTATTGAAACTTAGAAAAAAAAATCCCAGAGAAAAAGATAGTAAGTTAATTGAGCTTTGTTAATTTTCATAATACGACAATTGAATTTATGCCAAGAAGTGCTTTTAATTCTGGAGTTTGCCTTATAACCCTTTTATTACGCACATTTGACGCATTGTCCTTTTTAACGGGAAATACATTCAAGTACTGCGTTCTTCTTTATCAACTTTGAACCCCAGTAAGCATACAACAGTGCCTATGTTTGCCATGGTTTGCGTCGTTCTACTTTATCACCTTTGCTGGGGGCTGTTTGATCGAAGGTTATTACATTATAGAATTCAGCGCACTATATATGTGACCATTCATTTCATTGGATCAGCATTTGCAATAACAGATCGAGCATTTAACCAAGGTAAGATCTTTAGTTTACACGAGAGTTTAAACGTTTAATTTCTTGCATTTAAAAAAATAAAATATAACATGATGTTAACTTTGATTTATATGCCGAGTTTTATGTTTACATTTCTTTTAGGAAACATTAAGCACTGGCACTTCGAAAATGGAAAGCAAAGAGAAGAAGAAACCACGACTACTGATAGAGAATATGCCTTGGATTCGGATTCAGATGATCTCGGCAATAGCGACGAGCTTACTTCTCTTCACCGTTTGTTTCTGGACATTGCCAATAAATACATCCGGACTTAAGGACCCCGCAGGACGCCTCGCGTTTGCAATCAGGTGGTTGTTCATATCCTCGTTGTCCATGATATTTGCATTGTTTGGGGTACTAAGAGTCCGAGGAAGCTCGAATGCTGTTGATCCAATCAATGGAGGGGCAGAACATTTAATAGAGGTTCCGAACAGAATTCTGCGAAATACCGTCGAGCAGTATTTTCTGCACATGGCGGGAGTTTTGACATTGAGCACTATTCTGGATGCCAGCTCTCTGAAGGTTATTCCAATTCTAGCTGGCCTGTTTCTCCTCGGCCGGTTTACTTACGGGGTAGGATATTCCCAATCTCCCTTCAACAGGAGCTTTGGATTTATCATGACTTTTATTCCAACATTACTTGTGTATGTTTATTGTACGTATCGAATGTTTACAGGCAATCTGTTGCTGTCTTAATAGAAACAAAAATACTTAGATATTTGTGTACATTATATTAGTACTTCGTTCAATATACTTCAAAATAAATGTCTAGAATCTATATTACGAGGGGTGATCAAAAAGTTCGCGAACTATCTCTATATTTACAAAACCACAATTCAGATCAGAATGAAATTTGGCACACATATAGCCAGTCTGATTAAAACCAGCCCCCCCTTCTCCTTTCACTCGTCAGGCTGATTAAAACCAGCCCCCCTTCTCCTTTCACTCGACGAGTGAAAGGAGAAGGGGGGCTGGTTTTAATCAGAATGACATATAGCCATATAAATGTTCCATAAATAGCATATATGTTATATAATGTTTTGCTGCACGTTTGTGACGTCACAATGTAAAAATGACGTCAATATATAGGTGACTTGTGACAAAAAATGCTTGACTCAGTCGTACTCGAGCAACGAACGGCTGTATAAAGTTTAACGTGTATCTCGGAAATTCATTTGCAGTAGAATATAATAATTTGTACAAGGTTTATAAAGACAAAAGACTTATCAAAAGTTCAATCATTAATTGGATTGATTGTTTCAAAAAAGGTAGGGAGATGGCTTAAAAATGATGTTTGTTCTGTTGCCCAGCGAAGGCAAGCCGGAAAAAAGATGTGTCCTTAGTTGAGCAATTTGTTTTGAAAGATCGCTAAGTTAAAATTAGAAAATTAGTTGAATATCTGAACAATGATTTAATTATTAAATTCCTAAAATATTGTTTACTTTAGACTTTAAACATATGAGATATGAAGAAAAGAAGGCGCGCATATTTTTTTCACTTTGGATAAACGACGCTCCCGAGACAAAGGACTCGGGTTGTGGTCGTCACTCTTGCTAATTCTGGGAAGGGATATCCTTATCCACCCATCCTATTGCCGAGATTTGGCCATTTCTTACAGATGGTCTGTTCTTGTTATAAAAAATAACTTGCATGGTAAGAAATATAAGACTCGGAAAAATCTCTTCGCTTCTGTGAACAGACCGCTACGGAGCATGTCACGTGACCGCCTGGATCACGTGATTCGCGCATGGGCAGAACAATGGCAGATATGCATTAAAATCGGAGAGGACTACTTAAAAAAATAATGAACACTGAAATCTCATTTTTTTTCTTTTAAGGAAGTAATTCAATTAGTTCGCGAACTTTTTGATCACCCCTCGTACACATGTAATGAGCTTTTCATTTATTCATGATGGAAACAATTTTGGGCTGCAATTTTTGGGTTACTGAATTAGTTTGATAAAAATAACAAATTCACAAAATCATGACACAGATGGTAAACTATACTATATGTAATTTGGTAACAACATATTGCCGATTCCAATTCACAAACCCAACCTTTTAAGCTCACCTCGACGAAGTAGAGATGAGCTATTCTCTTTAGAGAAGTGGACAGGCTTTCGCCTACATCCACTTCTCTTCGCAAGCCTTCATGTTTTGATTCTGGAAAACGTGTAAATCTCGAAACGGTGACGGTCTGCACTTCAACTGACATTTCGTCTAAAATACGTCTGAATGTACGTAATAGACGTGTTATATTATCAATTTTAACATAAATACACACAATTGTTACAAGAAAACTGACCTTTAAGTATTGTTAATCCATTTTCACAAGTTCTCCATCCCGGATTTAAATTATGTGCAAGTAACTCTTGAAGTATTCAAAAATCTCTAAATCGGATAAAAATGGGAACTATTTTTACAAAATAATAATGAAACGAGAGAAATCGTCTACTCTGTTTAAACTTACGGGACGGTATTTCTTCAAGTTTCGTTCTAATTCTTTTGATCTTTGTTTTAAATCTTTTTTTCATCTCTCGGGAAAGGTAGAGTTAATATCGTTTAAAAATAAAAGAAAATATTTTTTTAATATTTTCAGTGAGGAAGTAATGAAGTATTTTTAAGGTCAAATTTACATTTAAAGTATTAAAATAGTAAAAATAAGTATAGGTAATATTATTAATTTTGAATAATATGCTAAATCAAAAGTGAATTGTCAAAAACTTTTTTTGAATTAAAATACGTTTTCACCAATTTTTCCAAATTATCCGACTTAAAATTTTCATTTTTTTTCTAATAAGCTGTGGTAGATAAACATTAGTTTAAATCCGGGATGGAGAACTTGTGAAAATGGATTAACAATACTTAAAGGTCAGTTTTCTTGTGACAATTATGTGTATTTATGTTAAAATTGATCATATAACACGTCTATTACGTACATTCAGACGTATTTTAGACGAAATGTCAGTTGAAGTGTAGACCGTCACCGGTTCGAGATTTACACGTTTTCCTGAATCAAAACATGAAGGCTTGCGAAGAGAAGTGGATGTAGGCGAAAGCCTGTCCACTTCTCTAAAGAGAATAGAGATGAGCATATGCTAGCTAGCCCCCATGTATGGTTGGCGTCTCGGTTAAAGTTTTTGGAGCAAGTTCATTCCCAAATAATTATGAGCTCAACTGGACCAAACTTGCATGGTTGATGCATCTAGGAATGAACACTACATGTACCAGACTTGCCTAGAATGCTTGATCTGATCCACATTTTCCGAATAAGGTTAATGTTTTTGGAGCAAGTCCATTCAATTCCAAAGTGACTATAAGCCTTTTGTGACGAAATTTGCGTGGTTGATCGAAGGATGCACGCTGCCTTACTAGTTTCGGAAGCTGGATCTGACCAATATTTTTTGGATAATTGAGCAGGTAAAATGTTTGGTGCAAGTACATTCCCAAATAAATATGAGCCCTATGGTCACCAAACTGGCACCGATGAAGCATCTAGAGATGCACACTACCAAACTTGCTTCAAATGCTGGATCTTGCCTACATTTTTCAATTGATAAAAGTTTTTGGAGCAAGTCCATTCTTATATACGTTAAGCCCTATGGTGACCAAACTCACATGAATATTGCATCTAAGGATGAGTTGTACACTACCAGACTAACTTTGGTTGCTGGATTTGACCTATTCAGGCTGATCGAATAGTTAAAGGTATCCTCAAGTAGCTACAAGTTGGACGTAGACCAAACTTGCATGGATGATTCATCCATGGATGCAAATTACCAGAACATTCATTTGGAGTGAGACTTACTTGTTGATAATATGTGTAGAGGTGAGCTTCATAAGCTTTGATTGCCTTTGTTTTTCTTTACCATGTTCATGTAAATACACGGATCGGTCAACAGGGGGAGGGTTAAGTAAAAAGTGTATTATAAGATATTAACTTTGAACATATATCTGCTCCTACTTTTTTGACATCCTTAATAACTCATACTGTATCGTGATTTTAGCACTTGTTTGAAACATACTGTTGTTATAACCGTGTTTCTCAACAGAGTTCCTGAAACTAATACTTTTTCTATTGATTATTAAAAATCAACATTTTCTGGTCTCCTAGCCTTTACCATTCATTCGGTTGATGTCGAAACTCATGTGATTACATTTTTTCCTGGCATTCCCCTGTGAGGAACTTTAATTTGTTAATGTGTGAAATTTAAGAGCCTCTCTGTGCACAAAATAGGACTATAATACTGGTCTGTGCATATCTAGATGCATTTTCCACGCGAATTTGATCATTATATTATGATTACCGTTAATATAAATGCATCCCAAAAATGTGATCTAGTCACCCATATATAAGCATCTGCAGATCAGGCTCAGCACCCGAAGCAAGTTTGGTAGTGTCTAAATGTATCATCCCTGAAAGTATGGACTTGATCCGACTTGGAAATGGACTTCTAAAAATGTTAACCTTTAAAATAATCCAGATACAGCATCTACAGTCTTGTAGACTCTTATTGTGTAAACATTTGATAGGTCACTCATACAGAAAATAGCAGGATCCATCATCTTCAGCAAGTTTGGCAGTTTGCATTCGTAGATGCATAACCCATGCAAGTGTGATTCATGCAAGACTTCTGGGTTGGTACAAAAAACCATATCTGCTTTAACTTTTAGTAAGGCGTGACAATCTCGGCGATATATAATTTGCGTCTCTCAAATGGTGACCTAGATTCTCATTGGTTAAAAAATTCATAACATTAGCAACAACAAACTATGAGATGACATAAGCCACACCTCTTTACTGTAAGAAACCGATAAAACCGGTTCCTTGCGTCACTCGTTGACGTCTGGACCATTTCTATTTCATGTGTATTTCACCCGTGAATGAAAAGCTGCATGTGTAAATTTCAGTGTTGATGAGCTAATCTGGCAACCAATGAGAATCTAGGTCACTATTTGAGAGACTCTAATTATGTATAGCCGAGAATATCACGCCTTACTGAAAGTTCAAGCAGAAATGGTATTTGTACTATAAGTTATACTTATATAACTTAATCCTAGACCCTAACGTCGGAGGTATGACAAAAGCCCATCTCAATATTAAAAATATTTACTTATTTGGATTTGTTTACGTTTTATAATTTGGTAAGGGAAGTAAATGGCTAAAGACAGTAGAGTGCTTAAAATGGATCGTTTTTCTCTCAGACTTTGACACAGTATTTGAAAGTGCGCATGAAAAGGTAATGAGAAATCTGTATAACTACTCGATTAATTTATGAAGAGAATTTTTGGGTATATATATATTTTGTAGATATCACATTTAGATCATTTCATCAAGTATGGAATATGGTTTATCACATATTCTGCATCAGATCTAGTCATACAGTTATAAATATACTGCGGTGCCGTACCTCCTACTTTTGCTGTGCAAGATGTTCCGTAAAATTTAGTCAGCCCTTATCACATTTTTAGCAAAAACTGTTGACCATAGAAATAACGAGGCCCAGTGCATAACTACCGAGCAAGGTAAGCTTAATTTAACGTATGCATGAGTAACTCTAATTCAATGGAGGTATGTATTGTTCATTATTTGCTACAAAAAATTACAGCAAGTGTAATTCACTGATCTTTTACTTAATTTTTTTGTTCTCTTCTTCTGAATGTTCTAAATTTTAGCAGCCAGAAGAAAACATGTCGGACAAACAGAAGGACAGGAGAACGTTTCGGGAAAAGAAAACATATGTCCAAATGCAGATAGTGACTTCACTGATTGTCAGTGGCTCCGTTTTTGTCTTCAGTTACTGGCTTCTTCCTATCAACACCTCAAAAATCACCGAACTTTCTGAGAGATTTGCCTTTACGATATGTTGTTTATTTGTCTCCTCGTTTTCCATTATAATGGGGATAGTGGGGGTCGGTAATGTCCGAGGTAACACAGACGCAATTGACCCCGTATATGGCGGAGCTGAAAATCTCGTGGACGTCCCAAACCGGATCCTTCGGAATACAACGGAACAGTTCTTTCTACACATGATGGCCATGTTAACATTAACTCTTTTTTTGGAGGGAAACTCTATGAGGGTTATTCCCATTCTTTCAGGGATATTCCTGGTGGCTAGAATTGTATACCAGTATGGGTATATGTCCTCTCCAATGAACAGGGGGTGGGGATTTGCCAGTACATTTTTACCTACACTCGCTGTATACACTTATTGCACATTTTGCCTTTTTACAAAGATAATGAATGCCTATAATATCCTATAGCTTCAGTTTATAGTGTTTAAAATTCTATGGCAATTTTTTACGATTAAATCTTTCATTAGTAAAATATGATGTATTCGAATACTATTTATTTAATTCAAATAAATACTAATTACACGACAGATATACACTGTATATGTTTTTTTTTCCTGCAAACCTAATATGTGGTGCAATCTCCATCATATGGGACAAAATACTGAAAAAAGTTTAATACACAATTTATAAGTCCCTTGAGGGTATACCATAAATGTAGAGGTACATATGCAAATTACTAAATTACATGCAAACAACCCTAATATGAAATTAAAAACACAGGCACCTGATAAATGGTTGGTATACTCCCCCCCCCCCCTTCCTCCTGAGAATTTTTTAGACAACATAACTTAGTATACTTGAATTTCTAGTTTATCATACCGATACTTCGATATTTGATATCATTTTCCGTTTTTGTCTAGTTTTTAGGAATTGCCCCCTTTCGGTATACAGGCACCTGACGAATGGTTGGTGTAACCCCCTCCTTCTCCCTTCCTTTTGACAATTTTTTAGACAAGATAACTTAGCATGAATTCCTAGTCTATCCTACCAATACTTCGATATTTGATATCATTTTCCGTTTTTGTCAAGTTTTAGAGATTGGTATATCGGTATATAAAAAAATACTAAAGGTAAGAAACAAAAAATTTTGGTAGGATGGGCTATCATAGGCGATCAAAATTTTACATAGTTTAAGTTATATAATTATATAGGGAAAAATCGTTAAATTTTTTCTTGACAAGAAGTATAAAGCCATGGTTGTCATATTTATATAGATGTTTCCTCAATAAGTGTAGATTCATTTTTTTTTCAGATCATGACCCCTAAAGGTAGGAGGGGCCACGATACGAGATCAAAAAATTACACAGGAATATATTGGGGAAAATCTGCTGATAAAGAGCGTTAGTGCCAAAAGAAATGTGAGCGTTGTGACCCATTTGTCTCTTGTCTAATGTAGATATTCACACAGAAAAGTGCTTTAGTTTTAAGAACCCTCTATACACTGCACAATAAAGAGTTCTGATTCTGTGGTATTTTTATGAAGTTAGAGTAATCTGCCCTTAGATCTAAAATGAAATAAATTGAAATCTACAGTTTATCAATCAATTTCTAATCAATTCAAGCATTCTTAACATTTTGATAGGCCATGATAAATTAATTGAACACCTCATCTGCATGCTTTTTCCTAACTTAAGTAAACAACAGTGATTTCTGTTCATCAAAACTTTGTTGCCTTTGAACATTTCTCCTGGGGGTAAAAGCCAGGCACCCAATGTTGAAAACGATATAAATAAGCTCAATATTTACACCTTTATACAATATAATTTTTTCAATGTCCAAAAAACATTTTCGTTTAGTGTAGAGAGGGTCCTTAAGTCAAATTTTATGATAATTGTCATCTCGCTAGACTTTTAAGTTCACTTGAAACAAATTTTTGAAAACCCCCTGTCAGTGGTCTCTCTGTTAACTTTTCTGATTCTCGTCATTTCAAGAACCAGTGGACCAATTTTAACCAAGGACCATGGACCATTTTAAACCAAACTTGCCACAAAGCATCCTTGGGTAAAAGGTAATCAATTTTGATTAAAAGAAGGACCATGGTCCTTCCCAAGGGAAGATAATAAAGAAAAGGACATGAATAAGTGTTGTCATTTCAAAAACCCCAGCTCAAGAGCCACTAAGCCAGAAAAAGATAAAACTAATGTGAAAACTTTCTGATAAAGTATAAATTCAAAATTGTACAAATCTATCCCCCTCCCCCCGATCTGGTGATAGGGTGGAGATACAATGAGGAATAACGTTGAAAGGGGATTTTATAGGAAAAATCTTCGAATTTCCTTTTCCTCATAATAAAGGCAGGGCAATTATCAATTAACAAGCGGCCCAAGGGCCTTGAATCGCTCTTCTGATAAATTGACAACCTGTCACTTCTATTTGAAGCCTCCATGTATCTAGTATATTTAGATCAAACCTTAACAATCCAAAAATAGGTCACCATGACCTACATTTTGGCTAAAACACTTTAAGAACTCAAGATAAATCAACTGACAAAAAGTGATGATTCTAAGACAATTAGCATCTGAAATATTGAATTACATGTATCATCATAAAATTGAAAAGGTAAGTCACAATGACCTACTTTTCATTGACCTACTCTGAGGATCCAAAATGCATCAACAGACAAAGTTTGATGATTCTAAGCCATTTAGTACCTGAAATATTTATTTCTATCCATAAAATATCAAAAGTAGGTCACGGTGACCTACTTTCAGTTGACATTCTCCGAGAACTCAAGATGCATCAGCTGACAAAGTTTGATGATTCTAAGCCAGTTAGTACATGAAAATATTTTAATATAGCCATAGAATATCAAAAGTAGGTCACGGAGATCTACTTTTCAGTTGACATTCTCTGAGGACTCATGATGCCTGAAAAATTCAAAAAGTATGTCACTGTGACCTACTTTTTTTATAAATATGTTATAAGGTTCCAAGATGCATCAACTAACCATGTTTGATGATTCTAAACCTAAAAGTATCAGAAATAATGACCTTAAATGTTTTGGAAAAGATTAGTCGTAAAATTCAAGAAGAAGGTCAAGGTGACCTACTTTTCAGTTGACGTACCCCGTGACCTACTTTTGATATTTTATGACCTACTTTTGATATTTTATGGCTATATAGTTATTATTTTTAGACAGGTTATCTTTTTATTCTTGTTTGATATCTGCAAATAATCATCATTAGTCCCCAAGCGGTGAAACCGGTGGTTTCCCCCTCGTCTGTCTGTCTGTCTGTCCCACATATGTTTACTCACTGTTTTTGCTACACGCTTGCAGATATTGAGTTGGTTTTTGGTAAGTGAGTCTATTTTGATGAGTTACAAATCACCTGTATTTCGTTCCGCTTTGGTGATTTGTAAGGTGAACCAGATTACACTTGCTGGTAGGGAACTAGTATTGCTTATGCAATACTCTCAGAATAATTGTCAGTCCATGATTACACGTGAAACCGGAGGGGACCATAGGTGTTCTACTCGTCTGTCTGTCCGTCCCTTTGTCTGTCTGTCAGATTGTCCCACTTGGTTTTCCGCAATTTTTTCTATACGCTTGCAGATATTGAGTTGATTTTTCGTATATAAGTGTACCATGATGAGTTTTGCATTTAATTCCGCTTTGATGGTTTTGGGCAGAATTTTAGCCTTTTTGGGGCAGTATTGGCCATTTAAGTAAACATAAAATTATGCAATGCTGAAATATGTATTTGATATGTAAAGAACACTAATCAATTCATCATCCATTATGAAATTAAGAACAATGTAACGTTACATCATGCATAGTAGAAGTCTGACGGTCATTCTTAGATTTTCATATCACAATGTTGTTAAATTTAAAAAAAAATCTGTTAGAACTACGTTTGTTTTCCTTAAGTAAATAAGGAGCTTTGAAGGCTATTGATAACGAATTCGAGTTTGTTGACTTTGTCCTGGTGTCAGCCTATCTTATACTCGAGACCATATACATATAACTCCTCCAGTGCAAGCAACCTAAAGGTGTTGAGAACCGGAATTAAGGAATGGAATAGTTTTGAAAGCTGGACAGAGTTCAAACCAGGCATTTGAAGGTTCAAACCAGGAAATATATAGCCATTTGAAGGTACTAGTAATCTTTTGATAGTGTACATCTCCTTTTCATAAATCTATATAAGATACTTGTATCGCCTCCCTATACGGTGCATATCAGTATTATTCAATGTATACAAGAGTGACAGGGACGGAAGATCTTTTGAGTACAATTTACAAACTTCTTTGCTGGATAAAAAATGTTCTAAATCGTAGTAAAGACATTTAAAGTTTGAAACTTTTCATTGAAAGCTCGAAAGTGTAAATATTTATGGTTAAATCAATTTCGAATAAAAAAATAATTTCAACATATCAACAATATTTTTATCATGAAGGTTACAGTAAAAATGTCGGAGAAATCAGCATCTAGACAAGCTCCAAAAGAGAGCCAGAATTGGATCAGCAAACAAATCATGGCAGGTTTCGCATTGTGCACCACTCTCTTCCTAGGGGCCTACTTCTTACTGCCAATACCAGAGATACACATCCAGACCCCCGTGGACAGATTTGTTTTAACAATCCGGTGTCTCTTTGTGTCCTCACTTCCAATTTTGCTACTTATTCGATCCATTGGAAACGCACGTTTCAGCACTAGAGCAATTGACCCTGTCAAAGGTGGCGGGGAGGATATTGTGGATGTACCAAACAGAATCCTTAGAAACACCATAGAGCAGTATATAATGCACGCAGTGTCTATGTTGACCCTTTGTACATTTCTAGACGAAGCTTCTCTCAAAATCATTCCAATCTTGTCGGTGAACTTTGTAATATTCCGCTTGCTGTTTTGGTGGGGGTATCTCAACTCCCCTTTGAATAGAGCCGTAGGCATGAGTGGGACAGGGTTACCTATGATTTTAACCTATTTTTATTGTTTGTATTGCATCATCAAAAATCTAGTTTTTTGATTTTCGGTTTATGTTGCGAATATACACATGTATTGAGACTCATTTCATGTATTATTGTCTGAATGTATCTACAGTATTAGTTAAATGTACAATATTTTCTAGAATTTTTATGAAATTCATCTGAATTGTAAACATACATGTGTATTTAGTTTAGACGCGATTATAATTTACTGATGTTTAAATGTACACGTTAAATTGAATGTCACCGATGATTGGAACCTGATCTTCCCCACTAAAGAAACACTCAAGTAGTCCCTGCTGTAGGCCCCAGTCCGGTCCTTCTGTAAATACCTTTGTCACTCAGGTATAACATGTTATATTTAGATTAAGAATCCCCCCAAAACAAACAGAGCGTATATAGTGGAAATGGATTAACATACTTTGATTGCAATACTGGTACATTCTTGAAGCCTGAATGTCATTGTGATTTAAGAAAAAATGACATATTAAGAACATTTAATCAAAATGAAATATTTTTAACAAAAGCTAAATTTCTCAAGGGACTGAAAGAAAATGACCTGACCGATCGTGATCCACGTGGGGAGATGCGTTCTTTTCC